CACGCCGTTGGATGCAAGTGTGAAATGTGCAATAGATGTCGACAGACATGTCTACCTTCACTACCTACCTACTCATCCCTCCAATCATTGGCCAATGTGCGTAAGCACACGATGTGTTCCGACTCCCCAGAAGAAGTGTACGGAGGAGGTAATAGAGGTGAAGTTCCTACCAGCCTACCAACCAGGTATCGCAGGGTTCATCAAACGTGAGGCTAAGATGCAAAGATAACGGCTTGAGAACGGCTATATGTAATAGGAAATGATCTTGATGAAGTCTTGGTCGCTTGGGTAAATGAGAATCATTTGTATTGTCTACGGAGTAGTCTCATAAAAACTCTACCAGAACTTGAAACTTAAAATTCACATTGCTTTCCTTTCCTTTTCTCCACCCCTTAGGAATTTTTAACGCCTTACGGAGATTACACTGTCTCTATCGCCTTGAGATTTCAGCTTGAGATTAAAATAATGTCTCGAATCATATCTTCGAGACTCAAGAGGCGTCGTCCATACAAAGTACCAAGTCGTCATCCACAGAGGCCCCAAAGTGTACAAAATGTACAAAATGTGACTTTGCCTCTTACTTCCCCTCCAAGATTTGTGGGCTGTATCAATAATACCTATCTAGATAACATGCTCATCGGTTGTACCTGTCGTCTTGATCATGTGCTAGATCACTACTACATGCATCGGAATATTTTATTATTATGCATGCCTTACGACTTGCATATTGTACATATAAGCACGCTTTGATAGAGTCGTTAACACGCCAGAACAGTCGTGTTGAACCCTGTCTAGGCAGGTCTTGTATGGTATTATATTGACCAGCTGGATATGGTTGGCATAGTGATGCTACCATGCTGGCTGGAAGCAGTCTTAACTGAGCCTCATTATGACTTTTAACGTCATTCTAAGATTACACACCTAGCCATTATTATATTATCAAGATTAGACGCAATGAAAAGGCCTCGTTCACCAACGGAATTCGCGGCACGAAACTCGACGAGAATCTTTGTCTGGTCAACCGGAGAATATTTCTACTCTGTAAGCTCAAGTCGATGGTTTCACATGCGGTGCATACTATAAGTCGTCTACAATCTCAACTGTCTGAGATTCGTTTATACAGTGGCTCGAGGGACGGCGATCTCTTGATACAGGTAGCATAACCTCTCAATCACTTAACAGTCTGGTACAACCATACCACCCTCTTCTCCATCTTCTCATCACCATTCCGTCTTTTGCGAATCCACTGAGCCATCTGCATGGTTCGTGCAGTAAGGTTATCATCGGCACGGGCCAAACATTCATCTGTCCAAGCGCACATCGAGTGAACCCAAGGAATCCTGTTCATGTATGCACAGTAGTAGGCACAACTTCTTGACCCCTCGAGTTGATAATCCAGTGTGAGTATTACCAATCATCATCACAAACCACGATACCCTGAAGCTTGGCTTACGAATATTTAGCTATATTGCTTTTTCTCCCTCAACGGGCCCCCAAATCTTATCATACAGCATGAAACCGTTGCATTTTTTATCAAACCGGTAACTTTTACGTTCTCCGTGCAAATATTCCGGCGAACAGATGATCGTCGCCCGAATCACCAGCTCATCATACCTCTACCAATGATACTCAACGTCCTGACTACTATTACGCTTTGGCCATCACGCTTCTCTGATCCGGAGGCCGGCCGGCCGTCTTCAAGACGGCCAAATAAAGGTTCACGGGAATGCAAGATTGATTCCGAAAGCTACGACGGCCTTGGAAGTTCTTATATTTGACGTCAAATACGACTTCGTCCATCCGGCAGTTTATGTACGGATTATTCGGAGAATGTTTATGCCGTCAGAGTATTTGAGGATAAAGTGGCTCCTCGCGTCCCTGAAGGTGATTTGCTAAAACGGACATCTCGTTGGCCTCTATTTTCAGATTATCTGGCGACATGAATGATCCTTCGTAAACCTTACAAAGTATTGAGGCCCACAGGTATGCACGCGTGTGTTTATGCAGCTCCTGCGGTACAATTAATATGGCATTTTGAGCCGAGATCCATGCACAAGCATTCTACCTCTCCCCTCGCAAAGAGGCCAAATATTCAAAATGATATCAGATTTCTCTACACGTGAAGAGTATTAAAATCTGTCAGAGGGAGTGCCTATCCCTCCCAACATTTCGGCATATACAGCATCAATAGCAACAGAAAGTGTCAAAGTTTTTCACTTTCATCGGGTCCTCCAAAACATGAGTCTCTTACCATGATCAAAAAGTTGTCTTTCTGGCAAAAGGCGCAGGATATACAGTGTGGAGTAAAATGTTATCGATTCCGTAAATGCAAACCTTTTTCATTTTTGTTTCCACCTGCACTTTCCCATATTTCAGTCATCATTCATACACCAGCTACGTCTCTTAGACGCTCAAATCAAAATCGAGGCATAGCATCTCTCTCGCTTGAAAAGGTCTTTCATATTATATTTCCATTCTCGACATATTTTGAGGGCTATGGCTATATATTCAACCATGGGAGAGCATAACAAAATAAGAACGAATAACTCACGGTATCCAATCATAAATCACTCCCTTTCAATATTTCAATATTTAAGTTTCTATAAATCGTATTTTCCCTCTTTTCATATCTCAATATCCGGCGGTCGAGGGGGTAATTCATGGATAAAGCTTTCGTTATAAATACCTAAGTATAGCGCATAACATAATAGTAGAGCATAGATAAACCCTTCAACAAGATTTTCATCTCTACCTCGATTAGCTCGTATAAGATACCTACCTCATATCAACTCTATACAAACAAAAAACACACAAACAAACTACATCCACCCCTTTCTCATACTCTCCTCATTCTACTCTTCCATTACATACTAGGTGGACAAGTTACATACACATATATTTACACATAAATATAAAACTAATACAAAACCAGCACAAAACAACCTCACAGAACTCTTCTTCCTGTATCTTCAAACTCGCCCCGACGAGAAATTGGGAAATTGATGATGGGTAGGTACACTGACTGGTAGGTAGCGCACGGTGCGATGGCATGGGTTAATGTGATGTATGTGACAGTATTTTGTAGTAGGGGGTGGAGGGATTTATTATTGGATTATGGGGTTATATGGGATAGTAGTGGGTGGTAGTTGATGGGGAGAGAGCGCGAGGTGTGTGGTTTGTGGGTGTGTGATGGAGGGGTTTGAGGTGAGGAGGAAGAAGGAGGTGTTGGTGGTTTGGATAGAGAGGGATGGGGTGAACGAGGCGAGTAGACGGAAATAGGTCACAAGTGCGTAGAGTGAGATTTAGGTAGAAAGTTGAATGGGCGAGATGGGTTGAATTGTTTGCTTCGGCATGTGTGAGTTTGTACTCTAGTATTATCGAGAAGGAATAGAAAGTCACAAGATTCTGGAAGCAAAACTTCGACGTGTATAATAAATCTTGAACTGGATCATAAATGAATCCCAGTAATCATTGTAATCAACTCCATGAAGGGTATCAATCCCAATACACTTACACCTTCGCTATGCTTCGATATCCATCACATGTCCATTCTCTCCCTCTTTCTGTAGCCTTGCAATCTTAGCCAGTATATTTCTTTTCCACACCTTATATTCCGCTCTCTTCTTCTCCGTCAAATAGTCTACTTTCGCCTGTCGCATCGTTCCGAGTCCATATCTCATTTCGTCTTCGCGAACTCTGACTCTCTGGATTTCATCTAGAGCATCCTCTCGCTCTTGATCATCCTCCGAATCATCTTCACCGTCTGCTCTAACCATATTCTGATACCAATCCATTTCCAAGCATCCTTTATTACAAATCTCCGCCATCCATCCATTAACTTCTTTCGCATTACTCCTCTCCTCCTCCTCATCCTCCTCATCCACCTCTGGTAAATCCCAGCCCTCCCACCCTGCACCCCCAACCCTCCTCTCCACCTCTTCATCCCCCCTCGCCAATCTCAACACCCTCAAAGTCTCCAACCTCTTTTCCTTAAACTCCTCATCACTCAACACCTCCTCTCCCGTCCTCAACTTCCCCCAAACAATACTCCACACCGCCATCATCATCGCCGGCCACCTCCCCATCATCTCCTCCCCCTTCCTCATCTTCTCTTCTTCCCAGAAAATCAAACTCTCCACCCCAGCCAAAACATGCGGCGTCGCTTCCTTCATCCCCAATGTCGCACAGAGTTCTCGACCAACCACGCCCACCCACCTTGGGATCTTCGACTCATCTCTCTTCTCATACCGTAACCCTTTCTTCGGAGTGCGAAAACTCGCGAGACTTTTGGATTTAGATGGCGTACTTCGTTGCGGAAGTGTAGTTTTTATGGGTGCATCATTATGACCCGGTGTGCGTTTCTTCGCTGATTGTCTACTCGGCGTCGCATTTCCACTTTCGAATCCGGATCCCTCAACTCTGGCGCGTTTTTTCGGTGTTGTGCTATTCAGTGTATGCTCAACATACGCGTATAATTTCTTGTAAACTCTAGGGGGAAGTGGAGGACGAGGTTCGATTTTGGGAAGATTGAGGGTTGTTTTTAAACTGGGATGTGATTAGTAAATAGGTAAAGGAAATTTTGTTCAATTGTCTGGGAACAAACCGTTCGCAGGCAAGATTGGCACATGCATATGTCCTCCCAATTTCCTGCTCTTGACTTAAGGAACATCTCAGGCGCGATTGAGAAATGAGGGAACTGGTTAGGGCGAGAAGTTCTGGGGGAAGAGTGCCAGAATATCGGGGGATGAGATTCGAGAGGACTTGTGAGGTGGCTTGATTCATTTTGGAGTATTCCAATTTCTGTGATGGGTTCAAGTGCTGGTGTGAAGAGAAAGTTTTGGGTATGGTTAGAAAGTTATGGCATTGATAAAGATGTCGATATACATCCAAGCTCAACCATCATGTGTAAATATACGGCAGCTCAAAAAAATAAAGGTCCAGCCCCAACCTCGAGTATACACCCTGTCTTATCCTTGTACTGACGTCGGCCCCGGAGCTTACCCCTGAATTCCACATCCAATCGTCTCGTCTCGGCGATGCGATTCCCAATTCAAATAACCCCAATACCGACTTCATATTTTGCGACAACAAACACAATTCATCATAATTACCTTTAACGACCTACGATAATGACTTTGGGACTCGGAAGGATAGGCGGGCTTTTAGCTTGTGTCGGATTGGTCGTGGCACATGGAGGTGTAGCACATCAGAAACCTTTGGCCGTGGATCCAGACGCGGATTGGGGGACTAGACATATGGCTGGTGAGATTCCTTCAATTGTTTTATTTTTCACTTCGATGCCGATGCGGTGTATCAATTGACTAATTTATGAATAGAGGAACATCATATAGAAAATTTTGATGCGGGAGCTTTCTTCACACTGCACGATTTCGATGATAACGGCGTATGGGACCAAGCGGAAATCCTCAAATTCTACGGCATGGAAGACGAAACCGCAAAGGATGTGCCGCAGGAGAAGAAGGATAATATATTGAAAGAGATATTGAAGTTGATGGATGATAATAATAATGGACAAGTGGAAAAGGAAGAATGGGATAGGTATTCGGGAACGGGAGGATTGTTACCAGATTTTGGATTGGGACCTGGTCATCATTGGGATATTGAGATGGAGTATGAGATTCATCATTGGCAGAAGTACGTATGGATTCCTTGGGGTAAATTGAGGAAGGGAATTTTATCTTAAAGAATGCCGGGCTAATGTGATGTAGATACCATGATGAGAATACGAAAGAAGAGGATCTCATACACCCGGAGGATATTGAACATTTTAAGAAACACGATGAATTGGAAGATGAAGCCGATAGAGTTGCAGCTTTGGATAAGATGTCCATTGTTGAGCAGAATATTCCTGATAAGTTCAGAAAGGATAAACAATAATTGGTTAACTTATGTTGAAAGTATAGACGTAATGTCCAGACGTTGAGATGATAGATTTTATACCTAATAGATAAGTATCAATACATACAGAGATACCTTTCCCAATACCTAGCTTTTACATACAAACACTTTTCCAAGCCATCTAAACAATGGGAAATGTCATGCGCCCGCATTTATCATTTATTTCTTCCGTCATTTATGTACTTATTTGGATTTCAAAAAATGCTAGAGCTTTCCTCCAAGTACTCTTCTCTGATCTTGAGCCAAAATAAGGTTCACCAACCACTTCTTTTTCTCCCACAAAACAAAAAAAATCCAATCATCCAAAATGGCAAAAAACCGTCTAGAGGGAAACCTCTCCTAAATGAAGTTAATTTCCAGCTGCGCTCTTCGAGATGAGGGCATCACTGTCGATTCGCTGCTCAGACACTCCATCCACCCGAAGGTGTTACAACGCAGCGGTCGACCAACTGCGCCAAGGCGACCCGAATGGAGTGCTGATGACCGAGAGTAGCGACGTTGTTTGGATATCTATATGAGGATTAGGCGAGGCTGGTGGTGGTGTTGGAGAGGCGATGGGTAAGTTGGTGTTCATGAATTGAATTATTTGGGGGGTTTTTGATTCCCCTTCTTGTGATCGGCAAGGAGTGATTCGAGCTTGGGATTTTTGGAATTTAGGGTTAGAAATCAAATGCTGATATTGGGCTTGTGGGAATCTTTTCGAAGTCTCGATTTAGGAGATGTGGAGCTATTGCGAAAATTCGTTTGTCGACGGTAAAGGATAGGTTTCCATACTTATAATGTACGTATATGGTACATCAACTCCTCCACCCTCTCACGGTTTGAAGTTCACTCTTTCATTTCATCGATATGGAAGACCGGGTCAATCCTCCAGATTCCTTCATATTCAACCATGTGCTCTAACCATTCTCTGGAAATAACCTTGCTGCAAGAGATGGGCTCGTCGCCCTTTATGCGATATTGTCGGATGATGAATCGATACCTACTTCTATGGTGCTGCCGGTGTGATTTGAATGCATTTGGAGGAGTTGAACATGCTATCTCTTCAATTATGGAAGCATTACGGTGGAGCGATTGAGATATCACCATCCTTCTCGATATCTTTCGATGATAAGTTCCAGACATATAGTAGTCTGCCCGTGTGGATATTATAGTGATTATAAAAAGCTGGAAACTCGCAAACGGGCTGGATGGGTTCATTAAAGGGATTTTTGGGGTCCATGATAACCATGGACTTTGGGCTCATTTGACGCTTGTGATGTTTGGGGTTAAATGGTGTTATGATCGAGGTTATCTCGAATTCGACTATGAGTCCGATGGAAGGAGATGGAGAATATGAAGCATTCTTTGGTGGATTATACAGTGAGATGGGCTTTGGGTATTCTATTTGATATGCTGAAAATCGAAACTGCGTGTCGTAGATGAAGTTAGGTTAGCTCTCGCAGTTTACCTCACTCAATAACCAATCACTTTGGATGGAAGATCTGCATCAGTTGGAAATCATGAAATCCATAGTTTATCTACCGACATAAACGTCAAAAACACAATGCCAGACATCGGGAGCAAAAGTCTTAACAAATTCGACATGCTCAACCGTCGCATTCCTTCCATTAGCTCGTTCCTTAAGCCAGGCTTGGAACATCGCCTCAATCTCCCCCTTCCTTCTTTCCACCTCTGCAATCCCGACATTCTCATGTAAATGTAACCATCCGTCCCCTCCCAGAATATTCATAGCCGATTTCCATGTAGGTTCGCTTGTGGGCAAGAAACCACAATTTACATGTTTCACCAAGCCAAGGCCCTTTATAGTTTCCAACTTCCTCTCAGCCTCCACATTACTCTCCAAAAACACCACAATCCTCTCATCTCCAACTTCTTCAACCACTTCCCCCTTCTTCACAACCCTTATCCCCCATCCATTAGCTATCGCTCCCCTCCTCAATCCCTCAACACTCCACCCATTCAATTCCCATCCCACAACCCTTCCCACCCCCATCTTCACATAACTAAACACAAAATACCCAATCCCCGCATACAAATCCACCGCAGTCCAATTCCTCCTCTCTTCCTTCCCTACCTCCCTCTTCCCATTCCCACCCATCAAACCAGCATCATGAAACCCCAATAACCGAGCCTTCTCCTTCACATTCCCCCTACTAAACATAGTCCACCTAGGCGCCCAAACCTGTTCAATCCCATTCTGTTTCGTACTGACCCAAAACGCCTTTTCAAAATCTTCTTGCGTCGGTTCATCACCTTTGAAATCGGGTCCAAAATCTCCATGTAACATGAGCAATGCACTAGGACTTCTCAAGATATTTTCTTCATCGTTTTCTCCTTCTTTCTCTTTCTCGTGAAGAGGTATCCCGGCATTAATAGCAAGATGCGTGAGTTTCTTGCCTTCTTTCTTTGATACGCTCTGTAGAATTTGTGTGAAGAATGCTTCTTTTGGGGAAGGGGAAATACGAGAGAAGAGAGAGATCCAATGGGGTGAGGAGAATGATCCAGATGGGAGAAGAAGCATGGGTGAATATATCACCCAGCGCTTCGGGGAGGTGGATATGAGTAAGTCGAGGGAAGCTGAGATTTCTGAAAATAATGTGGAAGGGAGTGTTTGAAAAAATGATCGGATGGTGGACTCGATAGGATTTTGAGGTTTAGGTTTTGGGGGACGTTTGTTTTTGTGCGGGGGTATGATATGTGATTCCATGATAATATTCTAGAAAGTACGAAACTTTGTGGCGTTATGTTTATATTTGAGGATAGTGATCGAAGAAAGATATGATCTATTTACCCATGTTTTGCTTCAATTCAATTTCTAGTGATCTTTACGGTGTGGGTTTATCGATAGCGGATCGATATCACATGACAGTGCTAGCCTTTGATGTGCTTAATTTAATAAAGCCACATCATGATCCGTCTAAGAACACATTCCATTATGTAAGCTTTGGTTTTTGGACTTCATGTCAATCAACCTGCACAATTCCATGGAGCATATTACAAGGCTACATTGTAATCTGACAGCTTTACAGAAAGATTGCCCTCTTATACACTGGCATTTGAGGAGAACTCGAGATACACCAAAAGGAGGCAGAATGCTGGCTGGCACGGTATGATCAAAGCTGTACTCGTGTAAGTTGTATAAGCTCAGTTGAAATTCTTGAATTACCTGGTGACAATTTGAACCTGTCTCCTTGAGTAAAGACACTAAACCCCCGACTAGTGTTGAGGATTCTTCGGAAGAAGCACTTTACAATGCAAAGCTTACAGCTACTCGTATCCAAAGTCAATGAACCTGACCATGGAAACGACGTCATTCCGAAACGAGATGGAAGGAGGGAGGTAGAGAGACATTGTGTCATCCTGTTGAAATGGTTGTTTCCTATCATAGACCTTATTTCATATCTACTCTTTAAGAGGCAATTCATTTCACCTCTTATTATCGTCTACGCGAGTAATGCTCTCCTCGAGCGCTAGAAGTAGAGAGGGCGAAATGTTATCATTCTGTATTGATTCCAATCAACGTCTTGTCAAACCTTAATGTTACGTATATACTATAAACATCAAGGAACCCCCCTTTCACCGCCCTCCCTCAATATCTCAGACCGCTATCCAGAGAATTTCGCTTTTAAAAGACACTATCGCTTCATGAAATGGTTTTCTGTCGAGGAGGAAACGATGACTCAACTCACCATTCAATATCGCGAGAGACTCGGCCGAAAAGAAGCCCCTATAAAAATCTCCTCGCTTAGATAAACTGCACTGTCAAGCCAGGTCTGATCTCTCACCCTTTGTGTTACAAACATGTATACCCATGGCAAAAACGCATCAAAAGTTCGATATTTCGAGGAATCTAGATCGTCTGTATCCAGGAATAAGCAAAGAATCATTAAGACTTACAGTCAACCCCACGCCTGGAATCCCTACTGTGACACTGTCAAGTCCGAGGTAATATTGAGAACTTATTACCTAGGCACCTATCTAGACTTGTTCTAAATATATGATTATATCTACACACTGCATCTATGTGAACACTTGAACTGCATCTCCATTCATCCCATCTATTCATCCCATCTATTCATCCCATCTATTCATCCAGTCCAACCCAAACAGACATAACCCCAACACCCAACCCAAATCAAAAGCCAAATGAATCAACTAACCAACCCACAACTCCAAATTTATACAGACATTTGATTTATACAGCCCTGCAGCCATCTTTCCTCCTCTTCGCCTTCCCCTCTTTCATGTTCCCAAATTCCCAGTCCTCACTAGTCACTCCTTCAGAATCTATCTCACCCACTGACCTACCTATTAATCACCTACCACCTGTTCACTACCTACCACATACCACCTCATCCCCATCTCCATCCCCATCCCCTACCAACCACCCACCTCATCCCCTCAATCTAATCTCCATCCCCAGGTAGCAAGCACCCCACCATTTCAATACAAACAAACATATAAACAAACACCCATACACTTCTACAAAAGTTACTCCACTCCACTCACATAAGCTCTCCTAGTCAGCACTCCCAACCCCTCAAAGAATATCTATACCGCATCCATCCCTATCACAGCGCATGCCGTACTTGTACTACCTACCTACCTACATACAAGTAACAGGGATATTTACTGCTTCCAACTTCCAAAGTTCCATTCAGTCAATCAGAATCAACATTAACGTGCTACAGATCCCAAATTATCCCATCACATCGATCACATCAAACAAGTACCAATCAAAATTGAATATTTAAAAGATTTTCATTCAACTCTGTTCTCTTCTACTCTTACTATCCACTTCTTCCTCTCTTAAATGCCATTGCTTAATCTGTGTTACATACAACTAACTGTTCACATCGGGTATTATCCTCAAGTCGCTCGCTCCATCTTAACAAAAAAAAAAGAGTAGTATCACAATACATATCATGCCCATTCGCATGGCTATCCATCCACTGAACCATTCATCCACCACACCCAATTTCCCTTCCTACCCAACCTAAGAGTTGATACCTCTCTATCAACTCTGTCGCCCATCCACAAATCCAGTGAAGAAACCTCTCCCGAGAGAATCTTGTAAGAAAACTATAAAAAAAAACTAAAAAGTGATATAAAAGTGTGATGGAGAGTGCTTAGCTAGCTAAACCCAGCAAAAATTCAACAGATGTTGCCTCACCATCCAACGCCCCCGAAAACACGCTTGAGAGAAATGAAAAGGTGGGATTGAAAAATAAAGGGTAGAGGCGTTGTTCTGGAAAGTTTAATGCTTTCGAAAAGATTCGTCCATTCCGAGTTTCTTCAAAAGCATTAAAGGCTGTAGTGGCTAATGACCACCAAGAGCGCTTATCCTAGCTCCTGCAGGCCGGCCGAGTAATCCTCCAGGCTTTCCACTCATGCTGTGTCGTAGACTTCCAGTGTCGCTTCTGCCACCAAGCTCTTCATCGCTGTCTTCGATGATTCTGGTTGGTAAGTCATCTCGGACATGGTATTGCTGGCTGTGTCTTTCGGGTGTAGTGACAGAGGAGCTAGCGACAGACATGGCAGTGCTGGATCTGTGGCTGAGATCTGGAGTTGGAGGAATGCTGGAAGCGCGACCACTCGGATGGAGCATGCTGTCTTCGCCTGATTGCTCACCATCACTGGTCATTGTTGAGAGATTGCTTTCACGATGTCTTCGTTGCTCTCTCATGGCAAGTTCCTCAGCTTCGGCATCTGCATCATGAGCCATCATGAGACCCTCAACAGCTGCTGCACATTGATCGCTAATATTTCGGATGATGTGAGCGATGGCATCAGTCTTATCTCGAAGGTGACGATCGGCAACATCGGCAATGCTGATTGCACTGTAGCGTTTGCTATTTCGTACGCTACCAACCAGTCTAGCCTCCATCTCAGGGGTCATATCATCGCCAGATCGGGTGATTCGGTGGGTACGTGAGGGTGTGCGAGACGAGGCACGGGATGACCCACGCTCGGAAGGTCCTCTGGATGCGGGTCTCTTGCCGTCGGCCTTGCCCTCCTCGGCGATCTCGCTCATCATTTCTCCCTCTTCTTGGTCGAATTCAGCATCGAGATACTCAGTGATATCTGGACTCTTCTGGATAGTGCGGACCAAGTGCTCCAAGTGGTGAGATTGACCACCAATAAGACTACGGAGATGCAGCACAACTCGCTGTGCCTCATCTCGTTGTCGTAGTAGGGTAGAGTTGGTGCGTTGAAGGTCTGCAAGTTCTTTCTTGTTGCGCTTGCGTTCACGCTCGAGTTCTTCAGCAATCTCTTGTTGGAGAACAAGCGCTTCGAGGGCGTCATCACGCTGCTTTTCTGTACCAGCGAGACGGGTGTTAAGACGAGCTGCATCGTCTTTCTGTTGGTCAATAAGGCCGGTAAGACGTCTGTTTTCCCGTTTGTGGGTTTCAATCTTGACTTTAAGATCTTGAGTCTCCTTAGTGAGTTGCTCAGCAAAGGCTTGGAACTTGAGGAATTGTTGTTTCCAGCTTTCGAGCTCTTCAACCAAGAAGTTGTTTCTCTTGGTGACTTTGCCGAGCTCTGTATCCATGCGACCCTTGAGGTTGATGAAATCTTGCCATGCCTCAAGCGCATCTCTGGAATATTGATTTCTCTCCCGTACAATCTCGTTTAGATGTCTCATGGAAACCTTAGTCATTAAGGGTTTCTTTTGAGCTCCTCCAAATACAGCCTTGATTCCGGTGTTTCGTCCCTGAACAGAGTTAGTGCATTCCAGAAATAGCAAGTTCAAAATTTTACTCACCATCTTTTCACAAACATGATCCATCACGGCCATAGTAGCATCTTGATTCCACCATTCTGGGTCTTGAATAGACTCAACTTCACCGCGCATAACAATGATTTGACCAGCTGGAATCAATTTACCACCGCCATAAGCTGAACGAAGATGCTGTGGTACACCAGAAGGTGTTACATCACCGTTGAGAGCTTGAGTAATGCGATTGACCATCTTTGTGCGTTGACCAGCGGTCAAAGCGGTAGGTGGGCTGGATGTTAGAACGAAGTTGCGATCCAAATCCACAACCAAAGCGTCTGTGGGTGCGGTGAATAAGGATCGACATTCTGCTGTGATTCCAAGAATGTATGGCCCAGGCTCCTGAACAAGTTCTTGCGCGTGTCTTGCATGAACAACCGGAACATAAAGGCCACTCCATTCGTAAACTCGAACAAAGTATCGAATAGTCTCTGAAGCCACTGTGAGCATGGCAGGGTAATGGGAGACGAAGATGATTCGGCGAGTGGGTGATAAAGCTGCTTCAATTACTCCTACAATGTTAGGAATAGATAAGCAAGAGAACAATGGCCACGTGGCGAAGTTCTGGAAGCCCGTTGGAGAAGATGGGAATTGGTAACAAAGCGCGTAGTCCTTCATATCAATTCGTACGAGATCATTGAGTCTGGGAGCGGGAAAGCTCAGTATTCTCGAGACCTCTTCGGCGTGAAAAAGATTGGTAGCTTTGTTCCAATGAATCCACATTCCTCGGAGGTAGTCACCTAGCAAATTATACAATGGGTATCTGGAAAGGAAAGACAAGCAGTATGGAATCCAGTAAGTTTCGTCTGCCGAGTCGTAAAAGTCCGATTCTGTCCTCCTTCTCAAATCGCGAATTGTCTCTGCACGCTTCTCATCCGCTCGGGACCAAACTCGTAATGCGATACCATACAACGTATGCGAAGAATCTTGCTGAAGAACGAAAGAATGGTGAACGCAATGAGGTTGACTGCGTCCTGTACAGATTTCGACATCGTGAGGGAAGCATGCCTACTATCAGTTAGTAAAGTCTTACCAGGGACTCATTTTGTTCCTTACCCTCATCGCAGAGTGAAGAGCTCTGGCGATTTCATTATCTTGCTCCAGTCGAGGACTGCTACCGAGAATTTCAGGAAGCCAAAACTGACCCACGGCGCCTTTCATATGTTGAATCTTCCCTTGCGCTGGGGCTGGAGCCTTCACCCATTGTGCTGGTTCTCGGCCAACACCGCATACCATGTAGGCATGAGTGAGAGTTTTTGGTGTGCGAGTTTGAGGTTTTGCATTGAGCGAAGAAGGAATGGGTTGTGTAATTCTCGAGTGGAGAGAGGAAGTTCGGCTAGGAATTATGAGGTTGTGATCCTGGTTATTTTCCCGAGTACTAGGGCGCTCATCACCACGATCTCTGGTTCTTGGTCGGAGGTAATTGGATGAACTTGTAAGAGATGGAGCCATGGTTGGAGATGTCAAGAGAAGTTACGACTCCTCTGATTGTAGAATCCAAGTATGATGCTCCTCTGAAAGAGTAGAAGACAATTTGAAAGAATATTGAAGATACCTCGAGAACCCGACAGATGCCGACAAGAAAGAATAATACGGTCGTAGAAGCGTCGAAGAATCAAAGGAGTGTGTATCTTGAGTATATCAAGTGAATTGATTATATCATTCGATCATGGAAATTCACTTTTCTTTAGGAACGACAGCTCGATGTCTTGATGCTTTGCAGTGGCCCCCTTTTTGGTACAATGCGCGTTTCTTGTTCCCTTCGTAGTCCCGGTTGGTAGAATTGACAATGGAATCTTTGATATCTTGATCCTACCTTTCTGCTGCTTTCTGCAAATTGCAGATTGTGGTGCAGTCACGAAACTTAAAGACTGAAAGAATGAAAGATAGGAAAACGAGTGAATGTAGAGAATGGAGAAGAAGAAATCCAGATGATGAAGAGATATGGTAGACCAGCAAGCAAGCAATCGAGCAGGCAAATGGCAGGTAAGGGAAAGCAGGCAACGTGGGTTGGCAAAGGACCAAAAAGAGGAGCATGCACAGAAGGTTAAAATTGAGCAGGGGAGGGAGAGAGGGAAGTATTCAAACCGAAGCTCAAGGTATTATTTATTATTTATTATTTATGATGATTGATCAATCGTTCATTCATTCATTCCTTCATTATTTATTCCACGTCCCAAAGGGTGTCTAGCGTGGTTTTAGTTTTAGGGTGTGAAGCGAGGGTCTAATATAATTGGGTTAAGATTTAGGAGAGATTCAAAATAGTGGGTCGATTTTCAGGAGAGTGTATGAAAAAAGGAAAGCTAATGAATGCATAGGTAGTCAGCCGTCAAAATAAATAAATATATGAATGACTGATTGATTGAATGGTCGTATACTTATGATAGGAATACCGATAATAATAAGTGCAATGTACTTCGCAGTGTATCTTGACACCTCTCTAGTATATCTAGATAGTAGGGATTCACATATATAATCACCATGATATATAGCCATCTAGCACATCCTTTCAAGCCTTTCTTTCACTGTGATAGCAGTCGTGAGTAGTGAGTGAGTGTAGTGATGGAAAGGCCAGGAAAATGAAAGTGCAGAAAAGAAAAGAAATGAAAGGAAAAGAAAAGAATGACAGCCAAAAGCAATTCCTGGAAAAGTAAATTCCCCCTCCCCTCCCCCCAAAAATTAAATAACACCAAAACATTTCCAACCACCCTACTCCAGAAGAAGCCATTTTCCCATTGGAACTTTTGATTGCAGAATGGCGAATTGACCCCAATGCAGTGACATTGTGACGGGTAGCAAAATCGAGGGGTGCTTTGATGTTTCTTCTCCATTTCCCGTACCATTTCTTCATACCATACATTAGTGTGATGTGTACTTACATTAGTCTCATGCGCGGGATTGCAGCTGTTTGTATCTTTGCTCCATCAATGGGGAGATCAAACCAGAGGAGAAGGAAAGAGAGAATGAGTCGACGAATAGGTAGCTCATATCTAATACCGAATCCCCATATCTCCTCCCACTTTCTGTCTCCTTCAACCAATTACTTTATCAATATCACGATTCACAATCATCAAAAGGAACGAAATCTCGAACGGTTCGGTTTGATTCATCCATCAACCCTGCCCCCTTCCACGGGATGTTTCCTTTCCAAGCTTCTTCCCCCTTACTCTAGTTCATAGAAGGGTCTATATAACTTTACCAAATATCGTAACGATTATCTGCCATTATACGAAGTAAAGACTTACCAAGTTACCAACGCGTCCAGATTCAACACAGACAGACCAGCCAGACATGATTGGGAAAAGGAAAGATTCAGCTCATGGCCGTTTTTAAGTTTGCTTCAGTATTTATCCATCAAATCTCCCCTCAATTTCTGATATATGACACAAAAATCTTAACTCATGCGCAAACACGCCCGGACGCGTACTACTTACTATAGTACAACTACCACCACCACCACCACCACTACTAACGTACCGTCTACAAAACATCAAGCCATATCGTGGTCAACATGTGGTTTTCCGCCTTCAAATTTGATTACTCCGGACTTCGTATGGATGTGCGAATGTAACCAATGAGCCAAGAGGAACTCTAACTCTTTTCCAACTGGTCCAGGGTCGAATCCAGGCACGGATAGCAGACTCAGGTACGCCCATCCCATCATACAGGGCCACACAAGTCCATTCACAGTGCACACAAGCACAAGCACATGAGTCTTACTTAAAGCACAATTGATATGAATCGAAGCTCCGTAGTGTCTCCGCACATGTGGCCTTGGTTATTATTGTCATCGGCAGTCAATCAAATTTCCCCGACACGAGTGGACTTCAGGAATTCTCCTTTGGGTCATTTAAGATCTTAGTATCCAAACTAACCATTGGAAAAATGAAAGCTGCTGCCAAAGTTGATCTGTGCTCATTATTGGGATCCATTGGATATTTGGCTGGAACACGGGAACAATGCTCCCTCCCCTATACATTTTCAAGATGGGAAGACAATGGACATTGGGCAATGGATAATGTACAATGGGCAATGAGCAATGAGCAATCCAAGAGCCCACTGTTGGTTATTTGAAGCGAAATAAAAAGTCATCCCAAAGCAGCAACCATTGAACCATGGATCATTGATATGGCTCCGGTCGGTACCAAACTCGAGACTTGACACTGACCTCGATTCGTCACCATCCCGAAGTTCTTTATATTAATATTTGAACAAGTCGATAACTTTAATTCATTACAAAGTTCACATACTTGCTGCATGAGTCTTTCGTCTCCAGATTTTGCAACTAAGCATGAAATTCTCCCTCATCCGTCTATCTGAGTGACAGCAATACCGGTCGGCCAGCACGATCAAAAAGATTCGTATCACGGTATCACGACACGGATATCACGCACGCATTGACCCAACCATCCCAAATAGTTCTTCTTATCCGCGTCCACGCAAAACCCACGGATGGCATGGATATTGCCACCACCGATTTTCCTGTGTACATATTTATCGAACCTTATCGCCTTAACATATTATCGCGGCAGTTTCAAGAGAGTGGCAGCTCGGCATTTCAACAAGGCGCGAAATGCATCAAGGATGGAATCATGTAGTCATGATTCAGTTTTTCATGCGCTATAACCATCTGATTGAGGAATCGAATTTTACAGTACAGAGTGAAAGTCTCCCGAGTACACTTTTTGATCGACCTGTCTGCCCCGATATTGCCCCAAGATTACTTAGATACCTTGATGAGAAAAAATTGAGTCTAGCATCAAGAGATCTCCCCAAGTACCCGCATCTAAGCATGCGGGCAACATGTCTAGCCGACGACAACGAATAATGGCACATTTGATGATGGCAGAACCATACGCGCCGTGGCTGCGCAACTTCTTCATTTAAGAACTAATAGCTGAGTAGTGGGTACTCCCTTGGTCATGCCCCTTCGCGATCTTTTCATCCCTACGTAAGGATATGCTTGCTCATGACCAGTGGCACCTTCAATTACTACTACAACAAACATTTGATCAGAAATCTCATTGGCCAAGCTAAATCACAGATCTGAACAACCAAGAGTCATGGTATCGAATAAACAAGCTATCAGCCTGCAAATTGGTCACATTTTGAACATCAGATGAAATGGATGGTGACAGTGTGACTTCTGACAGCTTGTGGCGGCATGCAACTGTCAACAGTACATTATCGTTTGATATTCCTTCTGCTTCACTTATATTAAGTCGTATTCGTATCAATTGTCCCAACTTCCAGGCGATTGGATTTCCCTCCTCGCGGTCGTCCACAATATCGATTTATACTCCGAAGTAGATTCGACTACCCCACGACGATGCTATTATTCATATACTCTAGATAGGGTTTCCTTGTTGAGCCGCAGTCTAGCAATAGCAATATTAAGTAAGAGAAGGGAATCATTAGCATACTAATGCAAAAATCCCTGATTCAGGACCGTTAACATCCGCACGACATAAGGATTAGAACACGATTAGACTACGCAGCCTTGTCTTTAATATACGTAGTGAAACTTTATCTCGATCGATTCATGACGAATGAAAAGTTCCTTTCTTTGATAGGTATGTAAAGACGATTGATTTTCGTTTTTATACTGGGGCGGGATTGAGGTCTTGACATCTCTAGCCGAGGGAGTCGGCAGCTCAGATATTCGTTTGTTTGCATCCGGAATATTCAATTGATATGTCGTTGATGTCTTTGCTATAAACTATACACAACATTATCACTCTCAGCGCGTGGATTCGAATTTGGAAATTTCAGGACCTGGATCCATGTGGGTACGATTGTTCGAAAGAAGAAGCTACACTAGCAAATAGATAGGCAGTATGTTTGTTTCGACGTTAATCTGGAGTGTTGAGGGGTAGCGTTATAAGGGTATCCAATTGAATGTGCTCTCTTAACAATAGAGAGGTATGGATAGCTATATGTTTAGCATTTGCTTACCTATAAATCTTGGTGACTATACAGTGATACTGTCGAGATCTTTTCATTTGCAATATATGCGATGTATAGATTGAGCGATTGTAAAGATTATTTATTATTGTAGGATTATAATAATTGTTTATGAAAGCCATCTAGGTAAACAAAATCATAAAACCAATTGAACTAACAATTTATACGAATACCTTCATGAAAAGGCATAACAACGCTAATGGTGATATTTTCGAGATGTGCAACATTCCTCTCCATCTACTTTTCTCCGATTGGATCACATCCCTTGTCTCACGTGCTTCACTAAGTCTAATCTTCAATCACGTCGCAGATTGTTGAATATAGGAACTGACAAAGCTCGACTCCCAGATCAATAGGACCGCTGGCGCAACGGTAGCGCGTTCGACTCCAGATCGAAAGGTTATCCGTTCAAATCGGGTGTGGTTCAATACCTCCTACGTTGATTATGTTTTTGCAGATTTTGTGCCTTTTGTTTGTGTGATTGATGATGCGTTGAGGATTTGACTCGAGGGTTGACGGATGTGCGTAAAGTTTTTTTTTTTTGTTTTTTTTCCCTCTTGGTGTGGATTCCGGGGATTGTCGGACAGTGTCGGATGGCCTGGTTTTGTTCAAGTCCTGAACTTCTAACGCCGAATAATTACCTCGCAACTTAGGTATCAAATCACAACAAATGGATTGAACATACCATGAACATGAATATTTACCATCTGTTTTCCCTGCAAAATAACATCATTATTGTCCAAATCTTCACTTCGATATTGTAATCGGTATGTTCGGATTTCTTCCGGATGACATTATTGTAATATCCAGATATCCAGGAAGTATACACTGTCTCAAGTGAGCGCAGCCAATCTAGTACGATGTGAATGTCACTCATACCTCAAGTACAAGTATGAACTCATATCACATTTTGCTTTTGATATATAAACCTAGAGAGGCTTCGTCAGCTCTCTCGAGCATCCCACATATTTCTTCCCATCCTTTCCTTCTCCAGGAAATCCTGCGTCGGCCGGCAGTTTTTCCTCTGCGCGGCTAATCACAAGCAATCCGAAAGTCGTTTCATATGTGTCTGTATATGTGCGTAATTAATGTTGGGGTAAGTCCCATACTTCGGTATTGCAGTTGCCAAGTGCACTTCATCGCACCCATCCCTTTTAAGGGCAATCACCAAGCAAATATCCCTCTGACCTTCCCGTTGAGAAATATTTCTCCGATGTTGAAATGTCATACTCGAAAAAGGATTTCCAATCATCTTTCTGGTATTACGGTTGTGGTATGACGAATGGCATATGTTTTTGTCCTTCCGCTATATCGTCAAGATGGCGCTCCTATACAATGAGCATGAGAATCTCAACTCTACATGGTTGTGACACGTATCTCAGACGCTTTGAGATGGGATCATATCTGTGAGGGTGGAAATATATCCTCAAAACCAATACAAATCGTTTGGACGCGTGTACCTTTGTCTTGGGATGATCCTCAATATTTTCCGAAATCAATCACCTACTCGATTCTGTCGACGTCGTTTGCGGGAAAAGTATATCCTGTCTGGAAGAATTGAAATTGTCTGACTGGGGAAGATCGTGGAAGCCTTGGCGCTGTCGACATCAAGATGTTATTTCGTTTTGCATGCTGGCATTTGGAAGACGTGATTTAGGATTTTGTGGCTATAGAGCTTTCGACACGGGGTCAGAATGATGTATATATATACAAAGAAAGTCATCCTGTAGAAATAGAAGAATACCCAAGCTCATCAACTTCTTTTCTCCTGAGTATTCTATTCACCATGCATTTCACACGTCTTGCCATCCCCACGCTGGCCTCCTTGGTTGCTGTGCAAGCACATCCAGGACATGACATTAAGGAAGAAATCGCTCATATTGCACGAGCTCATGAATTCCGCAAGAGAGAAATCAGTAGCTGCTACTCCAAACTCAAGGCTCGAGGTCATTACCAACGCACCACCGATAGAAGACACGAGATTCTCCAGAACGAGCGAGCTAAGCGTGGTCTCCCTATTGGTAACTTCCCATTCACTCACTCATTCTCTACCCCCTAGCCCAAACCAACCAACCCAGACACCTCCATCATCAAACTCCGCGATCTCCCCAAGCTCTCCACCCGCGCGACTCCGGCACCGTCCTAAACACCAGCCACCTCTCCACCACCCCCTACTTCCCCACCGACCCCTTCACCAGCATTTTCACCGGCAACAATTCCTGCATCCTCGTCCCTGAAGTAACCGAAGGACCCTTCTACGTAAGCGGCGAATAAATCCGCGGCGACGTGCGCGAAACCGCCGCTCAATCGGGCATCGATCTCATACTCGATATCCAAGTCATCGATACCTCGACCTGCGAACCCGTCCCCGATGTGTATATCGATTTCTGGTATGCGAATAGTACCGGGACGTATAGTGGAGTGACGGATGCGTCAGTGCCTGGAAATATTAATGCGACGTTTGCGAGGGGGATTTAGGCTATCGGGGAAGAGGGCGCGACGCAGTTTACGGCGTTTTTTCCCGGGACATTATCAGGGGAGGACGCAGCATATTCATATTGCTACTTATGTTGGTGGAACGTGGGTTTTTTTCTTTTCTCTTTCTTTTCTCTTTCTCTCTCTCTGCCTCTGCTTCTCAGTTTGCCGAAACAACATCGGTATATCACAAGTCAGGTTGAGAATAATACTGATGACACGTACAACAGAGCCTTTCCAAACGGCACATGCCAAGGCTCAATAGTCTCACACATCGGCCAGCTCTTCTTCGATACCTCGCTTTCAAACCAGATCGAGGCGTTGACTCCATACTCAACCAATCCAAATCCAGGATCGACTACTAATGCCAATGATGGGATTTTCCGTAAGCCATTCATTCCCCTACTCACACATTACAATTCTCAACCCCCAACTAACCCCTCCCCCCACTAGTTCAAGAAGCCGCGCTCGGCGACCCCGTCGTCGAACATTCTCTCCTTGGTTCCACCCTCCGAAGGTCTCTTCGGTTGGATCGCCTTCGCTATCGATCCTACTCGCGCGGGGTTGATTCAAGCTGCGGCTGCGTTGACGTCGGATGGAGGTGTACCTGTTGCTGGCGGTGGGGGGGGGGACCTCCTCCTCATGGTACGTTTCCTGGTGGACCGAGACCATCGAGTAGTGAAGTGGCGACGCTGACGATTAGTAGTGGTGTAGGACTACGACGACGACTGTTCAGGAGAATGGGGAATGTGGAGAGAGGAGTGGAGAGAACAGGTGGGCAGAGGTTTGAGATGGGATTGTGAAGGTGAAGGTGGAGGTTTGAGCTAGTGAAGCAAAGGGAGAGGAAGTGTTTTACATTCATTTCCACACAGGTTGTGAGATATCCTCTGGGATATCCCATTTGGACTATTCGCGATCATCTCACTTCCTTATTTTAAATACAAAAATATGTGATATTTTGAAAAGGGGATGGATGTGTTAGTTGAGGTTTCGAAGTCTCTCTTTTCTCCGGGGCTGTGTAGGTAGCTTGTTTTAGGTAATTTTTGGAATTCTATTATCTTTCGCTTAACGTGGTTTATCAGTACATACATCATATTAGTATGTGCACCATTATTTTTATATATAAAAAACGGTCGTATATAACCATATACTTTCTTTATTTATTGGTATAATTTAATTTTTCCTTATATATATTATATTTATTTATATAAATAATATAAAAATAAATTAAAATAGTAAAATCTTATAATAATAAAAAAGTTATTTAAAGAAATAGATTTTTGTAATGTAAAGTGTGATATTCTTGAGCTATAATTAAGATATCTATAAAAAGATTAAATTTTATAAATATTTTATTTTTATTATTCATAAGGAAACTTTTTTAGAGAAAAAATAATGATTAATGATTTAAATAAAAATATTAATAAAAGACTAATTTTGATGTATTTTGAAGTGGTGTATATACTGATATGGTGTATGTACTGATAAACCACATTATTTTTAAGTTTGGATTTGTGATGTCTGAGGCTGTGGAGTTTGTGGGGTGGTGAGGGTTGTGAGATTGTTGAGATGAGGTGCAGTAGAGTAAGTGGATGTATGCTAAGGCATTGAACAAGATTCTATGTACATGAAAATCGGGGAAAGTGTAAAAGAAGAGATGGTAAATATAACATGGGAAAATATTAAAAAGTAAGGAGGAAAGATGGGGGGAAGATAGAAAAAATATGAAGATCAAGGAGATGAAGAATGAACCTGAATACCGCGAGACTGATTTGTGGAAGAAGTGGTGAATTGATTGCAATAGTGAAGGATAAAAATTGATGACGAAGGGAAATAGAAAAGATTTACAGGGGATGAAAAATTGTATTTGAAAACTGACTAGATGGGTATGAACAGACGCCGTAGGTGAAGAATGAAATGATTAAAAACCGATCACAATCAGTATTAGTCTACAGATTTACATCCCTCAAACAAAAAGAAAGATACATAATTCCGTGCTGTCGTCGCAATATCCTTGTCTCCAGGGACAGTCAACTCTCTCGACCCTTTGCCGTTTGCAGTCTTCATATATCGTATCCTCCTCAATATTTCAAATGTTCGTTGCCTTGAGCTTATCCTCCTCCTCCTTCTGCTCCTCTATTAATTTTTCGCTTGCTTCCCGTCCATCTTCTAGAGCTTCTGGTATTTGGATATCGACGGTTTCGTTTTTTGTTGCAATGATTGAATCTGCGTCTTCTTCCTCATCTTCTTCGTCGTTTTCATCCTCGTCTGCAACCTCCTCCTTCCTCTCTCCTTCTTCTCCTTCGGAAGTCAAGAATAGAGATTTCTCTATATCCGAACCAGATGACCAGAGTAAATTTCGCTCGTATGTAGAGAAAATGGATTCATCACCGAGCTCGGAGACTTCAGATTCTGTATCGCTTTCAGAATCGGTTTGGCTTGCGGATGATATCCTTCTGGCCTTTCTCTGTTTGCGCTGTAATTGTTGTTCGAGATTTACGCGTACAATCGCGCAATCATGCTCAGATTTCAATGTTTTGGGATTATTGGGCCCTAGCGTTGCTAGTCGGTGTGCATAAACACTTTCAAAATAGGTCAGGGATTCGGAACATTTTCCTTGATCTTCGAGAACGAAGGCTAAGTGTTTCATAAAGTGGATTGTAGTACTGTGATTTGATCCAAATATTCTTTGGCTGTCGTGAATCAAGTTCCGGTAAAGGGCTTCAGCATCAGCATATTTCCCTGCACTTTGGAAAACACAACCAAGGGCGAGGACACTTGAAAATGTTGCTATGTGATCATGTCCGAGAACCCTCTCTTTTATCTCGATGACTCTTCTGAGAATCCTCTCGGCTCTAACAAGTTGTCCTCTTTCCATTAGACTCCATCCAATGTTATGTGTATCTCTCAATACATCTGGATTTTCGGAACCAAAATGTTTCCTGCGTAATTTTAGCACCTCTCGGTCTATATGAAATGATTCTTCGAAGTTCTTTTGCCTAGATAACACATCTGCCAACCATGTACGAGCATCTAAAGTTTCAGCGTCCTCCGGTCCATATTCGCATGAACTCGCTGCCACCCATTGACGAGCAATCTTCTCAGATTCTCTATATAAACCGTTGTCAAAGTAAAAGTGCGAGAGCTTCGAATAACATAGATACAGCATATCGCTACTGAGCTCTTTATCTTTCTTGAGTGTAACCATCAGCTCTTGGTTTTCTTCGTGCATACTGAGATGGGATAGGAGTTCCTGCCGCAGAGATAAGGGCATCGTGTACATTTCATGAGAGTAACATCGTTTGAGAACTGTTGCCATGACATAAGCGCCGAGAAGGGCGGAGTCGTAGCATAGTTGTGAAGAAGCGCGCACGCGAATCCAGTCCTGAACCAAAGGGTGTAGAGAGAGATGACAACGATTATTCTCGTCTCGGTACCAGCTTTGGATCAGGGACAGCCGAGAGAGATCATTCAAAATATCCACAAACTTTTGTCCATCCCACTTCTCGTCTTCACCAACAAACAAGAGTAAAGGTTCTTCGATCTCTAGTATGTCGGGCCAGGAGAAGAGTTCTGTTGTGCAATAAGTCTCAAATAATTGTTGGGATATATTTTGACAATTGAAAAAAGCAAATAAAGTCAGAATCTTCGACTTGTAACGTTTCTCGTCATCAAGCGTCTCTAATTGCTGGTAGGAAAGCTCCCAGGTTGTAAAGACGTTCAATGCCGTTTCGTCCGCAGCCTCCCCAATCTTACGTCGATACTGTGACATTCGTGGCGTTTCCCGTAATATTGCTTCTCGTTGGCGATTATATTTATCCATAAATTGAGATAATGCAATCTTTTGACTTTGGATATATGATCCTGCCTGCGTGATAGCTAGTGCATGGTACCCCAAGCGATCAACGATAGCGTATGCGTCGTCGCGCGATGCGGTATTGCTTACCCGGCTTTGTTTGATGAGAAGATCACAAGCATCATCTTTCGGGAGCCCATGTAGCTCAATGTCATGATCTCTTTCAGCTAGTAAGGCAGTATCTGCGTGTCTACTCGTGATCAAAATTCGTCCATGTTGCCCTGATGGCATGAAATCGAGGAGATGAAAACTGGAAGGGTCGTCATGATTATCAAAAATAATTAGCCACGGCTCATCCCAGTCCCGAAGTCTGTTTAACACGGAGGTAACTACTTGGTCATCTTGCGTTAAGTCAGCTGGGCTTTTGATATGCTCCGATACCGACTTCAAATCTTTCTTGACCGTGCTCTCGGATGTTGCATCAACCCAGAATATGGCCCGAATATTATTTTTTCTTGCACGATGGCAATACTCAAGTGCAATTTGAGTTTTACCTTGGCCTCCTAACCCGCGAAGGACAACAATACGAGACTCAGATTCAGAGGAGAATCCATTTTCGATCTTGTCTAGGATATCCTCACGCCCAATAAATCCATTAACACGGCGGTTTGGCACGATGAAGTGACTCTTCTTGATATTTTCTATGGGAGCGACAACATCCGATCGAGAATTCATCTAAGCAAGTATTAGTTGGAAGGTGTGTGGAAATGTAGCAATTTGCTTGGCTACCGATACGAGTATAGATTTGACATCCGTAACATCATTTGCAACCGCGCCAACTGTCAAATTTATATTTTTTGCATTGAAATTGACTGTCTGCAATATAGATCTTTGAAAATCAGTAGGGTGAATGTGTCATAGTTGCGCACTCTTACAAATCGATCCTTTGGATATGGAGACTCAACAAGGACTTCTCTCTTTCGAGATCCGCAATCATAGAGGATAACTTCTTTTCTGCTCTCACTCCTGTAAATGCTTTTCGCAATTTCACCCTTTTCCCATCATCCGGAGTAGCAAGATAACTTTCAAGGCTGTCCTTGATATCTTTTGCAGAATTAGAACAAGTTCTCACAACCGAAGACACTTCGGAGGTTTGTAAAGAGGTATTCTTAATAACTAATGCTAGAAGAGTGATGAATTGCTCAATGTGTTGTATTTGTCCACGAATCTTCTTCGGACCATGCTGCATTTGCGTTTTGATATCGTTCAAGAATTTAATGGCATCGTAGCTTTGCTGGGCGATTTGAGAGGAGGCTGCGATGGCGCCCAAAACAGATAATGGATCCATATTGAAAACACAAATAATATATCTTACAATATCCACACACAAACATCTATATAGTGCGTTGGGAGTGAAGTTTGTGACAAGTATCAAATCGTCAAACTCGTGAAACACTTGAGAATAATATTGATATGACCAACCTGAAAGTGGGCAACATGTAGAGATCTTCGTAAGACAGTAGTTTTATGTGCGCAGCCTCAAGATGGAACAGCAAGATAGTGCAGGGAGCGAAGCCCCGCCTTGTCAGCTTGCCATTGCACTGCAATCAATAGGCCATGATAAATCGTAAGCTTTTTCGACATATGCAAGACAGCGGCCAGCGCGACAACCACGCAATTCATCAGTGAACTTACATTGTGATTGTATGAACTCGATAGACGATATGATCTAAGCCACCGAAGACCCTTCAAAAGTACAGCTTACAGTTGATCATACAATTCAAATTCTTTGGCATCGAGACATGGCGACATGATGGGGCATGAAAGAATGAAGCCCAACCGGGTCAAGAAATGCTTATCAGCGGAATCTGGTGGGCCACATTTTTTTAATCGTGTATCACGTGATAACGAGCTCTAGCGTGTGTTGGTCGCGTTGACAGTGTGTGACAAAGGATCGCAAACGAAACACAAATCTTATTAGAATTTGTCTATGCCGTCAATTGTCTTCCTTTGCTTTCTTTAATTCAATACTTTCATTTCTTCTGGATTGATTGCACACAATAGCCGGTATTTCTATCCGCATATTCCAATTTTAATCTCAATAAAATGCAGGAGTTTATTGATTTGATAAGTTCGAGTCCAGAGCCAGAGCTCCCAAAGACTCAAGCCAAAGTCGCACCCATTGTTGCACCCAAAGCTCCACTCAGAGATCTTTCACAGAATATCCATAGACCACCTACAGTCCAGCTCTTTGACTTCAGCTTTGCCAATTTCGATAATGCGACGAGTATTGAGACAGCGAAGGCCCCGCCACCAAATCCGTCGATACGATCTCCCAAACCAAAAGCTTCCAAGATAATACCACTCGATGATGGCAATGAACTCCAATTGTGGTCTGATGATTTCGATACGACAATTGGTTCTATACCGAATAGTGCATCTGCAAAGCAGGATACTGGAAACTCGAAGCAACAACAAGGCGACAATGCTCCTATCGAAATAGCAGACTCAGACGACCCGTTTACCTCTCCGCCACCTGCGAAACGACATAAAGCATCACCACCAACATATCAAGCCCCAAGGGCCGCAGGCGGGTACAAACGCACCGTTTCGAATATCGAGTCCGTCCGATCAAGTAAAGCAAGACTGCCCAAATACAGTTTAAATAGATCAAACTCTTTGGGTGCAGACCCTTTATTGTTTACAAGCTCGCCCGATGCGTCCGCTGCTCGATCGAAATATGGCAAGGGAAAGGTACCTTCCATTGGTTATGATGATGATGATGAAGAAGACGAAGTGGAGATACCACGGAAGAAAGCCAGCAAGCCAATTTTTTTGGATGTCGAGGATGAAGATGACTTTCCATCCATCGAGAATCTGAAATCCTGGAATCCGCCACCAAGGCGATCGAAAGCGATTGAAGAGCCAATGCTACATCATTATGACGACGATTCAACACCTGAGAAGAAGAAGCGGGAGAAGGGTGATAAATCTAAAGAAAAGACTTTAAGTGCTGCAGAAAAGAAGGCGGCAAAGGATGCTGAGAGGGAGCAAAAGCGTATCGACAAAGAGTATGCCAAAGCAGAGAAGGAGCGAGAAAAAGAAAAGGCAAAGGATCTAGCTAAGGTTAACGTCGATCGTACCAAACCCGAGATTTCGACTCCAGAAATGATTGTCGATTTGCCTTCCTGTATTCAGGATAAAAGTAATATGGCACTGAGAACTAGGATCGATGTTCTACTGAAAGAGTTGGATGTTCAGCAATCTCAATGGGAGAATTCAGATCTAGTCATCAAGTGGCGTCGAAAAGTCATTTCGGAATACAATGAAGAAAGTGATATCTGGGAACCCAAACCACGGCAAATCAAGGACGAAAAGCACATTCTATGTATCATGCCAGCTAGGAAGTTTGTTGATATGGCTTTAGGAAGAGGAGATGTGGATTTAGATACTCATGTTTCCATCCTCAAATCACAATTCGAATCATGCAAGCTGATATACCTTATTGAAGGTTTAACTGCATGGCAAAATAAAAATCGGAACATCAAAGACCGACAGTATCAAGCTGTAGTGAGAAGTCGAATACCAGAGGATGAAGTGGCTAGTAGCAGTTCCAATCAGAGGAGAAAATTAACACAAGCCGACGAATACATTGAAAATGCAGACAGTGTCATTGAAGACTCTTTACTCAAACTGGAAGTCATCCATAAAGTACAGCACCGTTTGAGTACCAACACACAAGATAGCGCAAAATGGGTAGCACAATTTACCAAACACATATCTACAATTCCGTATCTCGCCCAACGCGAAGCTCTCGGTTTGAATTTCTGCATGGCGGGCGGGCAGTTCAAATCCGGAAAAGATACCACAGATACGTATATTAAAATGTTGGAGGAGATACATCACGTCACAGAGAAGATGGCAGAGGGAATAGTAGCTGAGTATCCTACCCCTCAAGCTCTGTTACAGGGATTCAAAGAAAATGGTTCGTCGGCATTGGAAGGATGTCGAAAATTGGCGAATAAGAATGGTGCGCTTACGGATACGAAGATTGGGAAGGCAATTAGTAGGAGGGTGTACAAGATTTTCATGGAAGAGGATCCGGAGAGTTTTGATATATAGGGGTGTGTGGACTTGGTCTTGGGAGGGTAGAATACCAAAGTCGTTCTCCGACACAAGGAACTCGGTGTCTTTTGGTGATACCAGAGACTTTGGGCTCAAGGTCAAAAGGATTATTGGGATTATTGACATCTCTATAGGAAGTCTACGTTGTAAGGAGTATTAAATATGGTTTTGTATTTGTATCGATATCTACAACGAACGCAAACCAAATTTTGTCTTACGATAAATGAATATTCACGCAAAATACATTATCGTAATTCTTCACAACTATTTTCCTCTCCCAAAGACGCGTTTGTATTATATGTGCCTGTAGTGGATAATGATCACTGAGTCCAAATGCGGCCGCAGAGAATTATGTACGAAATAGTCTGTCTCTCAAGAACCCGATAAAGTTATTAATTAAAAAGAAAATAAATCTACGCAATCGAAGACATTCGGGTTTAGAGTCATATCCAGACTCGATAAAGAAAGCCATCCATCTCCAAGCATGTATCATAATTTCATATCAATCCTCCATTTCCTTGGCCCGTCACTCCGTATGCCCTCGTAACCGTGGGCCTATGTGAGATAGTAGCAAGAAGTACCCGACTTCTGCTTTATACCCCAGAATGGGGTCCGTATTCCTCCAATTCCCTTAACCTTCCCAAAGATATCCGTTCGTTCCTTCCTGTTTGATTTGATACCATGAAGAATACCCCCAAAATCCGACCCAAAAAAGCTCAAAAGTAAATCATCAGACGGGAAGCTCCTCAATCTCATACTGTTCATCAAATCGCCTGTTGGTTTCCCTCCTAGCTCTTCTCTCTCGTCGTCGTCGATCGTCTTCATCGTGAGTATCTCTTCTTGTTTTCCCGTATGAATCATGTCCATGTCCATGCCTCATTCCTCTCGTCTCTTTCCTCTCTTCTTCTTCTCTACCCCTCTCGCTTCGGTATCGATATGCCCTTTCATCCTCCTCCTCCTCCCTCACATCCCTCCTCCTCCTCTCCTCGTCAAACCTTCTCTCATCCCTCTTTTCCCTTTCCCTCTCCCTCTCCCCTCTCTCTCTCCTCTCCCTCCTCTCCTCCCTCTCCTTAACCACCCTCCCCTCCCCTTCCCCCTTCCCATCAAAGAAACCCCCACTCTCAAGCACCTGCTCCATGCCCACCACCATAGCCGCAGCAGCCATACGACTCTTCCACGGACCCCCCTCCGTCAACAACGTAGCCCCAATCGCCAAGCCGATCATTCCCAACGTGGCCGCTAGATTTTTCGGCGTGACTTTCTTTTTCTCGTGACGAGCTTCATGTCGAGTATCTCGACGGGAATGAGAGTGCGGATGTGATTTCTCATTTCGAGAACTGTGGTGATGTGGTGACATCTCGATTTTGCTTTAGCTTTCGACCTCGGCCTTAGTCTTAGTCTTATTCTTGGTCTTGAACCTGTACCCTTCTACTTGCGGAGAAGATATCGCTTTTGATGCGCAAAAATCGCAATAAACTCAAACTCAAACAAGCAAACAGCAAGACCTTTTACACTTCTCCTCACAAATCTTTCTTTGTTTAAAAACAAAATCAAATCCTCACAAAAATCGCCAGCAAAATACGACTAAAACAAATGAATCACCCACGCGGGCTGAGTCTTCGCAAACCGTTGCCTGACGATCTCTGTGGATCACTTTTCGCGGCGGGGGCAAATGTGAACCTATGAAATTTTCAATCCTTTACGATTTCAGGTATGAAGAATCTTTTGTCTTATGAATTAATGACTCTCAGGCTGAAAATGCTCGGTGAGAAGAATTGTGAATGGTGGGAGGGGAGATTTATGGGGATGGATGTGGTGATAGGTATGGTATGGTATGGTATCATGTGCAGATTTTTGGGGGTGTGGAGGCTGAATGAATCATTTTTTGCGATAAGGAATGGGTGGAGGTTGTGGTGAATTGAATTTGTGGATTTGGGTAGGAAGATGGGCGGGTTTTATGAGAGATGACGGTGGGTGCACTCGAGTAGGAGGGTTGATGGAGGGAATTTGATGTTTATTGATTTGTTAGGTATCTTGGTATCTTGGTATCTTACTTGGATATCTATCTACCTACCTACCTACCTATCGCTACAGTTTATTCGATATCGGAAGAAGATATTGATAGGTATGTGATCTGATTTCATGTGCGCGTGATATAATACAATCTCATGATCACGCGATCAAACATCTCGACTCTCCTTTCCCAGAGTTGATCTGCAGCGGGATTAGAACGTTACTACTATCCGTCTTGCTCTAGTAGAGGGAGGGAATCTTGAGAGGGGTCTAGAGCAAAGTATTGAAGAACCTCTGTGCATTATCGAAAACATCAGATCTTTGGGACATGTACTAGGTACTTTATATACTTTTACTCCACTCCATCTCACTCCATCTCATTCTAACTCATTCTAACTCCTCTCTAAAACCTAATGATCTCCCCCTTTCCGCAGCTAACTAGGTTACTACCGGTAGATAATTAGTTAGCTACCATTTTCTATCTACTAAATCCACTACACGTCCCTATCCACCTAGATATTTAAACCACAACCATCTCCACAATCACGAACAACCTTAATTAACTACCTAGATATCTATCTATCTACCTACCCACACCAATCCCGAGCGACAAAAGCCCACGAACAAATCATCTCTTCTCCATTTCCAAATGCCAATTCTATATCACACTTTCCAACGTTCTAGCGTTCAAATAACAAACTCTACCATGAAAATATCCCATAAATTAAGTCCCCATGCGGATCCACTCCATCGTGAGAATGGAGTCGATGCAGCAATTCTGGGAGCGGTAGTATTCTTCCATGTACACACCTTCTACATGCATGAGTTTCCCATCTACTCATCGTATTCTACCATTCTTATTGATCGAATTCTTGGATCCGTCCACTTCATGAGATAGCCCTACTCTGAAGAAGATGAAAGCTATGGATCCCAATGCATTTTAGGAAACACGAGGGGACTCGGAGTAGAAAAGAAAGGGGAAAGGGTCCGTACCTGACAATAACTGATTTAGCACACTTTGCAGCTGTTGAAGACTTGGCAGTACACTCGTATTTCACTGATATAATTGCATTCCCGTTCTACTGAGTATTGGATATTTCAATCTATCACTACACTCGTTTTTGACGTTTGGTTTTCTGTTGTAGATATTTATCTTGAAGTAATTTTAAAAGTGAAGGGGGCATCTTTGATTAGTTTGGGTTTATTACCCGTTTTGTCAGTCAATGCAGTTTATACTTGGCCCTCAGAGTATGATAAACTAGAGGATCTTCTATATCTTCAAGCTGGTTTCATACGTCATGGCTTCAGAGATGGTAAGATATTGGGGAGGATGTTCCAAGCTGGTTTTTGTAATTTGCTAATTCTCGTACCAGGTGTTATGCCGTGCTCTTTATCATCGGCAGGAGGTGGGCGTCAGACGGCTGCAGAATGGATATGAACAGCTTATCATGACATGGCTACCCATGATGTCGATACTGGTCTTGGAGTCCTTGATGGTTCTATAGCCTTTGAGCTTGGCCGAGCGGAGAACCCTGGTGCTGCTTTCAATGCTACCTTTGGGTTTACAAACAACTATCACTCCATCAAAGCCTCATCAGCCAATCTTCTCGCAATGTCCGTTGTCGTTGCATCAATGGCTTGTGACAATCCAATTGTTCCATTTAGAGGTGGACGAGTGGATGCGATCGGAGCTGGAGTCTCTGGCGTACCCGAGCCTGATCAGGATTTGGCGACATCCACTGCAATCTTCGTAAAGTAAGGATTCAACACTGCCGAAATGATAATAATGGTAGCAGGCGGTCATGCTCTCGGAGGTGTTCATGGAGTCGATTTCCCCCAGATTACTGGCAACGGCAGTGATTTTTTTTCCCCCCAAAATTCGACAGCATCTACACCACATTCGACAAAACTGTTGTAACCGAATATTTGGAGAACAATTCGACGAACCCGCTTGTGATTAGTCAAAATGATACCTTCAATTCCGATAAACGCATTTTTTGATGCCGACAACAACAAAACGATGGCTTCATTAGCAGACCCAACCAATTTCCAAACTCAATGCACTGACATCTTTGCTCGAATGATCGATACAGTTCCTGCAGACGTCACGCTTTCTGAAGTCATCACACCCATCGAAGTGAAGCCATCGCAAATTGCTCTCACTTTGGCTGGAAATAACACGCTATCTTTCGGAGGATAAATCCACGTTCGCACCACCAACCGTAACGCCGATGATTTGACCGTATCTCTTCAAATCCGTGATCGTAATAATAACACCTCAAACACCACAATCTCTACCATCAAACAAACTTACTTATTGGGCCAGAGTTATGGCTTCAATAAAGAGCTCTACATTGGTTTTCATTCAGCACTGTTCTTGATGCTACTACCGGAATCTCATCTTTCGACGTTATCTTACATACCGTCGGTGCAGCTGATGAAATCATCACCAAAAACGGCGGGGGATTCCCACTCTCAGACGTAATTGTCTACCAATCAGCATAATCCTGTCAACCACAGGTATGCGTCAATGATGCAGGCCAGTGGAATTTAACAATTAGTGCAGCTGTTCGCGCCGATCGTATCAGCGAGCCTGTCGCCTTTGATTGGGTGTACAGACGTGCCATACCAGGCGTGACTGTGAAAGCACTAGAAGTGCAACGTACAGCCATGGAGAAAGTGAGTGGGGAGATCGATGGATATTATATATTCAGCAGGACGAAGTCGATCGAGAAAGAGCAATGGTCTACCACTTTTGATGTGGTATTGGGAGAGGGAGATGGCGTTACGAAAGTGGAGTTCCAGTCGACGTCGGGAATAGCCACGAGCTGCAAGGCATTTCCTTGAATTACGAGCGAGTCGTATTTAGTGTTGAATGATAGCGATGATATTTCTTAATGACAACCCAATTTTGGATCCGATGAGAGACTGCTGTAGATTCGAAATTGCTGAATCGTGATTGTGAGCTCCGAGATCTAGTCAGGGGAGGTCGGACAGTATGTTGGACAAAACGATACAGGCCAGGGGAGACATGCACGCAGCATCCTGAAAATGACAAGAATGCAAGGATGTATCCAGTAGAGTGTGCTCAATATTGTCCGTCATAGTTGGATAGCACAACATTTCCTCGGACATTAACAACATTCCACAATATAACATCACCGCCTCTCAATTTTGCCTACCATTCCCACAATTCCAAACCGATCTACAATCTTCACATTGCAGACCTTTTCCTTCTCCTCCTCCATCATTATCCGGTACTCCTCACCAACATAAAATGGACTTGTAGCTCTATACGTAACCTTTTTTGGTAAAAGCACCGTGAGCTTATCATTCATTGTGCCCCCCTCACTCCTTGCTATGATATGCCTCCACAAATCAACCATGTGTATCAAATTCAACGGACCATGCACGACGCAATCTCGATGTCCCTCAACTTTCCGACACCAGTCCCGGTCATAATGTATTTTATGCGCGTTGAAAGTTAAAGCAGAGAAGCGGAAGAGGGAGATTGGTGTATGGGTAATAGTATGCTCGTATTTGGCGGGAGAAACTAGAGTGAAGGGAGGAAATGGCGGAAGAGGAGGGGGATTATTGAAATCAATTGCTTGCCTGAATAACCAATTCCTGGTTGTATTTTGATTTAGCATATGTTACCAACCTCCCAAATTCTGAAACTCTGAAATCACTTCTCCAATTGAACGGCAATCTCAATATTCCAACAAAGTGGTATTGTGAGATAAATTCCACTTACCTTCGATCCACAAGCGCGAGTCCCTTGGAATTCTTGAATGTCTTCTCAACCCCCACAACTATCATCTCATCTCCAGCTTTCGTCTTCTTCACTTCCGCACTCTTTAATGTCGTCGTTTCCTCTGCCTTCTCCCCCGTCACCAATTTGTTCCCATCCACCCATTCCAATTCCCCGCCAGCCCACATCCTCCTTGTAAAAGATCCTGGCGGATTGAATATCGTATCCGATCCATCAAGCCCCAATTTATCCTCGGCATCTGGTGGCGTGAAATATACTAAATGGTGACAGGGAGGAATTGGAAGGGCATCATGGCTAGACTCTACAGCGAAGCTGGAGGAGGAATCAGACAAGCTATGAGAAGCAAGCGTGGCGCTCAATCGCTGTCGTTGATTTACATCGAGGTATTGTGAGCGGACCAACGGACCATTTGATGAATGTTCTTCCAGCAGCATAGAGGCCAGTGCGGTTGCGTTTGCATCTTTTGCATGTGTGGTAGCCCGAAGGCCATACTTGATGAGTGAGGGTATCATTCTGGATTAAAAAGAACTTCCAAGGTTGGGCTCGATATGGAGCTGGATATGGGTAATCGTTCGGTTTGAGACTACTAGGTAAGCTCTCTTATACCCCACGTCATTTACCCTTAGTAATAAGTGCTTAATTTATAGTTTATCTCCGGGCTCTAGAATCCCCACTAAATAAGAGTTCGGACAATCGACATGGGCCGGGGCAACCGAGGTAACTTTCAATCAACCTCAATTTCAATCACAACTACAACCACAAGCTCTATCTTTTTTCCGGTTTGAAAAATAGATATAATAAATGTATGAAAAAAAAGCCTAGGTATCCATAACACCTGCATCCTAAATGGACATCTCATATGTTTCATCTGATCTTCAAAAATGCACATTGTGGACACAGAATGTTTTACACGCAATCTCATGGTCTCCGAAATACACATATGAAACCATAAGGATGTTTTATGTCGAAAATTACGGGGCTTACGAATAAACAAATGAATAGCAGTGAAACGGCAGAGCCAGACAGAAGGTAGATTGACTTAAAATTCAAAAGTATATTCAGGATTCGCGTTGTTGCGATCAAAGCTTGCTAATGTGCTATACAAAGTTTCCTATTGGAAAGGATTGATAGATGGATTTGAATGAATGCCCCATAACTCCCCTCCTTGCGCCGAGAAAAATAGATCTTCGTGCAAATACCCTCTGTTCCCAAATCGTATTCAAGTGGAGCTCGATCTCCTCCCCTCCTGACCATCATCCAATCCGTGTCGTGTCAATAAGATTACCATTTCTTGTGTACCACCTGACGAATGAAATCGTGAATAGATATAAATGATAAAGAAAGAAAAATTATTTAACACATCTCCCTACTCTCCTCCAATCTTTTGATCATCTCTCTTTCCTTAGGGCTACGGGGACTAGCATCAATACCGAGAAGTGCCGAGATACTGGTAGCGTTGTTCTTGATATCTTGGCTTGGTGATGGCAATCTTTGAGGTGCTTGGCTGCTGTTGTAATGATGATAGCTTGCCCGGTTGAGATTTGGCATGTCTGGAGAGACACATGGGGTTGGTGGCCCGTTGGATGCGACACCTTGCTTCCAGGTCTCCTCAAGTAAAAGAGGAGATACACCTCCGCCATACTCGGATGCGATGACGTTCCAGAAAGAGTTGCGATGAGCTTCGTATACACGACGAAGACGCTCTTTGTCAACGCTGCCAACAGTGACTGGGGTGGAAGTTATGATGCAATCGAGACGGAGAGCTTGATCCGATGAGGAATCATTGATTGCAAGTCGAGAAGGGGTTGGCTTTGGGAGAATAGCAATGGGGTGACCAAGAGTTCGAGAAGGGCTGTTGGAAGCTGAGCGGGATAGAAGTGAAGATGCAGATGGGAGTTGAACGTGTTGAGGTGATTGTGGTGAGTAGTTGTAGACAGGTGATATGGCGCGGAGATGGGTAGCCTCATCAATTGGAGATGGCTTTCGGAGAGGTAAAGTCGAGGATTCTGAATTGGAGCTACCGGAAGAAGTCATAGAGTTGGTACGCTTGCGGCGGTTGCTTCCATGGGACAATTGATGATAGTGGAGACGGCAAGCCAATTCGGTCTTCTTCAAGTGAGAAGCGATATGCTTGTAAGGCATTTTCTGAAGACGAGTTTGAAGAAGATAAACTTCCTACAATAAATTAATTAGTAAATTTCCCTATTGAAGGTTTCTGTTTCACTCGTACCTCATCCTCGCTCCAAGCTCTGCCACCACCAGTAGAAGCCGTTTTACGGTTCTTCTGGATGCCATATTCGTGTCGTTGGGCTGCGTCGACTGGAACGTATGTGGATGATGCCACTTGGGTGTTCATCTGGCTGGATGACATATTGATAGTCGTTGGTTGATGATAAATTGCAAGTATATTGTGTAAAAGATGGTTGAACCGGCAATCGAAGAATCGAAAATGTTGTTGAAAATTGGTATAGAATATAATCTTTGTCAAAAAGTCGGAATAAGATAAGTAAAACAAGATATAACTACAATAAAGAATGTAAGGCAGCCAAACCAGTTGGTGAAGAAAGGAAAGTAAATATTAGCTGCGAAATAGGTAGTCACGTCAAGTGTAAGGAAAAAAAGGAAAAATTAAAGAGCAGAACGCTGGGTATTATATGAAGAACCAACTTGGTGGTCTGGAGTATCGATATGAGCAAGTTCAGTAACCTCTAAAGTTCAAAACCATCTTGCAGGGAACGACGAGTAGTCGATGGAATCACAGTTTCTGATTGTGCATGGGTGGAGTTGCATATCTCTATGAGTTTTCATCCCGTTTCTGCATCAAAATAGTGTTTCTTAGGTACTGGGGTAAATGATGTAAATGTCTGTTTGACATTCGAGGAGGGGTCTCAAGTACGATAACCTTGATGACATTCAAAACTTGCGCCGACATTTCATAGGAAAACTCTCCTAGATGACCATCGGAAATTGAAATATCCGTAAACGCAAACTTTTGGATGGTTGGATTTGTACATACAGCCCATGCGACTTCGCAACAAGGCGTTCTCTCATAGCAACATCAAAATGGCAATGTATTATTGCAATTGACGATTTCTGCAATGTTACAAGACCTGGAGGGGTCGAGGGGGAAGCGAGTTTCGAAGAGTTTCGTACCGGGATTATGGTGACCCTTATTGACCCTCGAGCCACCGATACCAAGGACTTTGTAATTCTTATCTCACTTATCCTCGCTGGGAAAAAGCTTCGAATGCATGAATAATCGTGGAGATGGGACGTAAATAAGACCAAAGTTGGAACAATCGCCGCGCGCCTCTGTGATCATGCTTGATGTTCCCGTGTTTGGACCATTTAGAACCGTTTGGAGTGGCTCATTAGTACGACGCAATTTGCCCTACACACCAAGTGGAAGAGCAACCAAGAACTACTCACAATAAATGACAGGTCAAGAATAGGAACAAGTAATATCAAAATAGAATAGCGTCATTAAATTGGTCGTCGCACCGCACAGGCACAACACCATCTATCCTTAGCTGAGGTACTAAGAAACGTTGTGTTGACGCAAAGCAATGGTACTCGCAGGAGATACTGCAAACGTGCTCTCCAATATTCTCTCTAATCTGCATTGAGCGTAGAGATACTAACAAGTCGGGAGGTTAGTTGATAGTGAATGCAAGTGGACAGTCAGTTCGATTAGAGTCTGAAATTGATGAAATATTTCTGCATAAGACGTTTCGAGGTATTTTGAGATGTGATCATGAAGCTATTGAGAACTTTTCATGTCAGATACTTGAACGACCGATTCGAATATTTTTCATCGTTCGTCTCAAATCCTGTTCTTAAAGATACTTGATTGCTGCAAAATGAAGCAATACAAGTGTTGGAAAAAGAGATTGGCCAGTGTTCGGAAGGATGAGCGTCCGATCTTTTGGTGAGGTGACATCCCACCAAAGAGGTATGTATCGACGGCCCGTACTGAGTTCTGACTACCTAATACAGACCTCCCTCCCTACTAGATTGATCTAGGCAGGTCCAGTTTGGTAGGGGGCAGGTAGGAAGTAATCGATCACCAAGACATCAAGGGTTCCAATTCTGACAGCCACAACAGCCCTATGAGGAAAGTAAGTAACGGAAAGTCTAATCATGGATGTGGTTAGTGTACTTGGGTTAATATGCTTAAGTTTCAATGGATACTCTCGTATGAGTCGTTGTCTCTGATTCTCATTATCAAGGGTCGGACAATTTAAACTCGAAGGGCATGATGGAAATCTACAAAGTTGGAAACTGGACTAATTGGGATTTTATTTTTCAGATGAAGGGGGAAAGGTCGTTAATCAAACCTTGTCACCTGAGTACCTATTTGGGGTGGATACTAGGTAGATACATACGTGCTTGAGCACCTACCCTGAATTGAACATTGGTACCTTTGAAGTTGCTCTTAACCTTGTTTATCATCAACGGATAATTCGATCCTTCTTCGTCTTCTGCTACGTAATATCTACTCTATCCCTCAACTACCAAGACACAACATATGCAGGCCACCATCGTATCTTTCTATCATCACCACCTAACTTGATTCTATCATAGGTAATATTCCAATTACCCCATATACGACGATATACATACCAATACATGCATACGAGATGCGATACCGTACTAAGAACGGATAATGGATCGCCTAACTCTACATTAACGCTTGCTATTCTAAATTGTTCGACTTGGCAAAGTAGTCACTCTGAAATGAAATTGGAGCAAGTATTGGATGAATATGGTGGCGTGGCCTCAAACAAAGTCGATGGAATTCTGTCACTCGCTATGTCTCGAGGTCATCGCATGAAAAGAAAGAATCTTCAGAACGGTGAAGGAATACAACAACAGGTACATGACCCTCCTTTGGTAAGCAGGAACATGTCACCAGTAAGAATGTGTGAGAGTGCTCGGAGGATAAAGTGTTAGCTTCTTAATGCGCCTGTTGCGCTGTTGTACTGCGGTTACGACCTTCTCAGATGTAATGATTTGTTGGTTAAGGTTCATTTGAAGACATGCTGTGTTTTGATTCTCTAAATCCTATCATCATTTCTCTCCGCAAATCTCCACCATAGAACAATTAGAAACTTGTTCTATCTTTCCCCCCTCTTTCGCCCCCAATTTGTCGAATTTCACCCATCCGAGTCCAAGAATCATGTAGAAAGCATCGAAATGAAAGACGTCAGAATGATACCCCAAATAAGATATGTTACAATGTGATAATTCACCGAATCTCTATAGCCTTCGAACTTTGTGGTCGAAAACTGTGTGATACATGTCACGTGTGGTGCACGTGGTTGTACCATCTCACTCTCGTTTTCTCTCTCGGATTTCAATTTGGATGAGTTCCAGAAGATAATCGGATGTGAGTAGCTGGCGGACGTTTCCTCCGAGTATTATTCCATAGTTTTACAATCATGGCTAGGTGCAGAATACACCAGGATTCATACGCCGTTGCTTTGGTTAGCCAAGATCATGCATGTATCCGGAGGTATTCCATTTGACAGTCTCACTACAGTTCATTGTTCACGAGGTATACTTGCTCAACTGCCATAATATAGCCGTCAAGAAGGAAACAGTCACGAGTCCCCTTGTTTTATGGAGAAACAGACTAATACAATCGACCATCGCAAACTTCGGAGGAACCTAAGGCGTTGTGACTTTGGGACATCAAACAAAACAAACGAAAAAGCCGTTTGAATGAGAAACTAACCACCTCAAGGTTTTCCTCATTAAGTAACACCTGTCCGCTCTTGATCCCCTTAGAGATCCCCTTGAAACAAAGACATGAAGCTAAAATTGTTTGTTTGCTCTAGTCTTACGCTTTATTATTATTTCAAGAGCCCAAAGCCAAAACCATACTTCTCTGAAGACAATCCAAACGGTCGGGTCCACCATTCATGTTGGTGGGTAGATGATTCCCAACCACTCTTTTCCAATCACGGCCCGAGGATCCCGTCTATTATCCAATAACCGGCACGGAAGTGTCAACGAGTCCATGTACCGCTTTCCAATTCATTTTGCATCTGAGATTTGAATGATATGTCGGCGAATGCCTAGTGCGGGCTGCGGCGAAGCAACCCCAATTTCGAATCATCGGGAACGCCTTGCAGTTCAAAGCAAACATTTCTACCATTCACAGTGAACTCTTTGCGCCGTTTCCCTTGGCCTCATTATTTGATTGCATTATCAAGGTAACCCAAAGGTCATTCCTTGTACTGTACATACGGAGATATATGCAATTGATGTCAAAGGATTGAAGATGCACAATGCTGTCAGATTAACCAAACATTGCCAACATGATGCCTCGTACACGCATGGACCTGCACATGGATTGTCAATTAATAAAGGGACGGAAACCAACCTAGAGGGGAACAGAATTAAATAGGGGAGGTTCCACGAACGGTAACGGACCAATTCATATTGTTCAAATAGTGACAACAACTCTAGCCAAGATCTGGATGAGAAGGAAGAAGTGCGATAGCCTCGTCTAGAACTTGAATCCTCTATACACCGCTTTGATTTCAAGGTGTTGATTCAAGAAGAGTGATTACGGGGATATTTCCACTGATCTAAGATACACTCTCATCACATATCTTCTAGCTTGAAAGCAATATTGATTAATACGTCTAGTACAGGAATGAGTACAGAGAAGCCATGGCACATTGGCAAGAGAGTGGATTAATCGATAAGCTCCAAGAGGATAATTTCATTTGTTGATGTGCTTCCAAACTAGGTAGATTGCAAGATGTATGGGATATTGTGCTAAATGTTGCATACCCCGCAGCTTTCGGTTCTAGTTTAAACGACAAGACAGCTCTTCAACCATTCAGATCTCCCCTCTGACAAGCATCATTTATGAACCTCCAATCAAGACATTCATATTCACACCTTTACATGCATCTTACTACTGCACATCGAGCTGAGTCAAAGCAACCAAGCAGAAGCCGGCAGAAAATGTATCACGATGACTTACTTCTCTCCGGGGTCAAGGAAAATTATGAAATGCAATTAACTTTGCATCCTCTTCACCAACAACCCACGTTCGTCCCCTGCCCAGTGTAACCAAAGCGCCGGAGAAAGACGAAAGAGTTTGGGGGCAGTTCGAGTTTCCTCATCTTTTATGTCTAGGGATGACTTCCACAGATCCTAGTATTTGGTGGTAACACAAAAGTTTACAATAAACGCAGACGTGGATCTGACGATCTTTCGACTGAGAAAGTACATGGATGATGACCATTCATGTACGCTCATTTTTCCACCCACCTCATCCACACCACTTGTCAGCCTGTTTTTGCAATTCAAGCCAGTCATTCCCCTTGACTTTCCGTCCTCGCAAGCCGCGCTGGAAATGAGAAATCCAGAAGTATGCTTGGGCTAACGAATATATATTAATACATGGCCAATACTTAAAATTACGGAGATGCATCTCAGGCTCTTGTAGTGTGTGCGATAGACCTATGATTGGCACTTCAGCCGCTCAAAGTCACTGCAAGGACGGTTGGTATCGTGTATGTACCGTGGCCCGATCGTAGACAGGCATATTTATTATTGTTTCTTCCGGCTTCTATTCCTTGTCCACATGTCATGTCCTTGGAACATGTACCGAGGATACTTAATGTCTGGATGTGGCCGCCCCCCTCTAATCATCAGATCACACCTATAACAACAAAATTCCCCATCATCAAATTTCACACGAAATCTTGCTTGTCACACAATATTAGATGAATGGTCCATCGACTATATCATTGACATCTCCACTTCCCCAGACGCCTTACTGGTTGTCCTAGGATCCGAAGTGGTGCCAAGCGCTTCCAACGGTCTTCGGCAAGATATGCAAAGAAAGGGATGTCAGCCCTGTTGACTACAATCAAACGTTCCCAGGTACATGAGAACGTAAGTATCTTTGTATCTATACCCCAGCCTCACACGGTGATCTTATGAACCAATCCACACGCGAGCCTACAGCTCCCTCCGACACCTCTTTCGCGCAACAACCACCTAAAAACTTCTCGAACCTTCCCGACCCCGAAGATTTCTCTGCATTCTTTACCTTTCCCGCGCACTCACCCCCGACCATCCATCCAATGTCTAAGCGTGTAGATAGACAAGAAATCGATCCTAACGCGAGCTTTCAACTTTCACATAATCATCCATCGACTACCGACACGTCTACTCTCAAGTCTGAGATTCCTTCGCCAGCCAGCTCGCGAAATAAGAGACGCGCCTCGGGGCCGGCGACGGCAACAAATACTTCGGTTTTCAATATGCAGGCGGGTTCATCTATTGCAGGACCTTCTTCGGCGGGCTTAGATGATCCCATTATGGCCCCTTCGATGGCACCACCTGCTAAAAAGAGTCGTACCAATACTCCTTGGACACCTGCTGAAGAGCAGAGATTGAAGAATATGAGGGATGCAGGTAATAGCTGGGCGGATATTGCAAAGGTGAGATGAGATGAAAATCTACTTTGGAGTGACCCAAACAGACTTTTCACGTCATGTCACACAAAGCTTGGAGACGAAGCTAAGACGTAAACTTTGTGTTTATAGACTTTCCCAGCAAGAACTGAAGGAAGTGTTAAGAAGCACTGGTACAAGGTGAATACATACTTTCATTCTCTTCATTTTCTTCCCAGATATCTATCTCGCTAGGACGAAAGTAGTATGGGTGGTTTGTTATGACATAGACTAATAGAGTTTTAGGACATGCATTATGCAGAATTCGCGGAAGATGAGGTACGTTCTATCTTTGCAGCATATCATGCATATGGTACGTGCTGATGCTCAAATAGAGTCAGGCTTTGCTCGCGGCCATCAAGGATTACGAGGCGAATAAGTGGAAGGCTATTGGACAAAAAGTTGGAAAACCCGCCAAGGTAAGCTGTCATTTTCTCTTGTGGTTTGGTTTTTGTATCTGGGACATCTGGTTTTGGAAGGTGGTCTTGGATATGTACTTTCTGAAGTACTGAGACTAGTATCGATACACTAAATAACCCATGACTTACCAAACTCCCTAACCATCATCTAGGCTTGCGAACAGTATGCCAAAGATAATTTTGGCGGGAAAATATAAGAGGGCGCTGGATGGTATTCGGGTGGGATGCTTTTGGCATGCTATTGTTTCTCTTCTCTTTCGTTTCTGTTTCTTCTTCTTCAAAATATTGCTTTTTCAGTGCATTTCTTCGGAAGTAAGTACAGGATGCTGGGTATTGGATTGGCTCGGCTCGGCTCTTGATTTGATCATTTCGGTTTGAGGAGAAAGTTATCTTACCTATCTTTATATGTATAAGCAAACAAGCAAGCAAGCATGGATGGATGTTTATTTGTCCATTGAATTTATGTTGATTTTGTTCGATTTGCTCTTTTTGGTTTTGCAACTTTTATGCTTGGATTGGATTGGGTTGGGATGGTTGGGTGGGTTTATTGCATGAATGGTAGATGGATGGATTATGGATGGACGGATCATGGATGGATGAAAAAAAAGGCGGGTTTCTATATCACTATTAAGGCGTTTAAATAAGAGCTCATTTCACTCATCTCATCTCATCTCGACTCCTCTTCTTTTCTTTCTTTCTTTCCTCGGTTTCCCCTATTGTCCGTTCTTCTGTCCCTTACATGGAACTTCGGGGAATCGTAATGGATGCTGATAAAAAGAGCAACATCAACATCAACACCACCACCAACAAGACACCACGTACCATGCTCACAGGCTTAGCGTCCAGTTGGATCTGGCTAGCTTGACATCTTTCGCTGCGCTTCCCTTTTTTAAGGCTTCTGGAATGGGAAACCGTTGTTGTGAATATTGATCGATGTTTCTTTGGCTGGAGAAACATTTCTCATATCTCATTTATTCTGTCTCTGGTTTTGTTTGTGATTTGCTTGCTTGTTTGCTTGTCGACTGTTTGATCTATCTTGGCTAGCCGAATTTGGTCTTCGAAATCCTCGAGTAGACGGGATTTTAGGGGATGAGGCAGTAAGGAGATCGGATGAAGTAAGGGGGTTTTCGTATGCATTTTTTTGTATGTACTGAGCTGTGCTTGAAATGGGTATAGTGAGGTTTCAATTTGTATTTTGGTGGGAGGTGAGATGAGTTGGAATGGATTGGGCTGGGATGGGATGAGATAAATTAGATTTGGCACCGAATAGAAGTTGTGTTTTCTATTTGAGGAATTTGATAAAGAAGGGGTGTGAATGGATGGATAAATGGACAGATGGATGTATGTTACGGGAGCTGCCTCTAAGATCACGTGGAAGTGTCTAGAGATCTCTCGAAATGGTTTAGACTAGACTTCAAGTAGGAATTCAATAAGATTGTAACTGATTGCAATTCTCATAACTATAATATGAAACTAATGATTGATCTTAAGCACGAAGCTCTACATTGTAATGAAACCCATTCTTTATATAGACCTTCGTTCCTTGTTGTCCCATTGATCCCATCGTGTCCCACCAGGTGGGAGCAGTGGGATCCAGTGGGAATCTCTAATCCCGTGACTTTCTGATCAGGTGACTCGGTATGTTAGATGTCGTCGTAACAATGTATGATACCCATCAGGAGAGAAAGATATTGGGCTTCTGGATTCCAGACTTTGGAGAGATTGGAGGAAGTAGGTGTGCTCGAGTATTGTTGCTTATTTATTGCGAGGTTATGAGATTGTGAGACATAATGAGATGATATCTATAATAGGTGTATGATACATAGGTAAGAGTTCTAGACCCTCCTCGCTGCATACGTAACGTTTTTCCGGCTAAAACCTTTTAATTTTTGATTTTTGATATCCTAGTTTAATCATTATTGTATAAGATAAATCAAAGATTTACTCCTTTAAATTATAATTAATTAACGAAAATATAAATAAAATTATTTAGTTTATTTTTAAATATCTTTCTGGTAAAATTATAAGTAGTTAAAGTAAAAAATCCTAGATTTTTCAGAGAAATTACTTATTCTATAAATAAATAAAATGTTACGAGTTGGAGTTTTCTAACTTTTTTAATTTCAAGCTAATACAAAACTTCAATTAAAATAGTAAAAAATAACATATAAAATTTTCTACATTTTAATAGATTTCAATTATTTTTCTGAAAAGTTTTAAAAATAGTTATTTAATATTTTAGTTTATATAAGAAAACAAGAATTTTATAGACATTATATTATAAATTATTATAGTAGTTATACGATAAGTAAGTTTAATATCTCTTATATATATATAGAATAATAGAGTCTGTTTAATTTAATCTAGTCTTATATCGTCTAATCTAGTCTTATCTTGAGATTATTCATAATCTGAAAATGAAGAATTATTATATACTATATCTTATTATGATTATGATTATATTTGATATTTGATATTTAATATTTGATATATGATATTTGAGAATATCTAGATATATTAAATGAGGTAGTATAAAGAGTTTCTTTTAAAATGAGGATTTACTATTCGATTCTATATTATCTAATCTACTTGATTTTTCTCTTATAGGATTTTAATATGTATAGAGACTAGGTAGGTGACATTTATAGGTATGGGAATAGATGTAGATATATATATACATATGCCGTGAGTATATATGTATAATTTATATATCTTTGAAGTTTTAATATTACATGATATTATAGATATCTACCTACTCATCTACCTATACATACATATGATACGCCCGATAACACAAAGTACATCGTATAATCCAGGAACATTGACGGGTTCCTGATATAGTCTCATTTCATTAGATCTCATCTCACTTTATCATATCTCATCACATCTCATGCTCATCTGACTACACAAAATATATAACAAATAGAGGTACAATAATCGCGTGCCGCACCGCGTTGTGCCGTGTTTTTGGTTTGTACCTAACTAGTATGACCTATAGATTAGATTGAGGGGTAGGGAATGTTAGTTGTATTTGTGTATTGTGTATTGTGTATTGATGTATTGGTACGAATGTATTGCTGGGGTGAGTGTATACAAGTTATGATAATGTGATGATATATAGGTGGATATGGCGTCTGGGGGTGAATGTGAATATGGATATGAGGGGTGATTGATGTAAGGCTGATGGAGAGTACTTGGGGAATGGATTGATGAATAATCTTTTACTTTTGAAAAAGAGGTGGTCTTGGCATAGATGCGCAACAATAAGTGTTGTTCTGTGTAGATACCAAATCGATGTCTTGAATGGAGAGATGATACATTGTGATTCTCTTGAGAAACTATCATCTCCTCTATTCATGCGAGCCATATCAACAATTTTACCTACGCTAATTATTCACTGTATAACACATATGTCGTAATACAAGGTGAAGATCATACCCTAGAACCAATAAAGATAAACAGAGTACAATGACACTCTGAGATAAACGCGTTAACATTTCCAACGCTCCATTCCACATATTTTCTTTTCTTTTTTCCTTTTTCGTGATCTCGCGGGAAGGGATTTTCAGGGGTTTAACTTCCCGGACACTAAGGTTTAAAAGAAAAGGTTCTCCCCGGAATTTGAGTGGAGTTTGATGGGGAAAAGTGTAATTGTGTACGAAGGTCGTATGTAAAGGAGTAAGTCTTGTAAAACCTACTTTTAGTAGAATCTTACTACTTTAAGAGATTTTATCGCCGCTTTAAGTCATTTGAGTAAATATTAATCTATTCCCCCTCAAAATACAAAATTTGAAGCTTTTTCTTATCTTTTTATTAATTTCAATAGTTTTATATGTTTAAAGCTTTTAAAGTTTTCTAAAGATTCTAAATAAACTTTAAATAGAATTTATATTTCGAAATCTAATCAAAATTAATAATTTCGAATAAAATAAAAATTAAATTAAATGAAATGTAATTTTTAATAATACTTTCGCCTGTTAAATTTTACTATATAAATATTCAATTAATGTTATAATTTAATTAATCTAAAACTTAAAAGTAGAGAAAAATACGATCGTTTTTTAGTATGATTTATAATACTTACTCTTTCAATCTTCGTACTATTAAATAAACGAATATATATAAACGTTAATTATTAGAATCTAGTAAATAGCTTTAATTCATTAGCTACTATATTATAAGCCTTAAGTGAAAGCGAAAGAGACTAGCTCTTTTCGTAGCGTCTATATAAGGCCTACAACTTCCTGTACATAGCTAGCTCTTTAGACAGAATATAATATAGACATTTATGACCTACGAATACCGTGGGTGCTACGTCTTTCGTATCCTTCTTAAACCAACAGAGTAGTTGTTTGATTTCGAAACACGTTTAATAAATTTCCTTGACCTCTACTTTAACTTAAGCTTATTTCTTAGTGTCTTCCTACTCTTTACCGAGGCCGATAACGATCATTTTGTTAATACACTAAAAATAGAATTCTGTCTGATATAAAAACGAATCTATAATTTGTATAGTACGCCTATAAAAATCTTAGAAAAAATGTTTATATAATATAGTTCTCGAGTAATTCTATATTATTTAAAGTTTATATACAACTTTAAATCAATCTATCAAATAGAAAGAAAAGTTAGTTTATTATTAATTAAGATTTCAGGAATTAATCAATATAGGGTTTAGAATTTTCTAATGTAAATTAAATTTAATAATAATATAGAATATAAAAATATTGAATATTATAATTATAAAGAGCTAAGTATATAATAAGATAAGTAATTCTTATAATCAAAATGATTTAAATTTTAATAAATCTGATAACAATTTCAATTTTCACTTAAAATTTCTGAAACCTATATTAATCGATTTCTGAAATTCTAATTGATAATAAAATAGCTGTTTTATTTATTTGATAGATTGATTTAAAGTTGTATATAAATTTTAAATAATTAGTAAGTTAAGGAATTACTTAATTTAGATTAACATTATTACTTGAGATTATTCTAATTATAAGCTAATATTAAAAATGTTATCTAGTTAGTATTAGCTCAAGTGAATTAGTTATAGATTCTTATATTTAAGATACCTATTTTAATTTGAAATTAAAATTTTAATATAATTTATAAAAACTTTAATTTTCATCTTAAATTCTTAAAATTAATACTGGTCGATTCTTTATATTTGAATTAATAATTCTGTTAGGTTTTCTTTTCTTTTATAAATTAATTTAAAGTTATATACTAAATTAAAAAGAATGTTAATCATTATATAAAGTATTTCAATAAGATAAGATTACATTCGCTTAATTAATAAAATAACATTTTTTTCTTTAACTTCCTCCTTTTAATTTTCTCAATTAACGTAACGTATGGGGAACTCGGACATATGGGGAACTCGGACATATGGGGAACTCGGACACTTTTAGCCCATCACCAACTTGAAACCGCAATAACTTTTATTATGCATACCCAATCACCTTCTACATCTGCTCAAATTGAAGAGAAGCTTCAAAAGGCTATAATTTCACTTCAATTGAAAGAATTTAAATCAATTAGAAAGGCTGCAGAGCATTTTGAAGTCCCTAAGTCTACCCTAGCTGATAGGCTGGCTGGGAAGAAAACACGTTCCCAAACCCACGAAATGGCTCAAATTCTTTCAAACGCAGAAGAAAATACTCTTGTACGATGGATTTCACGACTTACCATCACTGGATTCCCTGCTACACCTATGTTGGTGAAGGAAATGGCCGACGAAATTCGTCTTCGACGCGTTCGGGTCGCGTCATCTCGAAATCCTACCTCGACAGAAATTCCACCTATAGGCCACGAATGGATCTATAGATTCCAAAAACGACATCCAGAACTTAAAACATGCTATTCACGTCAATTAGAGTCTAATCGGGCTAAAGAAGCAACTCCGGAGAATATTCAGGCTTGGTTTGACGCGTTTCGCACGCGTCTCATTGAGCGAAAGTATGAATTAGATGATATGTATAATATGGATGAAACCGGATTTGGAGTTGGAAGTACTCAAAGTACGCGCATTATAGTCGATTCTACTCAGAAATCGAATTGGAAAGTTACAGCTGGCAAGCAAGAATGGATAACTGCATTTGAATGTGTCAATGCAGCTGGAAATGCTCTATCACCTATGGTCATTTTCAAGGCTCAGAATACGAATTCTGCATGGATTCCAAAGGACACACCTCAAAGCTGGCAGTTCTCTACTAGTACAAATGGATGGACCTCAAATAGCCATGGATTAGAATGGTTAAAAAGGGTTTTCGAACCAGAATCCAAGAAAGTGTCAGGTGACCGACCTCGACTTTTGATCATGGATGGCCATTCAAGCCATATTACAGGTAGCTTTATTGCTTTCTGTATAGATAATGATATTGATTTACTTATATTACCTCCTCATTGCTCTCACTTGCTTCAGCCACTTGATATTGCGGTGTATGGGCCAATGAAACGATATCATGCTTTAGAGGTCGATCGATATTCTCGAGCTGGTGTAAAGCGAATCCAAAGAGCTGAATGGGTAGAACTCTTTCAAAATATTAGAAAAAAAGCATTGAATTCTTCTAATATTAAAGCTGGCTGGAGAGGAGCTGGTTTAGTACCTTTTGCCCCACGAAAAGTACTCGATTCATTACCATTTAACTCCTCCCAGCAACCTTCTACTCCACAAATGAGAACCCCCAATCAAGACCTAGACTTGTCTATACTCAGGAGTTCTCCTCCAGATGGAACAGAACTAAGGCAAGCAAATCAGATCTTTAATACAGCTCTAGCAAGCAGTGGTTCTCCTGCATCGCCAACTCGTCGATATGCCAAGAGAATGACTAGGCTTGTAGAATCTCAAAATGCTGAGATAGCCCTACTTCGGAAACAGCTCTCTGATGCTCAGGAGGTAATTGAGACTCGAAAGAAAAGAACTAAAGGCAAAAGAGTCAAATTACAAGGTCAATTTGTCTTTAGTACTAAGGAAGTATTGAAAATGGTACGTGAGGCGGAGGAAAAACCGAAGGAGAAAAAGCCACGAGGACGGCCACGCAAACGCCCAATTGAAGAATCAGAAGAAGAGATTGAAGAAGAAGAGCTAGAGAATAGTTCAAGTGATTCGGAATTGGAATTGGAGGATTGTGTGGCTCGTAGAACAAGATCGCGTGTAGAATAATTGAAAAAGTGTCCGAGTTCCCCATATGTCCGAGTTCCCCATACGTTACGTTACTTTAACTTTAGTAATTAATCTTATAAGAATTATTAGGACTAGAATCTTGAGAATAAGATTAATAGAATCTACTCAATTAATAGTATAATTTTATAGTTTAATATATCGCTTTTCCATAAAGATTAGAATATATAATAAGTTTAAAAGGTTTAGATCAATGAGTTTTTATTAAAATCACACTACGAAATACTAAATCTGCTTTTAACTCAGGTAGAATTCTAATTTTAGTATATTAGTAAAATAATCGCTATCGACCTCGATACTCTTTCGTTCTATCTATAAGACTAATTTATTAGAATTCAGATATCGAAAAACCTTAAGTCATCTCTACGACCTTCTAATCGACTATAAAACAGAACCTCGAAGATTATACTATGAGATTCTATAATAAATATACTAAACCACTTATTATTATCTTACTAATCAAGAGATATATTGATGACTAATACATATACAATATGATTTTATATTAGTTATAAAATTATAAATTATAAATTATAAATTATATTATTATATTATTATATTATTATATTATTATATTATTATATCTCTTATCAAATTGATTTGTAATAAAATAGAATATAATGAAATCGTATGAAAGATTATCAATAAATCAGACTAAATTGATTAATTATACTTTCTTTTTATAATATAAATAATTTTATAAGGTTCGATTCAAATCGATCTTATTTATAAGTATAGAAACTACTAGAATTTCATTATAAACTATATAAACCTAGGATATTCTTTAAAGAAAACCTAGAAAAAGCAAGCAAATTCAGCTCAATCAAGCTCTTTCTTATAATTTGACTTTAATTCAACTCTCATACTATATTCGATTTATCCCTTAGGCTCAAGTGTTTAATGTTGAAGGGGCACCCACTAGTATTAGCCCTAGAAACAATTAGATGATGTTTCTAATCCTGAACATAAATGCTTACCAAGCCATCCCTTCCTCGTGCTGGTTGTCAGGACCTAGCAGGATTGTTGCGCTAACCCAATATGAGTATTCCGTATCGCAGGGAGCAACATTACTTTTCGCGGAATGTTCTCGTCGCTGGATAGCTTTCTTAAGGCGGCAGGCAGCATTTCTGCCAAATTTTTGGACGTGGTGATATTAAAGACTGAGGAAATTTTGTCTTGCTGCCTCGGACGGCAGTATAACTGAGGTAGGCCTTGAGATCTGGGCAGTAACAGTTGGACTATTGATATGGGAGGCGAAGAAAAAAGGGTCAACATCTAACTGAGAACCAAGCATCTCGATCATATCTTTTGTTAGGTCCTCGACAAGCAAGATACATCCTTGCGGCTGGCAAGCATTGGTAGAGCTGTTCATATTCAGACTATCTGTGGTCAAGACCTCTAGTAAAGATTTCAGCTCCGCTACACTAAGGTCATGTCGAGAAGGCGATTCATCTGTATCAGAGAAATTAAGGTAGGTTATATTGCAAGGCTTCCTATCGATAGATTGGGTTAGAAATTGACAGAGGTTCTCAAGAGATGGGGTTTCGTGGTCTTTGGGTAAGAACAAATGTATGATCTTCGCGCCATTCAGTCTAGAACTACTGAGAATTCAAATAACAAATTCGTGAAATTTGACATATATATTGTTCAAGTCTGCTTTCTTTATCGGTGAGCTGGCATTGCATCTTTGTAATATACACGTCCTAAATACCGATAGGTAACATCCTCCCAAGTCCCCTTTCCCGAGAGGCCGAATAGGAAAAGCCTCGTGCTAAGCCTACAATGTATTCAGATTCATCATATAAGGCTTTTGCAGCCTGAACAATGATGAATATGGCTGTCCACTATCCGCTGTCCGACTTTCCTCATTCACCCACCCCCCCAGTAGGCTGTGTGGTGGACGCCGTGGAACCTTGGGCGATCGTGAAAGTTTCTCGATCGGAATCGACAAAATTTACTTCTATAACCATAATTAGCGATGAAACATAATAAAAGAATAATTACACTCAACATAATGCTAGCCCACACTTTATGTGTGATTCCCACCCCTCCAGGCTGTAGAGCAGCCTTGACCCTTCGGACAAAATGAGATACAGAAGTGATCAAAATAATAGATACTGAAGAATGTAACCACTACTAAGGTTTTTCTAAACAGCAAAGACTAAAGAACATAACTACTGCCAGGGTTTTTCTAAACAATAGAGATTAAAGAATATAACTATTACCAGGGTTTTTCTAAATAATAAAGACTAAAGAATGTAATTACTACTAGGGTTTTTCTAAACAGTAGAGATTAAAGAATATAATTACTACTAGGGTTTTTCTAAATAGTAGAGACTGAAGAACGTAACTACTATTAGGGTTTTTCTAAACAGTAGAGACTAAAGAACGTAATCATTATTAGGGTTTTTCTAAATAGTAAAGACTGAAGTGTTACGGAAGCTGCCTCTAGGGTCACGTGGAAGTGTCTAGAGTTCTCTCAAGGTGGTTTAGATTAAACTTCAAGTAGGGACTCAATAAGGTTATAACTGGTTACAATTCTCATAACTATAATAATAAAACTAATAATTGTTCTTAAGCACAAAGCTCTACATTATAATGAAACCTATTTCCTTATATAGACCTTCGTTCTCTATCCTGATTTCTAAAACCTTTCCGATATGTTGGATCGTTAAGGATCGCAACGCGCTCCAGGAGCGCTGAAGCTCCTTGACGCTCCATCACGTGTAATTTATGTCATGTGACGCGGTATGTTGGATGCCGTCGTAACATGAAGAATATAACTATTGCTAAGGTTTTTCTAAATAGTAGAGACTAAAGAATGTAACTACTATTAAGGTTTTTCTAAACAACAAAGACTAAAGAACATAATTACTATTAGGGTTTTTCTAAATAATAAAGATTAAAGAATATAATCATTATTAAGATTTTTCTAAATAATAAAGATTAAAGAATGTAATTATTATTAAGATTTTTTTAAATAATAAAAATTAAAGAATATAACCATTACTAAGGTTTTTCTAAATAATAAAGATTAAAGAATATAATTACTACTAAGGTTTTTCTAAACAGTAGAGATTAAAGAATATAATTGTTGCTAGGGTTTTTCTAAATAATAGAGACTAAAGAATGTAACCGCTGTTAGAGTTTTTCTAAATAATAGAGATTGAAGAATGTAACTGCTGCCAGGGTTTTTCTAAACAGCAGATACAATAAGATACAATTCTTGTACACAACGCAATATAGGAGCGATTTTGTTGGGAAGACTGTGCTTGTATGTTCGTAATAGATGTTGTGCGATGGAGATGGCGATGGAAAGACCGTGCTCGTATGGTCGTAATAGATGTTGTGCGATAGAGGGATAGTGAGATAACGATAGAAAGACTGCGTTTGTATAATCGTAATAGATGTTGTACAATAGAGATAGAAGGATATATAGAGATGGCGATGGAAATAGAGATGGAGGGATGCGGAGATGGCGATGGAAATGGAGAAAGGAATATGGAGATGGCGATGGAAACAAGAGAAAAGATAGCAAAAATGTACAGGTATAGTATAGGCCAACGAACTTAATGCTACTTAAGTCAGCATACTAATAAGCGAGACCAAATGCCAAATGCGGGAACCAACTACGAGCCACTTAAGTTCTCACGTGCCTCTGGTTAGTCGGTGTACCAATATGGTAATTTAGTCTAAAGGTCCTTACTCACGTGCTTCCTACTGGAACTCAGATTCGGACCGGAAATACTATTTTCCTAGCCAATGATAGGTGAATTAAGGACACCCTTGATTTTCAGAATTCTACCGTGATTGACTATTTCTCTTGATTCCTGGAACTTCTTGTGTTTTAACTTTTAAGCTTCATCGACCCTTACAGAGGTGTAATGGGTAGTGTTGTGCCTCGCGAGAGGGTTAGTCATTGCTCTCGTTCCGGGTGTACTTCGTAGTTTCCTATACAATTAGGGCCAGGTGCTCTGTGCCATATAACGTGATTGAAACAGGTGGTTAAAAACAACTTTTTCATTGAAGGAATGCTATTAGGGCAGCCAAAAAAAATATTCCAATTCTTTCGCACGAAGCTCGCTGGATGTAGCGGGCGAAACACCTCGAACCTGCTCTATCTTATGATGTATAATTTATAATGTATAATAATATATAATATATAATTCTATCTCTAACGTGGTTTAACACCGAGTGCACCATATCACCGAATGCACCACTTCAAAATACACCAAAATTAGCCTTTTCCTAATATTCATATTTTAATACTTAATCAATATTTTTTAAAAAACAAAAAAGATTTATTAATAAGAAAATATTTTTTATAAAAGTATTAAGTTTCTATATAAAAATTTCTATTATATTCTATAAAAAGTGGAAATTGTCACGATTTTCGTTACAAAAAAAACTATTCCTATAATAACTACTATATTAATTCAAATTTTTATAATATTTATATAATTAAATGTTACAATTTCAAATTTTGAAAAATTATATTATTAAATAAAGAAAGTGCACGGTTACGCACAGACGTATTTTGTATGTAAAATTCGTGGTGCACTCGGTGATATGGTGCACTCGGTGTTAAACCACGTTATCTCTATTTCCATTATAAATTCATAAATAAATCTATTAATCAAATACAAGGAATGTTTACAAGTTACCTACCTACCTGTCTACCTTACTCATACAACAATTCATCAGCACTCCTCTTACTATTGAAAACGCTCCTTCGTATTCCCTTCACGGCCACAAAAGGATTCAAAAGGACTCACCTTGTATTGGCTTGTCCTTCCACCCAATTCGCAACACTACCAATTGGTAATCGCCCCGATTATACAGGTCTGTTTTTTCTTTCTTCATTATTTGCCTCCCTCTTGAAGTGCATGCATGTCGAGTACGAGATGGTCCATATTTATACGTGTGGTGATTGGGAGATTGATAAATGGGATGATGTGAATAAACCCACATTGATCATGCTAAATGATCCTTCATGCCCACTCTTTCGCCAAAATAGAAATCTCCTAGTGGTGATTAGTCGGGACGGGTGCGGAGGATATGCAGATCGAGATTAGGGCGAATGGGGATTTAGGTCGGGAGGGATGGATCATGGATGAAATTAGATGGATGTCATGCTCTGCAAAATTGAGAACCTCGGGTGAAGGAAGCTAAGGGCGTTGGATATATGAGGTTTCATTGGTTGAAAGTCTCGTGTGTATTGAGAATCTCCGTGGCGATTGTGCTTGGTATAGGTATCGTGAGTTCTTGAGTGTTGAATCGTAAGTCTTGCTCTTCGAGGCTTGAGTCTTGAGTGGAGTAAATGATGATCAAAAAGACCAAAAAGATCAAAACATTCAAAACTAATACCAAATCCGTTAATACATGCAAAGCCAGCACAAGCCGTCTTTAAACACCTACCTGGTACTGTCAAAATACTCGCGGTACAATGTCGAGCACTAGTTGATAGAATAGTCACCACCACGGATATTGCATGGATGAAAATAGCCCAGAACTCCTCGACCCTCTTTTACTGGTCTTGTCCTCCTTGAGCTTGTCTTCCCCATTCAAATACATATCTCTCCCTTTCCTTCCCCCCTATCCCACTTCTTTCTCCAAAATCTATCCGTTGTTCAAAGACGTAGGTAGATCAAGAAAAGTATTCACGACATCATTCGTTATTCGTTGTTGAGTCCTATTGTTGTTCTCTTGTCATTTTTCTCGTCAATCACATTCGCTTGGGAATCCATTCTTCCATTACACTACATCTGCCAAGCAAGCAAGAGCAATTTAATAATCCTTCAATTTTGGACGAATTTCAAGGGAAGGCACCATACGAAGAAACAGTTAATGCACATAAAACGGCCGACCGACAGATTTCATATTACGACAAGGAAAGAATCAGGGGATTCTAGTGTTTCGCGGGGAACTACAACTTTACTACCCAATCTTCGAACGAGAAATTCAATCACACCCAGCACATACTTATTCACTCGATACGAGAATATTTTAAGTACAATAAGTCGTTGATCTTATTACACTTCTATCGTGGACCTTTTATATTTCTTTGATAGTTCATCGTACTATTCGTACTACCTTAAGACCCCTCGATATCGCCGATCGCTTCGATATCAATTTGGGCGGCTCTCTTTTTTGACTTCTGCATATACATACGAAATGGTTGGAAAATCAGCATTATTGTCCGTCCTGGCGTCAGCCTCGGTGGCGTTCGCTGCTTGCAGTCTTGACAGTCATTGTCCCGAAGAAACTCCATGTTGCTCTCGTGAGTCTGCTCTTACTAGTATAAGTATGGAAGGTTGAACTAACAACCGCAGAATATGGAGAATGTGGTACTGGTGCATATTGTTTAGGAGGTTGTGATCCTCGAATGTCATTCTCTGTCGATTCCTGCGTTCCCGAACCCGTCTGCGAGAGCGCTTCATATACATTTACGAGCATGGATGGAATAACTTCAAACATAAAATACTTGGGTGATGCATCAAAGTCAAATTGGGTTTATAGTGGAAGTCCAGTTATCTACAATGACAATGTGTTGTTGACTATGTCGGCAAACTCGGTCGGAACGGTTATGGCATCTTCGACTTATATGTGGTATGGAAATGTAAAGGCAAAGTTCAAGACTAGTAGAGGTCGGGGTGTGATTACGGCTTTTATTCTTTTCTCGGACGTCAAGGATGAAATCGATTACGAATTTGTTGGTTCGGAATTGACCACTGCTCAATCCAACTATTATTTCCAGGGTATTACAAATTGTGAGTAAATTTCTCATGAGGGCACGAGAATATACTAATCTGTTTACAAGATGACAACGAGTTAAATATCACTCTTTCCGATACATATGCCAATTATCACGAGTACGAAATCGATTGGACTCCTGATGAGATTACTTGGCTTGTAGATGGACAGGTTGGACGTACAAAGAAGCGTGCAGATACTTGGAATGCAACCGCAAACCAATGGAACTTCCCACAAACTCCCGCTCGAGTCCAACTCTCTCTTTGGCCCGGTGGTCTCGCAAGTAACGGTGCTGGAACTATCGCTTGGGCAGGTGGTGAAATTGACTGGAATTCTGAGGATATTAAAGACAACGGTTACTACTATGCCGCTTTTGAATCGGTTGACATTTCATGTTACAACGCAAAATCTGCTCCAGGAACCAATTCCGGAAAGTCATACTATTATAACAGTGCTTTGGGAACCAATAACACCGTCATTGATTCAAACAACGCAACTATCCTCTCCTCACTCTTGGCTACTGGAACAAATATGACCGCGGGAGAATCAGCAGCAGCTTCCGGTTCAACTGCTGTTTCCACTGCCGCAACAGTACCTGGACTTACAGGTTCGGGTGGTGGAGGAGTTGGAGATGACCATTCTGGTGATGACAGTAGCAGTATTGATTCTAGCTCGGGATCAGCAACTTCATCCTCCAGTGGTTCATCTTCAACTGGCAGCAGTGGATTTTCCCAAGGAGATGGCTCTACCACTACTAGCAAAAGCAGTGCAGATAGCCTCGTTGCAAATCAAGAACGAGTCCTCAAAGGCAGTGTATTTGCAGGAATTGTGGCAGTCGTTGCTATGATGGCTTTGTAAAGTACTGCATTATCGCATACGTCAGGGGTCCTTTTTTGGCATTTGCATTTTTGAAAATTAGCTTGGCATTGGGTTGGGGGTTTACTTACATTATAACAGCTTGAACATTTTTTTTCCACAGTTCCCTGTTTTTGTTATGTTTTGATGGTAGATATGGAGAGTGGAGTGGTTGATACCTCACTTAATGGCGTTTTTAGCTGTCCGTTCCTTTTTAAGAGGGTGGTTAGCAGGCTAGGGGTTTTTTTTAATCACAGTTTATTCTTGTGAATAGTTTTTTTTGGTTGGTGGATTAGGATGGATGAAGGACACCTTGATAGATGATGACTCAAGATGAGATCAGATGAGACGAGTTAGTGGGATGTTGAAACGATACGAGATGAGATGATGGATAATGGATAATAAATCCTCCGACTCGAATAACCTTGGGTTAACTCGAAATAGGTATTCAAATCACACTTTCGAGCGATTATTACAAATACATTGAGATTTTAAGAATTTGATTCATGATTGAATTCTGAGTTTGAGTATTGAAGTGAGATTGGATTTGTATGAGTGAGTAATGAGGGGTTTACATATAATTTGAATTGATGCATGTACAGAAAGCGGAATTCTATTAATGGATGGATAGTGACATTGAGGGTATGGAATGTATGTTTCGGAATTGAGTTGAAGGGGAGAGTTTAAGTGTACTCTGTACTATATTGATGACTTATTAACGTAGTTTATCAGTGTGTGCACCATATCAGTGCGTGCACCACTTCAAAATACACCAAAATTAATCTTTTATTAATATTTTTATTTAAATCATTAATCATTATTTTTTCTCTGAAAAAGTTTCCCTATGAATAATAAAAATGAAATATTTATAAAATTTAATCTTTTTATAGATATCTCAATTGTAGCTCAAGAATGTTACACTTTGTATTATAAAAATCTATTTCTTTAAATAACTTTATTATTATTATAAGATTTTACTATTTTAATTCATTTTTGTATTATTTATATAGATAAATATAATATATATAAGGAAAAATTAAATTATACTAATAAATAAAGAAAGTGTACGGTTATACACGGCCGTTTTTTGTATGTAAAAATAATGGTGCACGTACTGATATGACGCATGTACTGATAAACCACGTTATAAGTTATTAGTAATAGACCCCCGGATACCGGGAAGATAAATTAGTAGAACTCTAATAAATGAATTATGTAAGATCTTATATTTGGCCTTTTTCTTCTTCTATCCAGAGTGGGGATTCCAAAAAGTATTATTTATTACTTGCTAAAAGTCTGGGCGTGGAGATTGGCGAATGCTTAATTAGCTCTTTCGTAACTGCACCTACGGCTCAATTACCGGGTATCACAGGTGCCTACTTTGTATTTCTGAACAAGTCTTTTCTTTGGTTGGGGATGTGGGAATTCGTGGATATTGTATAGAGGGGAGGGTAGAGGAAGAGAAGGGAAGGGAAGGGAGAGAGGAATTCTTGGGTGGGAGGAGAGCGAGAGAAGGCTTCTTATCGTGTGTGCTTGATAAGGTTATCGCATCGCATCGTATTGTATCGACAAATATTCTATTCTGCCTCCACGGCAGTGGCTCCCCGAGGGCCAGCGGAGCGTCATTTATTGGGATTTGGAATGGATTATTTATAGTAGTTCTGATGGAATACTCAGCGAAGATATTTTTTGGTAAGTGGCGTTATTTGGTAAAGACTTTCTGATATGGCAAGACTAGGATGGATTAGCAATTTGGTTGTGAACCTTTCATGTATCAGGCTTGATCTGACGATACTTGAGGGGTTTCAAGTCTTAGGAGGGGTGTTGGGATGGATTTTGGGATATTGATCGAAGGGGGGATGGGGAACGGAGAGGATATGGATTTATTTGAGTTTTATTTGGTTGTGCTGCTGGAACTTGAAGAGGTTTGGGAAGTGGTGGTTCGTTCAGGGTTTGATTGTTGATGATGTTTTGTCTTTTCTTCTTTTCTTCTCTTATATTCTTCAAACTTTTCCTGTCTTTTACGATTGATTGATTGATTGATTGGATTTGATATCCATAACACTGAAGTTATCATATTATTATTTTTTAATTATTTTCTCGTCATTCCTTCTCTTCTATCTTCTATTTCTTTTTCATCAGCGGATATCGAACTACTTGACCTTTACCTATTTGGTAACGGAGTATCTACAAGCACTTTGAATACGATACGAATATTACCAACGTACCTTTGATAGGACTATATTGTTTCTATTCGTATTAGCTGCAGTCATCTTTACGATCTTTTATTATTATTGCAGCATCTGTGCCACGTTTAAATAAGCCTTTTCCAAGACGGGTTTCTATTTCTTGGGTTAGGTTTCCCCGCTTTACTTTACTTTACTTTTGTTTATTTATCTGGCTTGCTTTTTGGGTTGGAGTAGATATACGTATACGTGATTTTATAATGCGCATTCAGAGTTGGTTATGGTGTTGGTCGTTGCTTGGATGGAGGGTGGTGGATGCGCTGACGGTTGATACTTCACAGGCTGGTATGTTTGTTTTATTTTGATGGTGGAGATTGGCATGTTGAGTCTGATGTTTATTTCTAGATTCGGTTAAAAGTGCTGCAAGTTCTGTTGCGGCGAATTTAATATCGTATTATCATGGGAATGAATCGGTATGTGAACTTTAATAGTATCGTGCGATGCAAATTCTTTGCTAACGTTCTATAGGGCCAAACACCAGGACTTCTACCTCCACCTTATTTCTGGTGGGAAGGTGGTGGAATGTTCATGACATTGATAGATTATTGGCGTTACACGGGAGATACTTCATACAATAGTATTGTCTCGGAAGCTCTACTATTTCAAGCTGGCCCAAATGCCGATTATATGCCTGCGAATCAGACCAAAGATGAAGGGAATGATGATCAAGGATTTTGGGGAATGGCTGCTATGTTGGCTGCTGAATCGAATTTTCAAAATCCTCCTGCAGATCAACCACAATGGCTTGCATTGGCTCAAGCGGTGTTCAACGAAATGGCCAGTCGATGGGATACCAGTACTTGTGGAGGTGGACTGAGGTGGCAGATCTTCACTTTCAATAATGGGTTCACGTATAAAAATTCCATTGCAAATGGATGTTTTTTTAATATAGGCGCGAGATTGGCGAGGTATACGGGAAATCAAACGTACGCGGATTGGGCGGAGACGATTTGGCAATGGGAAGAGAGTGTGGGATTGATTGATAGTGGATATAATATCTTTGATGGGAGTAGTGATACGGATAATTGTGCGAGTGTGGATCGTTTGCAGTGGAGTTATAATGCGGGGATTTATTTGCATGGAGCGGCGAACATGTTTAATTATGTGAGTTTTTTCTCTCAGATCCTGTGTCGTTGAAACCCAAAGATGGATAGAGAGGGAACTTCTCCCTTTCGAGCATGATACAGAGGAAGGAAAGTAAAGGAAACTGACCTACATACTCAGACCGATGGAAATTCCACCTGGCAACAACGCACAAACCAATTAATGAACACCTCAATCAACATCTTCGCCTCCAACAAAACAAATTCCATCATCACCGAACAAGCCTGCGAAAATGTTAATAAGTGCGATACCGATCAACTATCCTTCAAAGCCTATTTTACGGCCTGGCTCGCCTCTACTTCCATCCTCGCGCCTTTTACCGCTCAAAGTATTTTCCCCATCTTGCAAAGCACCGCGAAAGCAGCAGGAGGACAATGTACGGGCACGGGAAATGCATGTGGATTTAAATGGACGGAAGGAACTTTTGATGGGAATGTGGGGGCGGGACAACAGATGAGTGCGTTGGGCGCGATACAGAGCGCGATGGTGGCGGTTCCCGGCATGGATAATGCGAGGATTGGACCGGTGACGAATAGTTCGGGCGGAACGAGTGTGGGGGATAGTGCGGCGGGGAGTGGGAAGATGGGGAGGGAGGGGATGCAGGGGGAGGGGGTGGTGGGGAGGGGGGATAGAGTGGGCGCGGGGGTGCTGACGGTGCTGGTGCTGGGGGGGTGGTGTAGTGTGGTGGGGGTTATGATTTTGGGGGGGGTAAGGGATGGAGAGGTAGGATGAGGGGAGAGGGTGGGTTGAAGTTGAGATGAGTTTGAGATACCTATTTTGAGTACAAATTTCTTTGAGGGATTAGAAGATTTTATTGGGTGTATGCATACCTATACTATGGGAGCGATTGGAGTTTTTTTTCCCCGAAAAATCAACAAACGGTATTGGATTCGGGAATTGGGATGGCATTGGATTGGAATTAGGATTGATATCAAATTGAAATTACGGGATTGAATTCAGATTTACCTCCGAATCAAGAATTTGCACCTGGGAAATATTCTTATAGAAGTATATTTCAGATTCTTCTTCAAGATTAAGTGAATAAGAAACTTATGGATCTTATCTATATATCTTTTAAATTTGAATTTTGAAATTTGAATTATAATGAAGGAGAGGAGTTAGATGGTGTGAAATGGTGTTGTCTGAATGTAGAGTATATGAGGAATTTGATATGGAAGAAGGGGAGAGGTGGAGAGGGGTGGTATCTTGTATGATGTTGTATTTCATTGTGTCACCGGTGAGGGATGATGGTGTGTGTGCTAGGATCTAGGGATACATGTGAAGGATTTGAGTGGGTGCTAGGATCTGAGATCTAGAGATGTACAGGTAGGAGGTTTAGGAGGGAAGTTGAGAGATTAGGATTGGTGACTATAGGGGAGATGTTGAGGCTACTAGATTGGATTGGTGTATTGCATACTTTAGGATGGGAATGATGATAATCATGTGTCTATATATCTAATACTATTACTCGCTATAAATATACTCTTATTAACCCAAAGGATCTTTCTTCCCGATGAGAAATTAAGAATTAAATCTCTTCCTGAGATTCTTTTTCATGTATACCTACCTAGGTATACCTACCTAGGTAGGTCCTACTAGCATATAAAGAAAAGAATAAATCCCGTTCTTCGATTCCATGAGAATCACTAAATACTTATTTATTAATCAATCAACTGGCTATCTTCTGACCCATCTACCTTTTTGGAGGGGACTGTAGATAGGACCTCTTGAGTGAGAGTTTGCGGTGGTTTTCTTCGAATGAACTATCTAGCTAGTTTTAGGAATGAAAGTTGGGGGTAAATGGAAAGAAATGTTAGAAGCTCTTGGAGGATAGATGGAGGGGATATGGGTAGGTAGGTGTTTGGTTCAGGTTATGGGTGATGGCTTTTCTAGGAAAAGTATGATGGGTATTTGAATTATCTGATTGATGCTAATGGATGGGAAAGGAGCGGATATGGATGTGGATGTGTGTAGATAGATAGAGGGCTATGGAGATTTGGAAGAGGGGTCAAGTGGTGAGGGGGTAGGTTTGTGGGGGTATGTCAGTAGAAGATGTTTTTGGGGGTGGGGTTGGTGTGAGGAGATAGATTTTTTTTGTAGGGGTGAGAGTTTGAGATGGATGGATAGATGGATGGATGGATGGGAAGGAAGGGGCAACTTATGATATTTAGGTAGGTATAGAGAGGTGGTGGATAGTTGATTTGATTAGGCGAAATGATGGGTTGTAGTTGATTGATCAGTTTATGTATGAGGTATGTAACTTGGTTCATTGGTTTTCTTTCTTGATGAATGAATGAATGAATGAAGAGTCGAGTTTGCGGCAGTCAACATAGTATAGAATAGATGATGGTATTAAGCTAGGGAATGAGTTGAGATGCTTAGGTACCTAGGTAGGTATAATGGATTTGAAATTTGAGATGGATTCGGAGGGTTAGGGTAAATGATGCTTGGTGATTGGAATATTTTTGGTTAGTTCTGGAGAAAATAGATTTGAGCTCGATATGTCTAGTGCTCAGGTAATTGATTGTTGAGTCTGTTTGCCGGTCAAGTCAATCTAGTCAATGGTGGACGTCAACTGAACTTTCCCATCCCTTGACCGAAGTCTTCGGAAATGATGATATCACGTGACAAACCTACAGCTAACCGGAAACCAAGTCTTGAAGGGAAAGAACTTGCTGTAGGTAGTGAAGATGCTTCCTTTTTATTCATTCTTTGGGAACACGAAGGCTGGCGCCACAAACACGTGAAGAGTGGATCTATTCTTGTCAAATAAGAAAATAGTGAGATGTTTTGGCATGTGCTTTGGGGCTCCCTTACTTCTCAACTACTATCAAGATCATAAGTGAGATCTGGTAGGTTCACCGGAAAGCCAAAGCCATGTTGCGGAATGCGGGAGGATGGAATATGATTCAGGGGAGGTTAGAAGGTTGATGTCAGAGGCGTGGGGGAAATTTGAGGATGTCGGTTTTGGGGTACTTTGCGATCATTTCTGAGTGTACGCGTGGTTTTCAAAGCTTGGTTTAGAGCAGTCTTCTTGCATTTTTGATAGTGATGCGGTGAGTCTTTGGAATGCGCGATTTTTGTCGTTGATGGAGTGGTGGCGGCGCCTTCTAATCTTGCGAGGGAAAGGTAGGTAGCACTTGCTTGCTTAACTTTGTCGTGCAATTTTTTTGTTTACTCGAACTTTTCCTCTTCTCCTTTCCTTTCCTTTTCTTCTCATCTCTTCATTGTTTGTCTTCAAGCATACCAACGAATTGCCATGATTTTCAATAGATATTTCCTTCTCATGCCTATCAAATGGTATTCTTCTTTCCAAGTACTTGGCCCAGACTGTCCTATCCTTCATGTGGCATTCTTTTGCCGTTTTCTAGATGCTCTACACCAGCTTTAATACTTCTAGATTTGAAACATATCTTAGGGAGGACCGACAGACCTTTCCTATTGGCGCCATAGCTTCGAAGAGGTGAAGAATGTACATCCATTTCAAACGTTTCTTGGCAAGTAAACAAGGTATGAAATCACGTCAAAATTCCGAATACTGCTACGACGGTCTATCGATATCGACTATTTTATGATGCTGTGCTAATTTCATCAGGGCTGTACGAAATGTTCGCTGTATTCAATATCAGACGATACATTGATTTGTTCGATTACAATACACAATGAAGTCGAGTGACTTTTAGGTTACATGTTTGAAGTCAAATTACACCAGAATTTAAGGACTGTCATTCGATATCACATTCCAATATGGGAATCTTGCCAAACTCTACCCATTCCTTGAATATTCTTGTCATTAACTTGTATCCTATGTCTCTGACTTTATCGTCTCCTTGACGCGAGAAAGACGCCACCTACATTCTTCCCAGTACCATATTCAAAAACAAAGCTTACATTCTATATATTCTTCAATTCCTTGAGAAGTATTCTTTTACAAACTTTCACGTCGGTCTTTATACAGAAGTCAAGTATTTGTTATTTTCAGACATTTCGAAGCCTCAAATATCATCTACTCGAGTTCACCCAGACACTACGTCAGGACCATGCGTCCCACTTCACTTCCAAAGTGCCTGCTGCAGGTTGCTGCTTGTGGTATTGCACTCATTACTTTCGCTCATGCGGTACCAGCTACTGTTTATTCAACTGTCACTCGTTATAGAATTTCAGTCGTTCCACAATATACGACTTATACTGATGTTTCTTTTTCAATTCTTACTTACACTGCACCTCCTTCAATTCATACCCAATATGTTACAGCCACAGAAGTTAAGCGTAGAACTACGACTATCTTCGATGGAACAACAACTGTGATTGAGCCGGCTTCAACTGTATTCGGTGAGTACCTTGAATACATTGGTCAAACTATGAACCCAATCTAATGATGAATAGCATCCGAATGTGGTAGCACCACACAGTCTTCTTCTGCGGCCCCTTCATCGGATATTCTTAGTAGTTCGACTGTATCTTCTGAATTCACTTCATCTTCTGGTTTCACTATTCCACCAGTTGACAATCACAATTCTGGGTCTTCATTTAATACTGAAGTATCAGCGACTTCAGTTCCACAGGTCACTTCCGAGCCACCTATTACAACTAGCGAGCCTACAGTAACACAAGTTGTCAGTACCGAAGAACCGGGAGTTACAACTCTGCCACCTTCGGAACCAACTCGCGTTTCATCTGCCGATACACCAGCTGGTACTTCTAACGCAGTGGACTGTTATTCAGATGAAGAGGGTACTGGCTTTCCATTGGCTCCACCTGTCACGGATAGTACCGATCCAGATACTCACGATACAGTCGGTCACTGCGTTGAATTCTGCTCTACAGACAATGGAGGTAACCCATTTAGATACGCAGCAATTGGGCCAGGACACTGCTATTGCTCGAACGGAAAGCTTGAAGCAGAACCAACCACCGATTGTTTCTATCCTTGCCCAGGCGCTTCGACACAAATATGTGGGGGAAGTCTTTCACCCACCAGAAGACTCAGACGTCGCGCTCCTGGAGATGCGATTATTGTTTACGAATTGGCTGGATATGTTTTTCCAACATCAGTCGGTCCTACAGATGTCGGTCCAAGTGAAACACCAGTCCTTAGCTCAACGAGTGAAATCATTGCCACTGAGGAACCTGGTATCACTTCTACAGGAATCCTTCCAACGGAAACACTGGGCGCCAATTCAACGACTGAAATTATTGTCACGGAGGGACCTGGCGTCACTTCTACAGGAATCAACACCGAGGGACCAGGGTTCACGAGCACTACTGATGTCATCAATACTGAAGAATCTGGCGCGACAAGTACATCCGCAGTTGTGACTGAAGAGCCGGGAGTGACGAGCACCTCGGCAGGTATCGTAAGCACGAGTGAACTGGGAGCTACAACGACTTCGGAAGTTGTTAACACCGAAGGGCCAGGCGCCAGTAGTACTTCGGAAATTATCAATACTGAACAACCGGAAGCTACTAGTACCTCAGCTATTGTCAGCACCGGGGAACCAGGAGCTACAAGTACTACTGATGTCGTCAATACTGAAGAGCCTGGAGTCAGCTCAACAGAAGCAGCTAGTAGCACTGGCAGCGGTATTCCACCTGTCAATAATGTCGGATCTGGCACTTTAACCACTACAACTACTACTTATGATATTGAGTCTACCACTGAGGTATTTACCGAGCCAGGAGCAACTACCACCTCCGAAGCCGAAGAAACAGGTGCTAGTGCAACTTCGGGAGTTGATAATACCGAGGAACCGACTCCTATTACAACTTCTGAGGTCGTCAATACTGAGGAGGCAGGGGTCACTACAACGTCGGGAGCTGTTATTAGTACCGATGAACCAGAAGTAAATACGAGTTCGGAAATTGTTAATACCGAAGGCCCTAGTATTACTACAACCTCTGGTCCGGAAGGGACTGAGAGTTTGAGTACCGAGGGACCTGTATTTACGACGATCTCGGAGGTCATAAATACCGAAGAGCCACAAGCAACGTCAACTACAAGCCTCGAAGAAACTGGGCCGGCTACTAGCTCAACTGAGATCATCAATACTGAAGAGCCACAAGCAACATCAACTACGAGCCTCGAAGAAACTGGGCCGGCTACTACGTCTTCTGGGGCTGTAGTCACTGAAGAACCAGGAGTTAGTACAACTTCCGATGTACCTGAGGGCACAAGCACTGGTACCGGCATTCCACCTGTAAACAATGTAGGATCTAGTACCATGACAACAAGCACAACAATTGAAGGACCTGAGTCTACTACGGAAGCGGGGTTGACTACCGAAATTGTAGTTACGACGACTGCTCTTCTCTCAACAAGTGAGGAAGGAGTATCATCTACAAGCTCTTCCCCATCATCTACATCTATTGCACCTCCTTCATATAGTTATGTATGCGCAGGTGTCCCAAGCCTGTTCAATGTAGTCATTAATGAACCTGGCAAACCAAAACAATGGTTATCACAACTTAACTATCCAGATAGTGGAACCGTTGAAGGTACATGGGGCTATGATACATTGCCGCCCGTATTATCAAGCGCCCAAGCAGCTCGTTTTAACATTGGATTTGGCAACGCTTTCCAAGCGAAACGTCATTCTGATAATGCTCCAATCTCAGCTGCTGTTCGTTTGACCGCTTTAGGATCTCCTCTTCAACTTTTCACTGCGGACCATATTTCAGACAGCATGAGAGTATTTACTGCTAGTATTGGGGCAGATTGTTCACTTGGCTTGGATATTCCGAACACTGGGGACAATATTCTGGCTATTTGCAGTGGTATATTCACTATTCTGACACCAGCTAAGCAAATTCAAAGGGGAGATGCATGTACTCAAGTTCGAGCTTTCGCTGTTGCAGTCAATGGACCTTCATCAACATTGTCAACAACCATTGCTTCACCTACAGAATCAAGCACAGGATTAATCGGCACTGAAGTATCCGAAACTGGAGCTTCTTCTACTCCATTAATCGCAACAACTATACCATCTGGAACTTGGGGTCTGATGACAGGTACTTCAACCTTCTCGCCTATCACATCTTCAACTTCAATTGCTGGATGTCCTGTTGCACCATTTTTCAGAATCCTGGTAGATCAGACAGGTATGCCAGCGCAATATCTATGGGATCCTGTCTCATTCGGTGATGATGCTTTATCATTCACCACAGATGCAGCACAGAGTTTGACCTTTTCATTATCACCCACTACTGGTCAACTTCAATTCAATATTATAGATTTCTTTGGAAATCCTGTATTATTGGCATCTAATCAAGATACTCACAATGCTGGAAATGAAGCAATTTTCTTCTCTACTGCTACCAAATATCAACAGCTTGGTTACCAACCTGTTGTAGCATCTATCAATCCAGATTGTTCCATTGGTTTGACATTACCATATAATGCGGCTAATATTATACAAGCTTGTCATGGATCGATCTACTTGATGTTATCACCTGGAGCAGTTTGTGTAACTGTTTCATTGCTGATGTTGCCTTTCGATCCTTCCGCCACAACCACGGCTGTTGGATCTACAATGTCTTTTTTAGTTTAAGTTCGGCGAGTCTGGAAAGCCCCCCCGTTACTTCGACTGAAGTCACTCTTTCTTTCTCATCAGTTGTCTTTTCTAGCGGATCGCTTGCTACCAGCTCGCCCGACTTTACGAATAAACCGTCCGGGGTGTCCAGTTCGTATTCTTTGATATCATCTTCATTTTCAGATCAGTCAGTTTTTACAACTCAAGGAACTGCCACTTCTTTGACGGTCGGTTCCTTCATTAGCTCTTCAGCATTCGATTCACCTAGTAATCTCGCCACAATTTCTTCTTCTATTATTAGTTCATCTTATCCATCATTTACTTCCGAGTCAATTTCTCAATCCGAGTCCGCTTTTCTATCTCAAACTCTGCAAACTTCTTCTGAACAAGAATCCCAAGGTACATCATTGGCTTCTGATGTCTTCTCTTTATCGACTCTATCGTCTTCATCCATCATTCAAAGCACAATATCCGAAGTCCTCTCTTCATATGAATCTAGCTTGGCATCATTTTCGGCTTCTCAATCTTCTGGATTCATGACTAGCTTCTCCAAAACTTCACTCTTAAGTTTTGAACCCTCAGAAACTCAAGGCACTGCTATTACATCCGTTTCGAGTGTTGAATCTTCGAGCTTCGGAGACGGAACTTTCACTAGTATTCCACCCGTCAACAATGTAGCTTCTGGCTCAACTACAACGACTGAGCAAAGTAGCTCATTTGCTTTGGAATCAACATCCCAACCTGAAGTTATTTCTACTTTTGTGTCTTTGTCTTTGTCCGAACCATCATCTTTGCCAGAATTCACATCTACTTTGGGGCCATCATCTTTGCCTCAAATCACAACTTCTTCCGAGTTGAGTGAAACATCGTCTCTGCAAACATCTTCGAGCGAAATCCTAATTGGGTCTTCTGCTTTAACTATTGAAGGTTCCGGCGTCCAGACTGTAGGCTCCTTGACAAGTTCAGAGAATACTTCCGAAGCACAAGAGACAATATCGAGTTTTGAAAGCCAATCATTCATTTCGACTTCTGTGTTGAGAACTTCTATTACATTAACTACCAATATATTACCAACTTCGACAGGGCTTTCGAATACAGAAAATTCATCAACTTTTGGATTCGAGTCCTCAACAGGAATACCCTCCAATTTGGAATCAAGTACAGTGATCAGCCTACAATTGTCTTCTTCGACTGAAAGCCTCGAGTCCTTGATCATAACTCAGATCTTATCCACGAGTACTATTGTGTCTTCTGAAAGTGGTTTCCAATCGTTTACAGGGACATTAACTCCATCATCTAGAGCTGCAAGTAGTACAGCTATTTTCTCTTCCCCGGCATTGTCAATCATCCCTTCGAACAGTGAACAGTTGAGTACACTTGAAGAATCTAGCGGTGTTTTGTCTACCAGGCTTGTTATTAGTTTTCCCGAATCCGTATCTTCAAGTATAGAAACAACTGTTGGGATAACGAGCACTTTCGTAGGATCACCAAGTCAATCTTTCGAGGCCTCAAGTGATATTGGATCAATTACATTTATAGAGTCTTTCATCAGCACTACTATTGTTATCGAATCAAGTATCGAACCGACTCTCGGGGCTACCAGTAGTTTTATAGGGTCGCCCAGTCAGTCATTTGAGATATCTAGCAATATTGGATCCACGATACTTACAGAAACACTGGCTAGCACATCTCATTCTATCGAACAAAGTTCATTGACTTCTGAAAATAGTACTGGCATTCCACCAGTCAACAACGTAGGATCTGGAACCATGACGACGACGATTCAATCCACAGGTAATCTCACAACTGATCTTGGTTCTGTTATATCTACGACTGGTTCAATCGAATCCAGCTTGACGGAAGGCTCTAGCAGTACTCTCATTGCAATTTCGACATCCACCGGGTTTGGATTTATTACTTCAACACAGATATCGGAGATTTTGTTCGACAGCACCAGCCTTGCACTCACAAGCAGTATTGAATCTATTGTCTCCACGATAGATTCAATCGAACCAAGTCTATCTGAGGCTACTAGTAATGTCATAAGTCCTATCCAGACTTCCACGGGCCTTGAATTTGGTACCTCATCACAAGTACCGGAGGGTATATCAGACAGTGCCAGTCTCATCTTCACAAGTAATGTTGGATCTTTCATTTCTACGATAGCTTCAACAGAACCTAGCTTATCGGGAGGGATTAGTAACACTATAGGACCTATTGAATCATCTACAGGTATTGAAATAGTTACCTCGATGCAAGAGAGCGTCACTTTCGAATTCACGAGCAGCTTTGGATCTGTTATTCCCACGGTAACTCCAATTGTTACATCCATTGAGCCTAGCTTGACTGAAGTCCTCAGTAACTCGGTGAGTACTTTTGGATCAAGTACGGATATCAGTCAATCAGTACAACTTTCAGAAACCTCCAATTTGATACCCACATTTACAGGCACGTTCGAGGTGTCGGTTTCAGAATCAGGTCTTGGTAGTACTGCCCAAATTACCTCCGAATCCAATTTGGTCCAATCAAGCAGCTTACCAGTGGCAACGAGTGAACCTTTATCCTTGACAACGAGCGTTGTTAATTCGTTAACTAGCTCAACTGAAATTGCTAGCACATCGGAATTATTGAGTGGGGAATCATCATTGATAGTGACTAGTAGTTTGCCAGTCATCACGAGTGAATTCACTTTGATTCCGATATCCAGTTCGACTGAAATCATCACCAGCTCAGGATTGCTAATTGAAGAGCCGTCATTGACGTCGTCCAGTAGCTCACAAGCCATCACCAGCGAAGCGAGTCAATCCAATCCTGAAAGTCTTTTCTCCAGTACAATTCAGATCGTCACTGGTAGTGCCTCTGAGCTATTTACTTTGGAGCCATCTTTCTCTTCGGGAGCCGCTAGTATACCTAGATCTTCGACATCAGTCATCTCAATAGCGCCTTCTACGACAACCGAAACCATTGGATTGGAGTCTTCCGCTACAGAACCTTCACTCATATCATCCAGCGGTTTCGGACAGCTTTCTGAATCTGTTAATTCTGCTTCTGCAAGCTTTTCGGGTACCGAACTAACTTTTGGTAATGGTATCGGACAAAGTGGTAGTCTTTATACATCCACCATTAGCTCTGGCTTTGCAACTTTGACTGAGACTGCTGTATTGAGTACAGAAGCTACTTCGACCTTCTTACTTGTGTCTTCCACAGGGATTGAAACGAGTGATAGTGGCTCTACAACTTTGACTAGCGCGATTCTATCTACCATAGTTTCTGAACCAATTGATAGCACTTCTTTGCCTGTCTTAGAATCCCAATCGATTGAAATATCGGTTACTGCTACACAATCTACGACAATTGAACCTTCTAGCCTTAGCAGTACACTGGAAACAAGCCCTGTTATGTCTCCTCCCCAGTCATCAACAACCGAAATTGGTGTTAGTACTTCATCAGTGGTGAACAGTGCTTTAGAAACATCGACTGGTAAATCACTGGGAGAGTCAAATACTTCCGGGTTGCTTGGAATTTCGACCAGTATCCTTGAGTCCTCAGCCGTCTCTCTATCTATACTAATGACGACCATTGAGATTATCACAGATTCTGCTCCTTTACAGTCAGAACCGGCTTCATCTTTCACAAATGTATTGACCCCAAGTGGCTCTTCAGCAGCATTAACTAGTCTTTTCTCGGAGACTACGAGCAGCATATCGAATGAAGTTACTACATCTGCAGAAAGTAATTTGATATCATCTTTTACGTCTCAAGAAACTAGCAGCAATGTTTTCCAGTCACCAATTCCATCTGGTTCGACAACTAATCCCCTGGATATTTCATCATTGCCTTCTGCCGCTTTCGAGACTGAGAATATCAGTGTTACTCAATCAACGATAATTTTGCTCGTGGAAAGTGAAACACTGCAACCTTCAGAGTCGGTCGCTGCTTCTAGTTTCATCCAAACTTCCAGGCAGACCACGCCACCCGAGAGCACGTTGCTTCCTTCTATTAGCATGGGCAATTCGGAAACAAGTGGTATATTATCGACACCTATCACATCAATCGCCCTCAGTAGCACGATTGAGCCCTCGGTATCCACATCCGATGGTGCTCTTAGTGTTAGCTCTGGATTGGGTGAATCTCTTGTAGCTTCTTCGACCTTGACCAGTTTGGATTTTGCTTCAATTTCGATACAAACTACGCCTGAACCAATATTTGGGATTTCTACGTCGCTCAGTAGTCTCGAAGAGTCTCTGACGGCTGCCATTTCTACAAATTTTGGAGTATCCAGTACTGAACTTCCATCTGGTACTCCAACGAATTTTGGAACACAGCTTTCATCCAGTGAACTTGGATCCTCAATTGTTTTGATAGCCTCAAGCACAAGTCTCATCTCCATACCTTCTGAAGGAGGTAGTATTGGCTCATCGGGTATAGCTATCGGTGAAAGTACTTCTCTGGCAACTACCGAGGCTTCCTTATCAAGCGGTTTGGCGGCTACTTCAAAAGGTCTATTATCCACTTCAATTCCGTTGGAAACTTTAACGCTACCTGCGAGTGCCATTGATACTTTATCAATTACTGAAATTCCGAGCGCTCTATCAACGGCAGCATCATCATTCTTGGAATCTAGTGTATCATCAACGCAAAGTTCCGCTTCCTCAAGTCCATCGGCTTTCTGCGTGGAAGGTACAGGATCTAGCACCGAGGATAACTCTGACCTCTGTGAATTTACTTGCAACTTTGGATTATGTGCAGATCCATGTACATGTACTGCATATGCGTTCTCAGCGGTCGAACCTCCACCCGAGACCAATACTCGTGGATATGCTCTTAGGAATTTTGATGCCGAAACATACGATCCACTCTGTGACTTTGCATGTAGTCATGGGTATTGTCCTCCTGATACTTGTACAACTAACTCGGATGGCTCTGCTATATCTTCTATTTCCGTTTCACCAACATCATTCCCAACTTCCTCGGCGGCAATCCCATCAACTTCAATTGAGAACTCAGAATCCGATCCAGCGTCTTCATTCCAACCTTTATCGACAGTCACTGGGTCCAGCACTGGAATTCCACCTGTAAACAACGTTGAATCTGGTAGCGGGACCTCAAGTATTTTCGAAGCTCAGTCAACTAGTACCTTGGAATCTTTTGCAATATCGATAGATTTTACGACCGAAATATTAACCAATGGAGCAGGTTCTTCAACCGTTTTTGGTGCATCAAGTGCCACTTTGACCTCAATAGCATCTGAGTTATCCAGTAACACTGAAGCAGCAATAGGATCGGTGGTTTCAAGCAGTATTGAATCAACTGTGATCAATTCTGCTGAAAATTCCGCTGGTTTCAGCACGCCGATCCAATCATCTCTACCAGCCTTTACTAGTGGAATCTTAACCACTTATACCTTCAGTGATGAGGTCATTACTCCATCTATTGCAATTAGTACCACGTCAGAAGCTTCTTTATCAGTGTCAATTGGTGGAACCGAAACTTCTACGCCATTCAGTGATGAAGTCATAACCCCCACGATTGCTGTTAGCACTACATCGATTGGATCATCTGTATTACCATCAAATACTGGATTTGAAACTTCTTCTACTGCTTTTAGTGATGAAGTGACCACTCCTTCAATAGCTACTAGCACTGTACCAGTTAAATCCATTATATCGGCTTCGAGTAATGGTATTGAAACGTCTTCAGGCCCTTTCAGTGAGGAAGTTAGCACCTCATCTATTGCGCCCATTTCGACGCTATCTTCTGGCTCCAGTATTGAAATCATATCCACCAGTAGTTTTGGACCTATAAGTTCATCACTATTACCGGAAGTGACAAGTATGACAGACGCAACTTCAGAATTCCCATTAACGACTGGTACAATATTCCAATCTTCAACCGAGGTGGTTGATATCGAGACTTCATTGGGCTCAGGGTCCTTGCCAGCTACCACTTCATCTCCTCCAAATGAATTGTCCTCAGTTTTGAGTCTGTCTACCAGTGAATCCGGTGCCATTACCACTTCAAATACAGGTATAGAAACAAGTCTTGGGCCTGGATCCTTGACCCTTGATTCTTCATTTGCATTAAGTAGTAGCATATCAACAAATGAAGTCACTTCCTTGCCTACCGAGGCGAGTCAAACTTCCAATGGCCCAGGACTTGGATCTAGTCTTGCTACTACATCAAATCCGGGCATAGAAACGGAATCCCAACTCGGTACTTCAGCCCCTATGACTTCATCTTTCCCAATTGAAGCTTCTTTAAGTGCCAGCACTTCAATCCTTGAAACGAATTCGGCTCCTGTGTCAACGAATAAGATTGAATCCACTGGAACAACCGTTCCAATAGTTGGAAGCCCAGGGTCCGGAACTTCATTTGGAGCCTCAGAAACAATTAGCAGTACTGTAGTGTCGTCATTAGTTACGGAAGTTGGTACACTGACGAGTGGATTCTTAATTTTACCAACCGAGGTCTCTACTAGATTGAGTGGCTCAAACATTCGAACAAGTCTGCCTTCCGAGCCTAGCTCCACTGGTAGTGTCTCAAGCACTGCACTCCAATCTACATTGAGTGCTGAGACCTCGGGAAGTATCGGTGGAGTAACTGAATCTTTGATCGAGACTACCGGTGTTTTGAGTAGTACTGGCGCAAGCACGATTGAGTCTACGAATCCGACTGAGACTTCTATTGCTTCCCTAAGTTCCGGGGTTGAGAGTCAATTGCTTACCCTAAGCATTCCTGGTTTGTCAGCACTTCCGTCTACTTTAGTTGGAAGCTTTAGTCTCGTCGAAAGTTCCGGAATTATATCAATTCCGTCGATTCAGTCTACTGATTCCATCGTTGAGACTCAATCACAGACGGCGATCATTTCCAGCGAGTCCGAAGCTCCATCAAATTCAATCCTAAACCCTGGATCCACAATAGCTTCATCTTCCGAAATTGAAAGTCTATCGGCAGCACCAAGTACCTTACCTTCAGGAATACCCTCCAGTACGATTGGAAACTCTCTGGTTTCTTCAGTCCAGTCTGCTCAATATTCATTGCCTGTAGTTGAGCCTTCTGTAGCAGCTCCCAGCAGTCTCCTTTCTTCGGAATTATTATCCCAGCAGCCCCAGATATTCTCCATTGCTTCGATAGTACCATCATCTGCGTTCTCACAGTCTGAAGTTTCTTCGACCGTTGAAGAACTATCGACTGTCGGTACGCTCATTTCTCTCTCACCCACGCTTGCTGGATCTGAGATCTCTTCTGAGCTTGTTCTGAGTACAAGTTCAGTTGCTGTCTCATTCGAGTCGTTTTCCAGTAGTTTTTCCCAGCCTCCATCATTTACAAATGGAGAAGTTGTCACCAGCTCCTCGGCTGCTGAAGCTAGTAGCACAATTGGTAGCGGTATTCCAATTGTTGGAAACATTGGCTCGGGGACTTCCCTTCAATTTTCAGCTTCCGAAACACCTCTATCTGCTTTGCCAAGTTCATTGACATCGGAATTTGGTCCTGTAAGTTCTGGTCTTGTGATAGTTTCAAGCACGGTCATTTTGACAGTTGAATCACAGACTTCGGAACCTATTTTGTCTTCTTCCACTTCCTTGGGAAATACAGCGCCTTTAGAGACTTTCGTTGAAACCTCATCTTCGATACCCGATCTTATTTTTAGCTCAGAGAGTACACTTACAAATACTGGAGGATCACAAGCTATATCTTCGACACAATCACTTGCCATTAGCTCAGCTATTGGCTCAGGGTCTCAATCTAGCTCTTTACAAACAACTTTCGATTCTGAAGTTTCGAATATTAGCACTGAGCAAATTCTTCCTTCCACTGGAAGTCCTCAAGCTATCCCAACCACGCAGCCTTTATCCCCTGCTACCCTTTCGAGCACTGGAATTGCAACTGAAGATCCCTCGTCAACACAAGGTATATCATCAGTGGCAACTTCAACTCAGCTGGGTGAAATTTTGTCGACGATTTCCAGTTCACAAACCGCGGAAATATCTTTATCAACACAACAAGGCCTCTCTTCAACAGTCTTGATTGAACCATCTCAGCTAGCTGTATCTTCCGACTTGGCTGGGACTGCATCATCCGAAATCTTAAGTGCAAGCGCAACAATCACAAGCCTTGAGACTACCGTGATCCTGACAGTGATTTCGACGTCTTCGTCTGATTTTGGTTCCGAATCTGGATCAATTACGGCATCGTCTACTACTGATATACTAGGCTCGATCGCTCTAAGTCTCTCTGCTTCGGCTTCGGCCTCTCAGATAGATTCGGGATCTTCAAGTAGTTTAGCAAATCCAGGCTTTGAATCAACCACGATATCAAATTCAGAGTCTGATTTGCAAAGTACAGCTTCGTCCTCAAGAACCAATGAATCTGTACTTCCTATAGCATCCTCGACAGAAGGACTTCTAGGTACATTCGTCCCAAGTGCTTCTCAGACAAGCTTTGAAGAAGTTACATCTTCAGGCAGTATTCTTTCAAGTGACTTACCATCGAGGTCTTCCTCTGCTATCGGATCGCTCTCAATCTCCAGTGAATCTGGAACCAGTATACCTCCCATCAACAGTGTAATATCTGGAAGCACTAGCACCAGTACTGCCTTTGAGACCACATTGCCAGCTTCCGAGTCTCAGATATCTAGCACTGAGCCACTATCTGTGGCCTCCAGTACACAAGGTTTAACAGATTCTAGCAGTCTACCTCTTAGTACAAGTACAAATCCATCGCTCTCGACCTTTGAAACAGGGATTAGTTCTAGTACCGAGTCAGTATCAAGCTCTGATTTTCCTAGCATAACGATATTCATTTCAACCCCCTCGTCATCGAACACACTATCTGGTGCCTCTGCTAGTGTAACGTCGTCATTTGATTACATTGGCTGTTCTAAAAACTCAACGGGCACCCTGGACGGTCCAACAACATACTCATCGAATATGACACCAGCTATCTGCTCAATAATTTGTTCCGAATATGAATACTACGCAGTTGAGAGTGGAGTTAAGTGTGTATGTGGCGATAACATAGAGTCAGGTGGTATCTTGTCAGCTGCAAATTGCACTACCCCTTGTGGTAAAGGTAATGGTACTTCGTCCTGTTCATCAGCATCCGCATCGGCTAGCGCCTCTACACTGGTAACAGTACTAAGGCCTAGAAACATTGCAGCCACGGGAAGGTATCCGAAGAAGTGGTAAAGGATAAATGGCGAAAATTTTGTTTAGTGTTTTGGTTTGTGACAGCAGGCATCAAAGTGCTGGGCGTGAGCACTAGTCTCATATATAGTTTGATTAGTTTTCTTATTTTATTTCTTTTTATGTCAGCAGTTGTGATTGTCGGTTGGTTGGGAATTAAATGTATTCGTTTTAGATGTAAGAGATTTTGGAGGAAAAATGGGCGGGCGAACGAGTGGTTGGAAATGTTTATCATTGGCTTTCTCTGAATACATGAACTTTTGTGTGAGATCTTATGTTTAGAATGATACGAAATTTCTTTCACTTGATCATTCTTAATGTATTGTGAGATGTTTGTAACATGCAACAGGATGAGATACACTTGCGAATGAGAATGTAAATTTCTGAAGAGTGGACCTCATCATACAAATGTATTGTTATGGTTCTTAGAGACTCAATCTATTCCCAACACAACCATGTGCCCTTGACAAAATCTAGTCAAAATCCTTCGAATATAAACATCTCCCGTAAGAAACAACTATAAAATATCGAACCCCGACGTACTACGCCAAATTTTTCAACGCCCCATGTTAAAGTTTGATCTGCCGAATTTCCTTCATGGTAGCTTCAGTTATCATTTCCCAACCTCCTTCCAAGGTAACGAGCAGCCTGTCTATGGTCGTGACTTGTACGACAGGATCTTTCCTGCAGTTAGGACATCTTCCTTTCTTCTCTATCTTGTCGGGGTTTTCGCCGGCGCAACCTTTGTAGACTTCTTTGCAGAGGATGAGACATTCGGTTGCGATTGTGTGACCGCAGGCTTTCCAATACCAGTGGGTTGTTGTGCACATTTTGAGATGTGAGGGGTTGAAGGTTTAGGAGACGAGGGAATGAGATGGGTTGGAGGAGTGGTAGGTTTGAAATTTGGATTTGAGGGAGTATATGGGTGTAGGTTTGAATGTGGTTTTGGAAGCGATGTTGTGGAATTTGAAGATGGATAGAGAGAGAGGCGAGAGAAGAGAAGAAGCCATTAAATATAATGGTGATGGGTATAGGAACACAAGGAATCACAGTCATGACCTGCTTGTTTGTGTGAATACCATCATGGTGGATTAGAACCACGGGATTGTCGATATGAGTTTTCTATCAAGAAGATCATTTTAATTTAGATTGTGTAATTGAAATCCATAACTTTATGGATATTTGAATAATGAAAGTCTTGGGGATGATACATCCCTCTTGGATGCTTCCCGTGGTTGACTTTAACCCTCGAGGAATAAGTGTTCGCAAGGAACTTGAATAGAAAGTATGATGGAATGACTAGACTCCCATCTTAACCTCGCGATGTGGATTATATCTTTTCTTTATATAAAGTGATGTGTGATATATTGGAAGAATCCACGCTTGGAATGAAGATAATCATTTTCAAATGGGCCTCTTATTCTCATCGTAAGGTTATTTTTGTAGGAAATAACAAGCAAGAGAAGTGCTGCGGAACTGGTATTGTAGATATCTGAGAGCATATTCATCGAGTAAAATAAATAATAGGAATGCTGTGAATGAGAATGATAATTTTTTCGACGTTCCTTCAGATGGGAATCATTAATGCTCCCCATATTTTGTTGATCCGGTACACGTGATATGCAGCTAAGAGATTCGCTTACACTAGCGTTTTTCGCACACAATTTTCCATTCCAGAAATCTCGGTACGAACTTTTTGGAAACAACCAACGACGACGACAAATCCAGGTTCCTCACCAATCCGACAAGATGACGAAGATCAACACCTGTATGTACCCATCAATCGATTACTACCGTGATTCTGCGCAATTCTGAATTTGGTTTTGCTAGTAATTTCATGAGATCGCAAAGCTAATAAGGATTTTTTTCAGCCCTCCACTCCTCAAGGAGAAAGTCCCGTAAGGCTCATTTCGATGCCCCATCCAGCGTCAGACGTACCATCATGAGCGCTCCTCTGAGCAAGGAACTCCGTGAGAAGTACAACGTACGTATAAAATATCCACGACATTCTCGATTTTCAACATCTAACGGATCTTTTTCAGGTCCGCTCCATCCCAATCAGAAAGGATGATGAGGTTACCATCGTTCGTGGTTCCAACAAGGGCTCCGAGGGAAAGATCACCTCCGTCTACCGTCTCAAGTACATCGTCCACATCGAGCGTGTCGTCAAGGAGAAGTCCTCTGGACAATCCGTTCCCCTCGGTATCCATCCATCCAAGGTCATCATCACCAAGTTGAAGTTGGACAAGGACCGTGAGAACATCCTTGAGCGCATCAAGGCTGGTCGTGAGATCAAGGAGAAGTTGAAGAGCAAGGCATAAATCTGGCATATAAAATTGGGTTGGGATTGGCGTGCTTTCGATGAGCGTTACGTGCATTAATCCCTGGCTTCTGCCAGCTGGATGTGCTAGACATAGTCAAATGAAAAATTATGGCCATTTCACATCCTCCGTGCTTGCACGTCTGGTACCACTGTGAAATGCTCCATGGGAGTCCTCCCGAAGCACCAAGTGTCTAAGAAGATACTTGTGACAACACTTTGTTGTGTTGTTGATTGCTATACCTGTTTTGGGAGGACTGACCCTTCACTAACTTGCTCTAGGATTATTGTGCCACATATGTTCATTGTCGTGACTATTTACGCTCATATATCACCTTGTTGACATTTTCTACTATTGTTTTCGAGATAAACGACGAGCGGAGAGCAAATCCAAAGTTTTCCCTTTGAAGTTAACTTTCTTGCCTGCAGACTTTCCTCTAGATTTCACTAAAATCTCTGAAGAACGAGAGTTTGATGGCAAGGGACATCATTGTTGTTTTATAATTATGCTATCTACTCGTCTCATCGAAGGTAATTGACAATCTCTACTAGAATTGTCCGATGCAACCTGATAAACTACCAGAAATATAATTCATTCAAAATCAAAACTTCTCAACGTATGGTCTAACATCCAATTCCTGGGTGAAATGTGATCTGTGTTGTGTGTGTAAATACCAATATGCATCCGCAATCTATACATCATGTCAGTAATTGACGGTGAATTTACATAACAAGTACTTACAGCATCGGCCTTGATCTTTCCATCCTCGACACCTCCATTCGCTTCCCATTCCTTGGTTCTAGGAATATCAATCACACCGTCAATAATCGCATGAGCAACATGTACTCCCTTAGGACCAAACTCTCTAGCTAAACTTTGTGTCGTTGCTCTCAAAGCAAATTTACCACTCGCGAATGATGACATTAGAGCACCGCCTCTAATTGATGCTGTAGCTCCTGTAACGATCAAAGAGGGTGGATGTGGAGAGTCAGCCACGGAATCCAGAAGGAGTGGTAAGGCTTTTTGTGCAAAGAGGTAGAATCCCTTTCTGTGCATTCTTTAGCTTTGGTTCTGAACTCGTTTTGCTACCATTCCTTTATTCAGATAAATAGAAGAAACATTACTCACCCATTACTCTCATACCCCGCCTCATAATCCTCCAGACTCAACTCCAAAAATGGCTTCCTCACAAACTTGCCTCCTACATTGTAGATCGCAGCCGCCAATTTCTTAGAACCGTACTGCTTCTTGATTTCTTCAAATGCATTGGATACGGAAGAGGGATCAGAGACATCGGTGCTGATTCCGATTGCTTGTCCACCGGATGAGGTGATAGCTTTTATGGTAGGTTCATAATTGGCGGGATTACGGGCTAGAAGCACGACGGGGTAGGTGGAGGCAAACTTGAGGGCGACGGAGTGGCCTAAGGGAAGATGCGTATTAGAATCTCTATTGTCAAGTAGGTGTTATGGTATTGGGTAACATACCAGTGCCTGCACCAACACCGGCGACGATGCTAAAGAAACTGCTGGATGGAGGCATGTTCGTATTATGAATTGTACAGTAGCTTAGAATGGACAAAACTTGTAGCAAACGATGAGAAGGCGTGTATTGAGAATCGGTGATGTAGATGAGGGGTATGAAATCAAGGGAAACACAGCACTTTAAGAAGATCTATATAGAAATTGCGAGGTGGAACAGCGAGATGGGACAATATGTTTGATTGATAATACTATATGCATCAGTACTCAGCTTCGTTCAATCAACGGACTGTATATATGATGATTAAACTTTTAGCTATGGCATTTGTTTGTAGAGAAATGACGATTGCAGCTTGATGATGGAAGCTTTGTAAGAAGCTCGGCAGGGTGAAGACCGATGAGACCGATGATTAGTAATCTGGTTAACTGGTAGGTTAACGTGAAGATGGTGTTTTCTGTTCTCATCACGACTAGATGCAAATAGAGGTAGAATCGTATGAAGAGACAGATGAGAACAACGACGAACGAAGGATGAAGATACAAATATACTTCGACGTATAGAATCATCCGAAGAATAGTATACTGGCCAATTATGATCGATTAAATAAGTCCAGAAAGGAACATTTGCGACTTTACGTTTACCCTCATCGCCACCACGATCTAGCCCTCAGATCTGCTTTTAACTAAGCACTGCCATTCTATTATTCATGCTTCACGCCCAAACTCTTTTTATCTTGAGTTTCATCCCACACCCAACCAATTCCAAATACTGTTCTTAAATATCATAATGCTAACATTTGTTGCACATCTAAAAGACAGCCGGAGACTCGTCTCCTCGATGTTTTGATATCAAAATGGTTTAAGAGCAGATCAATATTTTTCGTTAACACGCCTACGACCGAATAAAGTCTGGATCGTCTCTCCTCCAAATTACACGAGATATGAATGTGTTATTATCGTATGATAAAATCCGGAGTTTTGTTTCCTTGTGGAAAAGTACAATGAAACGGATCTTTTACTCCTACGTTGTAGAAACTGGAGCGTAGACGATCATACCATACCCCATGTAGGTATATTTCTATCATCTATTACTGTGTACTTCGTAGATAGCTGCGGATGTGAATGTGGGGTTCATGGACCCCTATTTCTGGGAGGATCCGAGGAATAGGAATCGAGCTTTGATATTTAGTCTATTTGTATGAGAGTTGAAGAGCTGATGAATTAGAAAGTAGATTAGAAAGTAGATTGGCTTCATCGATGAAATAAAAGTTAAGGAAGAGGACGATAACAATCAAATGCTCCTTCACAGAACTGAATATACTCGCTGTGCTTCTTCTCTAGATGCAACTATGATCAAGTGATGGATTGCCATACATGGCACGTGATGAATGGACTTTTATGGAGACGTATGGAGTAGAGACATGCAACAAAAGCATGTCTTTTCTCAGAGAAATTACATGTGTTTGAATCTTGATTGGCTGTGTTCTTTCATCATCTGACTTTGTACAACGTCGGCCGACCAATAATCTCCATGACATCAAGACTTATTGTCTGTCGTACAGTTGTATAGAAAGGAACCCGTGCCGCAAACCTCACAAACACCACTCTCATTCATCACCCACACCACCTCGATCCATCTGTATTCCCAACCACTAGCCCTTCACCCAATCCTCATCCGGCAACCCATCCCCCGTATCACACACATTCCTTCTTCAGGACCAAGTGGATACACCTACGATATGCAACAAACGCCGACACCCTTACGCTTTCCATCCCATCCTCACTAGCTTTCGCATATATAAGTTTCATATTTGTCAGCTCTTATGCCCTTCCCTGAAGAACGCTGAAAATCTAACCCCCGAGAGGAATATCTGGGGCTTAAAAATGTAACCCCGTGAATGCGCGATGCTCTCAATTGGGAAACGTCAGAAGCACAATGTGACAAAACCGCAATAAGTTCATCCGATACGATATGCAACAAAACTTTCTGACTCGCAATACCTTGCGTCGTCTAATTGGTGAAGTTTATGCGTGAGGTGTATTCTAAGTCGGGTGTGTCCCTGATTGATGCAGGAGAGATATAGAAAAGCTGTTCAGCCTTCATCGCCAATAATGCAAGGGGACGTTGTTGTTTCCAGAGTCATTCTGAAGCTTTTGGAACCTTACGCTCGAATATAGAATCAAGGAGGTGTGTAGCCCATTGCATCAATTCACATTATATACGAGCCAAGCTTCTCTACCCACTAAATCAGAGCTCTTGCATTTAATATTGACTCGCTGGTTTTCATTCTTCTCCCCGCATTTTAAATTGCGCGCTCCCCTTCACGTCACACCTCGTGGTCAGCACCGGGTGGAAGAGGCCGGTATCTAACAAGCAGCCTGGAGTCTTCATTTCTTGTCACATCCCATCGACATATCAATCACGAAAGTTTCATCTCTTCTAGCCTGGTATTCACCGCATGCAGATATGAAGGCGCAATAAAGGCTGAAAAGTAGATGTTCTGCTTGAAACGTGAGATTGCGTTGTTTCCTATTGAGTCAATATGGTAGACCAGAATACGCACTCTGGAATGTGAACATCGGAAGGATTTACGAGAAATATTTGTATTTCTCCTTGACAAAAATTCGATGAAAGACCTCTCTAGGGATCATTTCAGACAAAGCAGCATAGATTCGAGGAGAGATACCCTGATGAATTCAAAGAGCTACCCTTCATAAAGTCGACACTAGATAAGCGTGAAAGTTCGAGGGCTTTTCATCAAGTTGTCAGCTTTTGAATTCTACATACTCGTCCGGGGTGGTGCTTTGACTGATGCGGGTTACATTCCTACGAGTGCGTGAGCTTTTGTTCTTGAAGACAAAACTTTGTAGCGACTCGAATCTCTGTTCAAGACCTAGCTATAGTTGGTTATCTATAGCTTCTTGAACGCAATTCTTGAGAAATTTAAAGATGAGTATGTCTCGATAGGCCCAAAGTGCAAGCGTCTCGTATACTTTATCCGGATGAAATCATCATCGTCCCTATTGACTGTATCTTTTTGGCGAATCAGGGGCAAAGATGCCTGTTGCACGAGACCGATGGGCACTTGCTTTTGCATCGACTGGCTCGCATCTGATGGAATCTTCAACCGCCCTTAGAAATCTTCAATTTGAGATCAGGGCATGCCTCCGCAACGAATGTGATAAGAGTATGTTTTGATAAAACCCTATGGCAAGGCTGTTTTTGGAAAACTGGATATCTTTCTCTCTATAGCCACTTGGCTATAACAACCTTGGAATGTTAAAACATTCTCAACCTGACTAGCCTCAAGACACTCTATCATAAAAGCATTACACTTAGTGTTATAAGGGGTATTATTTGATGTTCTACTTCTTACTGCATCCCGGGGAGGGCAGCGACTTTTACATCACATGATAGAAGTCTCGAAAGTCACATGTGTCGGATTAAGGGCGATTTTAGTATAATCTAGATTTGATTTGATGCTTGAAAATCCCTTCAATTTCTCAAAGAGCCTCACAAAATCGAGCACCTTTCAAGGTCGGTGAGTGGAAGGTGCTTTTCACTGCTGATGCCATGATTTTGCAGGAATTACAATCTTTGCAGCTTTTGGACCTCAAGTTTACTGAATCTCTTAATATCCGGTCCACGATATGGGTGCATTATGCTTCTTCTTCGAGTTTCTGTAGCGAAAACATCAATAGCTAGTTTCTACCCCACACCCTATCCGTTGTATCTGGACGGATCTAGCAAGAACTCCATCTTCTTCTTTACAGATTACGATAAAAAAACGCCCCTCTACATCCTTGCGCATCAGACATCATTTCAAAATGTCTGCTTATTCAAATTCCGGTGCTAGAAAAGGGAGTGAAACCCGCACTTTTGATATACTCTCAACAACATTCCACCGCTTTCTATCATGTCTCGTCCGGTCACTCTCTACCAAGGTATTTTACGTGCTCGTATCTGTTTTTTAAATCGCCCTTTTGTCCAATAGACCACCCGCGGCCATCATTCCCAAGCTCTTAATCGATGCCGCACCCATGATATCTAACACGGTCAGTCCCACGCCAATTTTTTGCCTACACCAATTTCTCAGCTCAACAGCTACGAGTGAATCAACCCCAAGCGTCTTAAATGACTGGTGGATATCGAGCTCCGCAATTGGCCGCATCATGAAACTGCACAACGTTTTGCCAATTTCCTCTGCCAAAAATTCCGCAGCGGATGACGCTTTCAGAGTTTGCGGGTTGTTTGAGACCGTAGCAAGAAAGTCCTTGAGTCCCTCATGGCTTGCGGCACTATCATCAATAGTGCTGTTGTGGAGATTTCGGTATACACTCATTCGAATATCACATTTCCAGACATTACGATTATTGTCTGCATGGACTGCCATCGACATCTTGTAACCACATCCTATATAGCTCTCACTGGCGTAGCCATCTGCAAAGAAGCTGAATGCTTGAGATGTTGCTTTGGACTTCATGATGGCCAACTCCAGTGTCTCGAGAAGATCATTTTCCCGAAGGGTCTGAACCCCGTTTGTCTTGAATTGTTGTAAAATGGCTGGGTTTTCACTAAGATAACCAACATCTTCCAAAACACCAACGTCTATTACAGAAGCGGGGAGACCTTTACCATGTCGATATTAGTTAAAGACATCCAAGAACGTGCCAGCAGAGCAGTAGTTGGATTGACCCCATTGGCCCCATTGACATGACACTGAGCTAAAGAGCGCAAAAATTTCGAGAGGCACTGATTCGAAAGCCTTGTGAAGGTTCCATGTGCTTAAAACTTTTGGCGCTTGAACAAATTCCCAATCTCTGTGAGTCATTTGGGCATATCCACCGTCCTATGATAGGTCAAAGCCAGATTTTAATGTCATGAATTGAAGAAGGAGCTTACCTTCAAGACCATTGACATTTGAATAACACCGGATATCGGAAATTGCGCTTCGCTAATAACACGTTCGACATTGACCATATTTGCAACGCTACCGGAAATAGTTTGGATAGTGCATCCTTGAGCACTGAGTACAGTGACAAATGCAACCTCCTCTTCTTTCTTTCCGCCACCCCTTGATAGGTAAACGAGATGTCTTGCACCATTTTTTACCATCCAAGTCGAAACCGATTGGCCCAATCCTCCTAAGCCACCAACCAGCAAGTAAGAAACATCAGGGCGAAGAGAGAACTGGCTATGGGTATTGGAAGTGGTCAGCTGCAGAGAGTCTGCGGGCATGCTAACGACAATCTTTCCGATGTGCTGGCTCTTTTGCATGAAGCGGAAAGCTTCCTCTGTTACAAATAGTCAGTGCACTGTAAGCTTTGCTCCTGAAAAGGAGCAGCCTTTGGGTTGATAGACTAACCAATCTGAATGGCATCAAATACTTTGGTGGGTCTGATTGGCTCTATAGCACCTCCGCGAAAATACTGCGTACATTTTTTGAGCAATCTGAACACCCGGTCTTTACGGTTATACTAAAAAATTTGTGAGATCAAGTTGATTATGGTAATGTGTTGTAATCAAAGCAGTGTAGCTTACCTTGGACCTTTGAAATCCTATTCATAAGAGATACGATTTGCCAGCAAAAAATCACCAACGCTTGTGATTGTATACAGCCCGGAATCCTGTGTATCTTTTATGAAACACATAGGTTAGCACGAGTCTCATATCATGTCAGGAATGCCGAAATTTTGATACATCTCAGATAAGAGATATCGGGGTTTATTCCAAATACCTTGTGCATGCACTGCAAGCCAGTCCTCTCCGAAAACTCCGACATAGCATCCAATATTTTTACCACGCCAATTGATTTCACCGGCGTTCTCCAAACACTCTCTAGTAACTTCAAGAAGAAGTCGGTGCTGAGGATCAACCTTCTCGAGTTCAGCTCGAGTAATGGAAAACAACGATGCATCAAATTGTCGAAGAGCTTCACCATCAAGAAAATATCCATGCTTAGTCTTGACGGATCCTCGCTTAGGAGTCTCGCTGTAGAATCCATCGACATTCCATCGATCTGCAGGAACAAGCGTTCTTTTGTCTTTCTTCTTTATCAACGTATCCCAGAGCTCTTCTTCGTTACTGATGCCGCCGGGAAGTCTCATCGCCATTCCAACTATGGCAATGGGAATATCTTCTGGAGCAGTAACTCCATTAGGTAATGTCTGAGAGGAGGAATCCAAGTTATTAAACCTGTTCAAATTTTGATTTGGACTTGGAAGAGAAGAAAAGGCCTGAGTGCTCTTGGCATGCACACCTCTCCCAGTGATAGATCGAACTTTTATATCATCGTTTGCGTTCATAATTGCTGTTACTTCAATGGAACATTGAAGTTGTGGAAATTTTATCACAGCGTTTGGTTTGAACGTAATCTAAATCATGACAGGCTGATAAAGTCTTTTCAGAGTATTTATCTTCTGAAATGGCTGGGCGTGAAATTTCCATTAGAGGGTAAAGTCAACTGCCTGACTCGAGACAAAAATCTTTATCCAAAAATGGACTTAGCTGCATCTATTTAGAATACTGATCATCTACACAAGATGTCAATCATCTGCACCAATGCGCGTACATTGCCGAGGAAGATTGATATGCGCACACATATCGGAGTTCATACTCGATGCTGTAACATATCTTTCACGATTAGCTATCTCATGGTGACACACTTCATCCAATACGAGATGGTATAGCCTAAAAAGAGGGGTGACCAGGAATGTGGGGCAAGTGACTTATACTGATAGCTTTTGAATATTCTTGAACCTTCCTAATTCGTATTAGTTGCCATTGTACTATCCGGGCCGGTTATTCAGTGTCGACGGCTCTAGCCCCTTATAGCCGAGACTTCTCGAGATAGTAAGGACACAAATGAGTCGGAGATCAAATTTACAAGCAGAACGATAGCGGCATTATCAGGACCCACCATAAGTTCTCTTTTGAGTTTTTCCCGTGTTCAGTTGGCCGGATGGAAATGGATTGTAGAATTGATGGCTGTTTTTCGAGGTGTTGTGTGGGTAGTTGAGTGCTTTTTCTCCCAGAGACATATACACTATTTCCCCTCTGAAAATCTAAGGTTACCAAGCGAGGGATTGCGCAGGAGGTAATGCAAAATATCGCGGCTACCAAGCCTTATTCACGGCTCTCATAAGGCGGCCATGTATCTTACTTTTAGAGAATTATGTGTTCCTGCGTCTTCAATTTACATGTCCATCATCTTTGGAACGCTTCACATGCTCTTTGATGCATATCCCATCGTCTACCAAGGGGTTCGCGGTTGGAGCGAGGAAAATCGCTCTCTACAATTGCTGGACGTTATAATAGGAGCCAAATCAGCTAGTCCTATGATCCAGCTAGGGCAAAAAGTAAATATGTGAGCAGTCGCTTTCAATGATAGATCTGCTCGTTTGAAAGTTCAGTTGTTCGCACGATGGGAAGAAGGGCAGTCCTTCTAGTTGGACTCTTCTGATCAGCATAAACTTTTGGGTTTTACCTTTCCGTCCTTTATTTAACGATTTTGATATTCATTGGGCCTCAAAAATCTCTACTTTGCTGGAGTTTGCTTTTGTGCAGAATCATTCGACATCTACGATAGTGGCACGGCATTCGAGCACATTGAGTGTGGACTGTGAGATCGAAGCAGCTATGAAAAATTATCCTTCACTGTGTTCATAAGGATCCATATACACAATGACATCCCGTCTTCAATGAAAAAAACTCAGATTGAGATGCAAGCATTCTCAGTAGCCTCTCAGCTATTATTGTATCACTGTCGAAACCGGTTGTTGCGAAATATAGCCATAATTTGCATGCCATCATGGGAATCAACAGTAGAACTGATACTCATGGTATCAACCCCTCGTCAGAAGGTCATCCAAAACCACAAAGTACTATATAAATACTTATCAGCAACTTCAAGAGAAAGAAGCAGCCATCCTAATCTAGACACTATTCATTTCGAGCTATTAATACTTGCAAAGATAATGCAAATTTGATAGGTAAAACAATTATCTGATTCAATATATGAACTCATTTTTGAAGATGAATTGTTTGCGTGTTTGATTGAATCAGAATTCTGATCAAATGTTATCGAGCAGAATGTCATATTGTGTCAATTCGCATTCTATGAATATATTCTGTGATGAGAAGATTTAGAAGCCAATAAGGTCTAGTTCCCTGAGAAAACTGACCCGAATATAAACTTATCACGAGAGTGTTTGTTCTTGGGAAACATACGGGTAGGACATCAAATATTAATGGTTCCGTGTACCCTAAGCTGTGCTCACTTGAGTCAAGTGAAACATCTCTAAGGGTTGGGACAGTAGCCAGTGGAGTGTTGAGCAGTTGATCATCAAGGGAATGACTGTTTTTTTTTCGTTTATGTGTAAGGTTATGGGTAAAAATCTTTTCGTGAGAATCTTCCAAATGAAAACTATGCGAATAAGAAAAACCCAATAGTCGTAGAGGGAAAAGAAAGAAAATTGATAAATCCAATATATGAATTAAGGAATCCAGTCTCTCGACTTCTTTGTCAAATCGTATTATATTCATGATCTTTGAAATTCAACGTCATCGTCACCAGCGCCACCTATGATATAACAGGATTCTAAGAGGAAGGCCTAACAGTAACCAGTGACGAGTTTCTCAAAAAAGTATTTCCGGTATATGACGCAACCTTCAAATACCGAGCCTCACTACTAATCGGATATCTGGATTCGAAAAGATTACCTGTTTGAACAGTAGCTACTTCCACGAGATCACTCTCATTAGTTCCTATATATATAACCTAAGTCGTATGATCAGTCGCTCCATTCCAACTCATGTACGCGGTGTCGTTAAGTCCCACAACATCTGGATTCCAAAATGGCGTCGCGTTCCAGGATTGTTTGTAGGCGCGAAAGGATTGGGCGTGGTCATAACCGAACTGGATTCGTAGACGAACGTCGTTATCACCATCGGGTCCGAATTCTGTAAGGCGGGCAACGGCGCCCCAGCCGATAAATGTATTGCCATTTTCAAGCGGGCCGAAAGATCTTTGGGAATTGGGGAAATTACGGTAGGCAGGATCGGTGAGAGTTTTTTCCACAACTAGAGTTTTGTCTACGAGATTCAGAGAGAGCCGGAGACCATTGGATTGGTTGAATACGCTTCGATCTGAGAATTCATTATTGCGATTGTTAAAGTAGCGAAGGACAGCGCTTGTGTTGGTATTATTACTGATGCGAGCATCATGTTGCCATTCCTACGATTTGTAGTTAGTTTGTGGTTTCTGATGGCTTGGGGAATCAATTACGAAGTTTGCTTCTTCGGGAACGAAGAAATTACTTTGTCCTTCGGTGTTGTTGCCCTCAATTTGCCATTGAATCTCACCAGCACTACTGAGATACCAAGTAGTCCAGCAGGTACGACTGTTAATAAGATATCCATCCCCAACAGATGATATACTATTGAGGCGGAACCAATCGAAAGGATCACTCGAGTTTAAACCAGTTCCGGAGTTGACACCTGGTCTAAGTTCGGAGTATGTGATGGGAATTTCAGAGGCAACAGAACTCCAGTTGAACACTATATTACCGGTAGCAATGTCTATCTCGTAGAATTGAGAGTCATATACATAGCCAAGACTTGGACCGCCAACCGGGCTAAGATCCATAGAGGTAATGCTGGCTGCGATGACAATTAGGGTGTTTCAAGGTGTAATTAACGTTTCGTGAAAATCGGCAAACCATATAGGATCAGTCAAATTAGCACTCGGTGGGGTGAGTAGCCCTAACTTGGGACAGATCGTTGTGATTGGTGTATAGGTGTCATCAAGTATAGTGATATTTCCATATCCCATTCCGTTATTCGAACCAAGACCTGACCTGTATGTCAACACGGGTTTACCCATGTAATATTGAGCCATAAAGTTTCTAGTAACCACGCCGAAATCTGGCGTGTATTCCTTCCTTAAAGCATGTGGGCCCTGCCACACAAGTTGCCCATCCTCAGTGAAAATACCAAACGCATCAGTTTGAATAGGTCCAACGGCGGAGATTGCGGCCTTGGAACTCGACTCATTTATGTGACGAAGAGCTGGAGTTATGAAAATCAAGCCTGATTGAGTTTCTCCCGTCTTCGTCACATTGAAAGTGGGAGGTCGAAAATCGACCGTGTGGTAACGCTGGGTGGGCCACAGGTTGAGTGTGGCGGACAATGACATCTTGAAGTAAGAAGAAGAGAGACTGGAAATGTTAAAAGTGTTTCGGAGAAAGGTAGTAGTGAAGAGGAATTCAATCCCTTTTTATATCTCCATTTTATATCTACTCCACATGATCTTCTACTTAGAGTCCGATATAGAAGTCATGAACTACATAACTTAGATGATTATGCAAAACTTCAGGACATGAGATTCATAGCATAAAGGCTTCAGATGTAGTAAATCCGTTAATTTGCAGACAACTGTGCCTTCCGTGATCTCCAGCACTATAATCAATCACCAGGCGCAATGCCTTTTCTCTTAATCCTTGAGAAAAAACCATGGATGATCTGGTCGCACCATCTCTCGCTTGACCGATATCGGGTACCGAATTTGTCTAAAACACTATGTTTGTCATCGTACGAAATATTATAAATAATCGCGGTGAAAGGGTTTCAGGGCGTAGATCATCACGATCTTGAAAATTTGACTGATTTACAAATCACGTGAGGTTCCCACAGCTCAAGCAAGCCGATTATGCTTTGTGGTAAGTTTGATTGGCTTTAACTTTGACTTAATCATACGGACGATGGAGGTGCTACGTGAGGGGGAAGAGAAGGCAAGCAAAGGGTGCCCTCTCTTTTCTGAGGGTCTCCCTTCATTATCTCAAGAGATTCTCTGTTCCTGGATTTCACAAAAAAGGAAAGATAGCAAAGACTATTGTGCACGGACATTGACAATCAGAAACGTGAATAGACTCTGACATCGATTGCTTGAGGTTGAAATACCTTTGGTTTAATCTTGCAAGTTCTCTTCGTTGATTTTAATTTGGCGTATCACTGGGCATATAATTGAACGTTGTGAGACCCGAATCTAGGGTTAAGCCTGATGATATTAAGTAATAATTGAAGAAAGACCGGAACACTAGATAAGTCGATAGAACATGTCTGCCAAAGAGTATGGGTAGTGAGTTGATTATACTATGGATCATCAGTAGTGGGATGCCATTCTTCAAAATTATAGCAGATTTTTGGTGCCAGTAACGTTGCGCTGTCCATCTCATCACTGTGTTTCCGAGGAGTAATGAAATCCATGCTTCATCTTCATCTCGCTCTCTTGATCCGAGCCAACTCCCAGCCTGGGTAGTGATGAAAGGCTTTGCTGTAAAAGTGAGCCCTCAGTTGAGTGCAGGCAACGAAGATACAGAATGGTCATCTTTGAACTTTATTCCAAGCAGTGAGTTTGACCTGAGATTCATCGGGGCCCCAATCATACCATAGTTCGAACCTCATCGTGAAGGTTGTGCAATTGGCTCGAGCCGTAAAAAAAGGCCACAGATAGCAGACAATCTTCTCTATATGCAAACCCCCCCATACTTGCTCGACATAGGATCTCACACGAAAGTTGTACTTCGACATGCATAGTCCCAGATGAGGGCTTGCGGAGATGTCTTCATTCTCAGAGTGCGGTCCATATTTTGAGTTCTATATCTGGTGAGAAGTGGCTGGTAGGAGGAACAGGCCACTATTGAAAAGTGAGAAGGTCACGAGGGGCTTCTCCTTCAGATCTAAACTCACAGACACAAGGGCTCCAGATAAAGTGTAAGATATGCGCCCTCAATTCCGTAGTGGTTGTAGGTTATCATTTGTTGTATTCGTATCAGATAAAAGACCTCTGGCGTTAGGGAGGAGGATCTTGTGGGAAGTGGGAAGTATGATGTTCTCCTCCAGCAAATAAAGGGAGAAAAAAAGGAAGAAGTGAGTTCTAACAGGCATCCAGTACTCATCCGGACTTCACTATTACACTTTTAGTCCGAAGTTTAATATTAACTACGCTTTAAGTCAGCGTGAAATTTTCCATAGGTAAGCGAACAAGTGAATTTAAACCGATTTCCTCGCTTCCATTAGCGAATTTAAAATTTCTTCTCTACAACCTCATTTTTCTTTTCCTTTCAATCACAACTTCCACTCTCCAGTTTTGACATCCTCAAGTCCTGTTCGATCTAAGTTTTCTGAAGACAAATGGATAAACTCCACGCAACATATCCTTTCCTCCAGCCACGATCCTTCCATTTCTTTCTGTTTGCCAATGAACCATTCAATCTATGATATTCAAGGACCAACCGCTTCCGAGTCTTTCAATATTTCGATCATCTGGTTTACTTGATAGGTAGCCTCCACGCGACAAACACTCATCTTCAATCGGCTGGGAAGAGGAATTTCTCGCACTTTTCTCTTCCTAGCTGTCGATCTTCCTTTATTTCGACTTCTTCAGATTCAGTCAGAGATGCCAGCATAAAGGCGAGTGCAGCTACATCTCGATCCATCTCTACAGATTCTGTTTCCGTCAAAAGTAAAGTCTTCGCCATAATGTCATTTTCGCCCCTACCACCTTCCCACTTTCAATCAGCCGACAGAAATTCTGCCGTCAACGACCTATGATGCTACACCACTCGGGAAAAGGAATCCAATGTTTCACATTGCGCGATTAAATACACCTCCGAGGATGAACGAAGTCTGGATGTAGATTCTAGCCGTCACTGTAAAGGTCAACAGAATGTCCAGAAGTTACATTTGATTGAGATTGTTCGAGGCATTGAAGTTCGCACCGAGTATCTCAAGTTTCAAAGCAACACCTTTACCGCATTCGACACCAGCATATCACGATGGATTTCATTTTTTTCAGGAGATAGCATAGCAAATATTCTAGCAAAGATGTTATGTAACTCCAACGTTGCTTTCATTACCGATGTTGCTCATGCTAACTGATTTTGTAGATTTTCTGAAAGAACGAGATGCTTCAGAATGTGCATCGACCGCTGCAGATGACCATTTCTTCATTCCAAGTACAAGCCGTTTCCACACACCCGTCACACTTCAGAAGATTCAATTGCCGAAAATCACCTTGCAATTGTTCTCATGCTATCAAGTCAACCATCGAAATCTTAGGAAGGCAAAGCAAAGCTATTCAACAAAGGAACAGGACTCGAATTGATCAGGAAGCCAACAAGAGACTCACCACTATGGCTCAATCATTGGTGGACCTTCTACCACACCTCCTTCACTTATTCAATCACGAGTACTCACCAAGATCCTCCAGAACTTTCCAGCGAATAGACCGAAAAAAAATGCTTTTCCAATTCCCACATTGACGACATGAAATTCTCCTTCGGTTACCACTCGATAACGAACAGCCATTAACAGACGTACCCTTTCTGCTCCACGGTGGCTCTCATTGCCTCTTCTCTTCTCTTCTTGAACTTCTTTCTGCCACCCAAACTCATAGCTAGTCTCTCTGATTCACCAGCTTTCCGAATCATATGGACGAACCTAACCTTTTCCAGGACGATCATGTTTCGGGCTGGCATTGATTCCGCTAAAACCTTGTGGCACAGGGAAAACATACTGATGCGTCGTATACATTTGTTAGTTAGGAATCGAAGATTTTCATCAAGAAATTGGTCTCTGTTGAATCTTTTGAATGAACACAAATACTGGTGATCGTGCACTGTGCAAACGACTGTGATTGAATTGTTTTGGCTGGCTTGCAATGATAGCAAAATTTCCCTAAGTGGTAAGCTTCCCAAACAATTCACTCATGCACTTAATGCCATAACCCTTCAACCCTAATTCTTACCCAAATTCTCTTAACTTCACCCAATCAAACACAATCCCACACACTCCAAGCTCGGTTCCCTCAATCATAAATTCCATCTCCTTCCAGAAACCTTCCTACTCGCCCGAAGAACTCGTTCGACCCATCAGCTTTCGAGAAAATCGGGAAGTCATGAACTTCATCTTTTCCAACCACCGCTTCTACCTTAACACCCGCTTGACGTAGATGATTGACGAGTTTTCGTATACCTTTGTAATATTAATACTCAGTTATCACTTATACAATCAGACATTCAAACATATACATACCTAGACCAAAAACCTCCGCATCTCCCCAAACAACCATACACCTACACAGTCCCTCAAATTTATACCCTTCCGGCAACCTTCCCCTCGCTGGACTCAAAAGTGTGCCCCTCAACTCCGGTCTATTTTCACAGTACTGATACCCCGCCATTGCGAGCATTTCACTATTCATAAAATCCAGCTCTATCAAAGTCCCCTCCTCTTCCTCTCCCACCCCCTTCCCATCAAACCTCGACGTCAAATCCACAAATGGAGAAATCAACACCGCATTTTCCGGCATGGGAAAACGATATCTATTAAGATACAACAAGAGCGTAACCACAATCCCCGCACCTCCCGAATCTCCCATAATCGAAATATTCTCCTGACGATATCCCATCTCGAGGAGGAAATAAAATGCCGACAATGCATCTTGTAAGGCTGCTGGAAATGCCGTTTTGGTAGTTACGCATTTACGGAAATTGACGCCGAAGATGGGGATATTGGTTTTCTGGATGACGCGCCAGGGAATAGCAGATGTAAGGGGATGACCTTGGACCATTCCGCCACCTACGAAATACATCATGATTTTTCTTTGAGATACGGGGGAAGAGGTGTCGCCAATAGGAGACGAAAGATTCCGTGTCCATTGCCAGAAACATGGACAGCTTTCTGGTTTGATGATCGCATGTGATGCATCGCCCTTTAGCCAGTGTTCATCTACTGGCGGTATGACTTCCAATTGTACATTTTGATCGTCGGTGAGTTTGGGGATGGAACAGCGGGCGGAAAAAGAGAGGACATCTTTAAGGGGTTGGGTACCAGGATTTAAAGACCAAGCTAAGTGGGAGCCGATGAGGAGAGAAGCACGATATGTGAAGGACCAATGCGGACGACCATAGTAAGAAAGTGAGAATAAGAAAGAGAGAAATACAAGGGGTATCTGCGGCGTAACGATCACCAACGAATAGACAAGCCGGGCTACGCGGTAGCAATGTTGCGTAAACCGGGAGGTACGTTGCCAAGCGCGGATATGAGAGTTTGTGGGGTACGAGACGCGCATGATAAAAATATAATGAAAATAGAAATTGTGAGTGACTCGATAATCAATGTTTCATCTGCAGGAAGAGACGAGAAGGGAGAGGTTCTCAAATTTCAATGCATGTCCGAAAAGAATCGTTCGAATCGCTACCGTATAAGCTCGGTAGACTCGGAATCTACCTAGCCGTATACAGCCTAGCGTATTGCCGATCTCCCCAGACGGACTTGTTGAAATCCGACTTTTTTTCCACTTTTCCGTTGGCTTATAAAATAATAATACACGTGCTTGAAGCATGTGAATAATTAAATCTGATTTTTAATAATTCAATTTCAAATTTTCTTTTTAAATATTTATCATCTTATTAATAAAGAATATTAAGACTCAGAATTTCAAAGGAAAATATAAATTGTTTATTTAGTGACTTATTATCTAAATAATTAGAAACATGTTTTGTATTGATTTGTAATATTACTATGTCAGGTTGAGGCTCACATACTAGGGCTATATACAGTTAATTAGATTCCGAGTCTACTGAGTTGATACAGTAGTTTTGCATGTGCCTGAAACACGAGGTTGGGGAATGAACCGTCAACTACCGGCTCGCATGGGGCTAGACAGGGACGGGTAAGGCATTTTGCTGTAAATAGTTAGGGATTCTGCGGGTGGGAAAATATCGAAAGTCACCTGGTGTACTTGTATTTTTTGTACTCGTTAGCCATTGAGTTTGGTCGGTTTATCATTCAATGACTTTTCGGTTTCGAGGGGGTGGGAAAAAAGGAGATTGGGTGGTGTCCATGGGTGATCATGGGTTTCGCGGGATTCGAGGATATTCGACTTCGATTTTAACTCTTGACATGCGTTGAGTCTACTGCATACATGAATCATGAATCATGATATTTGGTATCAAATAAGGAAAACGACAACATGTGAATAACATAGCATCTCATATCAAATACGGACAGACAACGATATCATGTGTTTAAAATATGTATTTATTGATCTATCCTACAAGTACTCCATGATAATCTTGTTGTCAAAGCAACCCTCCATCTACTTGTCTCGACTTATCGCGTGTCGTGCTCGGTTCCCCCTCCACATAATCTTGTCTCGGGACCTCTTCTCCATAAATGGCTGTGCGTTGGCTATTTGCCTAACCTATTTCCTTCCACCCTACTGCAACACAGCGTCTGCCTCCTCTTCGGAGCATCGACATGCATGTGTGTTCTTCAATTTGCCTTCATTAAATGATCTCTTCCTCATCTGACAAAGTATATCTTGCCCGTGATTCGTTCCTTCAAATATCCTCATATCGTATCGAGTATCCTCAATCATCGTGTAACTTCGTAACGTAACTTTCGTAATGTAGCCCATTCCAATCTTATTCCCAACATATCCCATTCCACTCAGGTGGCCGCATAAGGTCTAAACGCATCGTCCTTCCCCCGACTCCACGCCCTCAATCTGCCTTTAATCTTTGATCCTAGTGGCTGTGCATCTTTGATTGATCCTTCATCTGATTCATTCGTGCTCTCAATGATACTGCATCTACTTCTTCCCAATGACTCTGAGCTTGAAAAAGGATTGCTCATATCCATACTCGCTCTCACCCCACTAAGTATCTTGTTACTTGTAGACAAAGCCGAATAACAATCATAACTCATTCGTTTGGAAGAATTGGCAAAAAAAGATAGCGAAGAAGTAGAATTGTGAGAAGAATGTGAGGAGTTAGAATTAGAAGAACTACTCGAAGAAGTTCGCGATTTGGATTTGCGAGGTGATTTGCGAGAGGATTCGTAGGAATCCATTTCGAGGAGGATGAGTTGTAGTTGTGAATCTGTTTGGGCGAGATTGGGGGCCGTGGAGGTGAGGGGAGGTCCTTCGATGAATTTGGAGGGGCGAAGTGTGGCCTTTGGGCTGGGTGAGGTAGACATTGTCTAATGACTGTTGGTTGTAATGCTTTCGTTGTGTTCGAATGTTGGGTTTCAATGTAAATATTTAGGTGATTTTTATATATATAACCTATAATTCGGTCTGTATATATAGAAGTATATCAAGAGTTGTAAAGTAATATCAATACGTAGATTGACCCATACACAACCTTGAAAAAAAAGATATAAAGATTCAAGATGGTATATAAGCAAAACAGCGAATATCCAACACAATATAGAAAAGCAATCCAAATGATCATCCACACTCCGAGGGGAGACCTACACTTTTAATAACTGGAACATACATACTTGACTCAAATCCATCCGTTCCATGTGCGTCGTAACTCCGGCTTCCTTGAGTAAAGTCTAAGAGGGCAAAAGAAATCTTGCGCCCACCATGCCGCGTTTGAACAAGGGTTTCTCTTCACATAATTCTGTCATAGTGGAGCTTTCAAAAGCCTAAATTGTCACCCCTCACAGACCCTGCATATAGGTATCACTACCTAAAGTAATAAAACTCCTAAAAAGTAATTTGTAACCTCACTGATCACTGGTGCAATCATTTTTGGCCCCATGCCACCTCATCTGATACGAATACTTGTGCGTATTTTGGTGGATGATCTGTCAAGTATTCCAAGACACTTTATGTATATGAATGGAGATTTTGATGGTTTTAATAAATCAGAGAATGATCATTGGATGGAGAGAACGATGATTATCTGTTCATAAACTGGAATTCTGGTTTTCTAGGATTGATCCATTATTTGTAAGTGATGTTGAAGGATCTCGTGGAGATAAGGCTGGTAAAGTAAGATAGATTGGCGAAAAATGAAGGGGCATCTCCATTTCACGACTTCATTTCCCGATGCTTTTCATTTCCACAATTTCTTGCTTGTAAATTTTCCTACATCACATCACATCACACTACATGAGTCTCCTCTCAATTTCTTTAAATTTTCTTCGACTATTCTAGCATCCTGCGTATACACTCATCAAAACTTTGATTTCGGGGTCCGTCCTACCCTTAAGCCCACCTGAGCAAGTACGAGCAGTGCCTGAAAACAAACCCTATATCTCGTACTAACCGATGAAATTCCGCTGTGCCCGTTTCTCTCACGTTACAAATTACAAACACATCGGACGGCGGAATTTACATCGGTGGCTTGTATACAATGTACTTGTAATACTCTAATTAAGGATTTACTCAATATGTACTCGAGTATGGCTGGTACACAAACAGGTAGAGACTCGCCATTCGGATATTCGCAATCAATAACAAAATTCTCTAACAGTCTCATATGGAATTGGAGTTTTGTTTGTATTGAGTCTGGACCGACGTCATAAACCGTTGGATTTCTTCTTCTTTCTCGGAAAATGTATCCAGGGTAAGGCAGTATCCCAGGGTGATGATCTGGACTCAAGGGTTGGTGGTCTGCTGGAAGGATTGCAAGCTCATTGCTTGTTATCTGAGCGAGGTGGTCATGGCGGTCAATTGTTTGAAATTAGGATTATGGTGGTAGTAGTAGTAGTAGTAGTAAATTCTTAATGGATTCAGTCTATCTATAGCTATATGGTGGTAGGATCTGGGGAAAAGAGTCAAAAGAAAGGTGTGATGATGCTCGATCCGATTTATTTACTGCTTATGATTTTGACCTTGTGTATAATTTAGAATGATATAGTTAATGCCCCCAGTTTGACAGCTGGTCATTCTGTGGAGTTGTTAGGTTCATCCTGCCTCTCGTCTTTCTACAAACACTCATCGTCTGACGACATTGCTAAGAAATCGATTCCATAGACCTTGGTAGGATTCATTTCTAATCGTTATATCCTAAACCCTTTCTTCCCTATCTCATCCAAAACGGCAAGGAGCATCCGGCCTAGAATCTCCACAGAAGCATCCGATTGTGTATTTTATGCTTCCAAACACAATAAGCTCGGAGACCCGGAGTGCTCGGCCAACCTTGGGACGATCTCAAGGTCCAGGCCAGGTCTGTTAAAGAATCACCATACCGTTTCGACTCTCTCATCTTCGATCCTTTGAAATCACAATATCGCAATAAGCATCGAATATTTTCTGCCAAAAATCATTATATTCGTTCTATAATTCTTTATTTTATAGCAAAAATTGGACGTGCTCCACCCAGGGGTACAAGTTCCCGAAGTTGTGAGAGTGTCAAGATATTCCCATAGGCAACGGAATAACGGGCTACGATTTGAGACCGACAACGGTCTCGGACGTCCGTACTCGTACCTGCCTACAATAACTGTGATTAGGTCCTGTTGTTATTTTTGTAATTGTAACATCGAATTTAGCTACCTAGATACTTCTACTTTGAATGTAACACCAATAATGGTCCGACAATGATTTGAGTCTAATGTTTCCCCTCGTGTGGTCTGGTAATGGGTGATTTGAATTGAGTTGCCTTCTCGAGGAATGATCATGAATGACTAGGTACCTAGTCATTGAAATTACACTTTGTCGTCAAATTTGTCATGTACGAACCGTTTGTTGATCATGGGTGAACATTCAAACCATACTTTACGATTTTGTGGTGGAAAACATACTGACTGTCGTCTGGGGAAGAGAGGGGCGGGAAAGCTAGTGGTTAGAATAGAAGATATACCTAAATACCTACCTATAGCTAGGTATGATTACGATACATACTGAAGAGAAGTTTATCAACTACCTACTAGTACCTATATAGATCAGCCGGACTCTTGATGTGCTGATTTCAGATTTGCTGTAAGGCGATTAGACGATAATAGAAGGAATTGAGTTTATTCGATACGTTTGTTTAATCTTCACCACAATATCCCAATCACACAACCATACATATCGAATATCGGTACATCAGCAGCCAGTATCAACATGCAAGTCATGCATATATCAGCCTCAGTATTAACTAAAGCTATACCCACATCTAACGCCCCAACCAACCAATCACTCTACAACCCAACCACACATCGCCAGACTTTCCAAACGATGCAAATTTCAATCTCAAACAATTAGCAAAATCTCAGCTCAATGTTCAACATAACACGAACAACCAAGCGGCTTTAGCTCACTTGGGAGAGCGCCAGACTGAAGTCCACTTCAGGAACCTAATAGATCCTATTATCTGTTTATCTGGAGGCACTGTGTTCGATCCACAGAAGCCGCATTCTGCGATCTCGAGTCCACCCGAGGTAGATAATTTTTGCTTTTGATCTGCCAATTCTTTATTGATTCATCAATTTCATATCATTTTTGTGTAATTTTCCGAAATCGAAAAAGATGAGAATTCTATGGTGGGGTAAACGGGCACAAGCGAAGTATAGCTAGCGGATACAGTGGAGTGATAATATATTTCCACCCCGCTTTCACTTGAGTTTGTGTAAATAAAAAAAGAATTTTAGTGGGGTTATTAGATTGAGTTTAGGGATCTGAGAATACACTGCTTTTTGATTTGTTCATACTGTAGAGATATCCAGAAATTTACGGGACTTTTTATGTAGAGGATTGATTGAAGTATTGGTTGAGAAGACCCCTCCCTCCATTACTCACTCAGCCTTTCACACATCTATAGAACTAACTAACTAATCTATTCTTTTTATTCGTTCAAAATTCTACTTGGGTGGGATGGGGAAAACCCCCCAAAAGCCCTCGACATCATCCATCAACACCCCTTTTCAAAAATCAACCAAAAATGCAAAAAGAAATGATCTTTAGCAACGGATTCAAACCGATGATACTCAGGGTAACTCCCTACACAGGTCTCGAACCTGTAGCCTCAAGATTTTGTCACATAGGATCAAGCCTAATAGAAGTCTTGCGCGCTACCATTGCGCCAGCAGGGAAATCTTTTGATTTTGTATGCTGAGAGACGCGATTTTGCATATGTAAAATAAATTGTGACTAGTGCTTTTGCTAATACAGTACAACATCATCGATATCTTCATCCTTGTCTATGTGAAATATAATTTCCCTGTATTTTTATTCGTTTCAGAGAAAAACTGTCCTAGGACGTGCCATCAAGTGAGGGATATCGGATTGGCGAGTTCGGATATACTGTTTGAGCATCTTTGACACTACTGGCTGCAAGTGATGATCTAGATCTATTTATCTATTTGTTCATCCATCCATCCCTATATCACAATTCGAGACTGGGCATTGAGGTGAACAAGTTCTCAGTCTTTAGATTGGGCTTGACTTTTTGTCATTTTACGTGAGAATATACAAAGAAAGACGTGGTCTCTTGGTATTGTGGGGTGGTAGTGAATTTCGAGGTGCTAGATATTGATCTGTATGCTGGCGGCGAGGATGCAATGACGATAACATCATGCCTATATTTCGGAATGGCTATTAATGTAAAGGCAAGTTGATCTAAACTTTGAAGAAGTTTCTCGAAGTCTGAGTCATCACCTCTGTAGGTTTTTACTACCAATTTGGTTCTTGATTGTATAATGTTCATTACGAGTTAAGTCGTCTCACCCCTTACAATCTTCAATCAATTCCTCGTGAGATTCAGAGGCGTCTGCTATCCAATTTAACATCTTTTTCTGGCTTCTCGAGAAATTTCTCGCCATTTTTTGGATATCCTGCTCACTTTCGATGTTCATTTACCTTTGGTGATATCAGATGCTGATGTACTGTTCCTCTCATGAATTCAAGAAATATATGTCAACAACTTACTACCAGGTAAATTTTGAGAGATTACGGTTAGAAAAGTGTCCTTCTTAAAGCCAAAGCCAGAATTCCTATAATCAAACTGCAATAAGATAATGAAAGTTACTTTTTTCCGTGGGTTTCTCAATTCGCTTTGAAAGTCAAACCGTTGATGACATTGAGTCCAATCCGCAAATTAAAGTTGATTTTGAATGTTAGATGTTACATTTCAAAAGCTATTTCGGAATATTTAAAACCTTTAGTAGAGGTAAAAAAGTGTGATACAAACTTTTGAAAATTGTGGCATAAAGCTACTTACTCTTCCGTTGAGAGATCTGAGAGACTCATGAATTAGTATTAAAAGAACCAAGTCCTCCCTGTAGGGATAAGGATAGATGCAGCTAATGGTCCTTTGGAACTAGTCCTTGGAGATCTAAAAAGGAGCTTTAGGGATTGTGCATGATCAAAAAATTGTAGAAGTTTTACGATGATCTTGACGTTAGAGTTGGAAGCGAGGGAAGTTGTGGAATTCTAAATACTCAGAGACATCTTTCGAAAGAACATGTCTTGTGTATTGAGCAAGCTATTTCCGTGCTTGATAAACAGATTCTTGTCGGTCAAGCAATCAGAACATAAGATATCGCTTCGTAACTGATCATGATTCATCGTGGCACCTCAGTAAATACAACAAGCTCGAATGAGCGAAACCAATCCGAGAAAAGTCACCACTTGTAAATCTCATCTCTCCTACCCACACAACTACACAAAATCCCCTCTCAATCCGCCCTATAAGCCGCTGTATCCCCTATCAAAGCATCTCTCTTCCTCTGTACCGATCTAATCAAACTCGCCGCCGGATTCGGACAATTCCCCAGCACACACACATTATTTCCACAACACGTATCCCAAGCACATACATAAGCATTTGGACAATCCCCGTCATCATAACAATCTTTCGCTTCAGCACATCCGACGTTTTCACCGCAGAAACCAAGTCCTGTAATAGTATTGAAACAGAAACAGGTGGAATCGACAGCGCATGGTTTGATGCCTTCTTCGCATTTGTTGGGAGTACAGGGAATGGTATTGCAGGTGCCGTGTTCACAATAGCCGGTATCACAGACGTAGCCGCAGGAGCCGCAGTTGAGAGCATCTTTCATGAGAGCTTTACCTGTGGGACAGACTGGGGGAAGTCCGGTGGTGACGGTTGAAGTGGTGAAGGTTGTGTATGTCTAGGGGTTTGTTAGTAGATTTTCCTAAACAATATAGGGAATATACATACAGGTACAGTTTTGGTAATAGTATCAGGTAAAATTCCCCAACATGAACACGCACTCGAATAGCGAGCTTCGTTTGAGCAAGCACTAGCATATGATGGAAGTGAAAATGTAGTCGTTGCTACTGCTCTTTTTCCCACGGTGAATGCTTCGGTAATTGTTGTTAAGATGGTAGATGTAACAGTGATATTTATAATATCGACTGTGCAGAAGTTTTCCATGTACTCGATACAATCATCATATGCTATAGCTTGTTGAAAAGGTCCACGAAAGTCTCCACTAACTGCACGATAACAATTATCTGCATTGCAACCTGGAGTTGCTGGAGTCTTGATGTTGGAAACATCTGCCATGCAGATTCCTGCAATCAGGAAAAGTATTATTAAAAAACTGAACATCGTGAAGTCTAGCGATGAATTCTAGATCGTAAAAATATCTAAAAAGAAAGAGCTCCTACATTCTCATGGAGACGTCGAACCTTTATAACAAAAACTATGAGTCGTATCAAAATTTTCTAGACCCTGATTGTACGGTTGTATCCGGTATCAACGCCTCTCCCATATCTATCACAAATATCAGCATGGCAACCCTTCCTTCGGGTGCCTGACCATGCGATTGCTACCATAAAAAACATGGTATATGATGTACGAAAAGAGGGGATATTCAGGAACGACAACAAGGAAAGGCCGAGTATAACGTCTTGGTCCTTGTTCATGTTGTGAAAAATGCAGTGTTCAAATATTTGCTCAGCTTTTGGATATCTTGAATGTTTACAAAGAATAGCACTAACCACTTACATCATCGGAGATTTGCACGAACACGTTGTCGACCTTGTTGAATTCTTGTGTCGAAAGTGATCATGATCTAATTCTTATCATATCATATCTGTAGATAATTCTCGTTGTTTGCTTCATCCATATGAAGGGGTGGGGTAAGCTACACAAAACCCATTGATATACGACCATTTTTCTGAACAGCACTCATCACTTCAGAGTAAAGCACAATGCCAATATCGCAAGCACATGTTGAAGGCGAATGAGTCTCAATGGGCAGCTGGACATGAAAACTCCAGAAGGAAATACCTGAACGACTCAACTTAGGTAACAAACGAGAACATGTAATGCAAGATCCCGCAGAAGCCTGCCTCGGCCGTTCGCAGGAAAAACATGCAAATTTCATGGAATCCACCAAGCAGATATTCCAACAAATGAAATCTGCAGTGTTGGTATCCTTCTTGGGTTTGTCCTAGCCCTCAAGTAGTCACCGAGGAGACAATATTTGTGTAGCTAGGTAGGGATTGTAAAATTGTCAGATGTAGACCAGACTGTTTCAACCAGAGATTCGCCAGTTGCGGAGTACAACATTCATTACCTAATCGTGTATATCTTTCAACGTCATTCAAGATTCGATATGGTACGATGTGAACTACAATTTGTTCTCTGCCAATGGATTATACCACGATTTTTCGAATGATAATTTGTATCACCAACCCGAGAGAAATGAATTCGAATGTGATAATGCATAACATACCAGCATCTCACAATATCACGATGTGATTATTTGTCAGTACATGAGGAAGAATATGTTATGAAATTATATCATTGTTGCTAACTCAATATTTCGCAGTTATCATAATTCATCATAAACCTAGAACTAATGATATCCGAAATTATTTCGTCGTACACAGCCGACATTCCCATCATTGAAAGTTCAGACATCATTAAATCTTGAGACAATCTAAGAAGCTTGTCCTCCCTTCTTGCCAGCCTCGACTGGATCAACCTTTCCGTGTGCAAATTCTGAATTGAATCGTTAGCATCGACCTTCGTGAATGATGAGAAGTATGTTGGTATGAACACATACCGCCTTTACCACTACCACTGCTGCCAGTGGTGGAGGGGCTCTCAGTGCTTGCGTCGCTGGTGGATCCACCCTTGGCTCCAGCTTCCTGTGATGAGGGGAGAATGATTAGCAGGTTGAAACACATAAAGAATGCAGATTGCTGAATAGACAAGAGTGCTTCTTACAACTGGGTCGACTTGGCCGTAAGCAAACTCGCCAGTTCCCACTCTCTTGTCTGGAGTACCGTCCTCCTTGAGACCTCCGTGCTCTAAGAAAGATATTAGCAATGTTCATGCTTCACAGAGGGATGAGAAACAACTTACCAGTTGGCTTGTATGTTTCGCTCATTTTGAGATTGGTTGATGGTTTATTTGGTATATTGTTGGAGTTGTTTGAATTGTTTCAATGTTTGAAAGATGTGAATTGCTTGTTGATGATTTAAAAGAGTTTGACTGGAGATATCCAAGTATATATAGCCATTTCAACTTCCCATCTGCTTGATTCTTTCGCCCCGGAGCGAAACTCCGTCAAGTATCGACAGGAGGGGTGATTGAATGATGCTAAACTTGATTAGAGTAGGCAACAATTGAAGCAGTACCTTGTTTTCGATCAAGATCAAGCAGATTCAATGTTGTTGCGTACTTTCCTGTAACACTTAACGCAATGATCCTGATATCATTTTATCATGATGTCAATGGATTGTTACAAACCCTGTACATGAAGCCTTTCCGAGTGGTGATTGGAGAAATTCCAGCTACCCCCCTGGTTGCCACTACCCGGATTCTCAAAAAGCCATCCAAAAGCAAATCCTGGGGAAAGGGAGAATGGTGAATAAATTGATATTCAGATATTCTGACGTGGCTACCCGGTAAATCTAGACAGGATCAACAAAACAAAAACAAGATCGCGAATACAAACGACACGGCACGAACACGATGGTGACGTGCATGATAATATGGGGAACTCCACGCTATCATGTGATCACCGCGACTTGGTTGTTTTTGCCAAGTCAGAAAAATGTGAAGTTAACTAATATTGATTGGTTCAATGAAAGTTTTTTATTTTTGTGTATATGGATCTCGTTGCATGAGTAAGGTATGAGCTATGTTGTTTTATGAGACGTATGGTACGTATGGAAATGAGCCAGACCATCTAACAAGAGACGGAGTAAACCATCCTGTCGGCTATACTTTACTTCTTGATCATCACTGCCCCTATTTGGCTCTGGCTATGAGAAACAGAAGAAGGATACTGCATGACAAGTCTCAAATTTCATGATGTCACTCCAGCAGCACGTATCATAGAATCAACACCCTTACATCGATCTGCTAGTTCTCATCCTCCATCTTGGTTTTCGTTGAACACATTGGTCGAGAGCCTTTCTCACTCAGTTCGCTTTTCTCTTCTCTCTCTCTTTCGCTCTCTTCCTTCCATCCCCTCTTCTATTCTCTTTTTTTACCATTGGAGAGGAGGGGTAGTGTTCCGATTCCCCTCCTCCCCTCCCCATTCTCAAAAGACACCAAATCATATGATATAATTATACATCAACATCAGTAAAACATACAACTCTGTATAAACCTGACATAGAGGTAAAAAACCTCATGATATACAAAAATCTATAAAAATCTACAAAAACCCCAACACAAACATCTCTCGCAAGCTTTAGAATATGGACTCTCAAGTGAGACTGCAATACCAAAACCTCAACAAAGATTTCTCGCAGGCTCCAAAACATGAACTCTCAAGTGAGATTGTAATAAATTCCCATCAATATCGTCTGCAGATTCCTTTTCCGTCTTGCCATTCAAGTCTTTGACCACCTGGGCACTTGTAACACTTTGCGATGTGCTTGTTGAAGACGGACAATGAAAGAAAGAAAGAAAGAAACAGATTGTATGAAGTGGATGCGATGAAACGAAACTGGCATTCATCAAATGGCGGACTCAAATCTTCTCGTAAATTCATGCCGCATGAAAACTTCCAATACCTGATCTTTTTATGACTTTCAGAATTCACTGTCTTGTAGCCAGAAGCTGTAGGTATACCTTCACTTGAAGTCACATGAGAAGTATGAATTTAATACAAGATATTGTTATGGCCGAGCAATAATATCTTTATTCACTCATTTCAAAGATTGTACAGTACTTTGTAAAGAGAAGACCAAAATTTGCTTCGACTTCCCGCCCATCATTGATCTTTAGTTTAATTTGTCAAATAACCTTGTTGTCTACCATACGAAAGACAAAATCACACGACACCTGAATACCCATCAGGCAAATGCATCCATACAATCCAAATTAATGAATACCAACTCCAAGTAACCGACCTAAACATCACCACATCAACAATTCACTCTTCCGTAGTAATCTCCAATTCCCATTTCCACACCCATCCTCCCAACATAAAAAGCTCTAAATAAAAACCATGAAACCTCACTCCTGGCTCGACATCTTCCACACCAAAAAACTACTTTCGAGAACCACTTCCACACCCACAATATCAATGTCTTTCCCATCGGTATCCACATCGACATCGACATCGACATCGACATTCGCATCTTCATCTTCCAAACTCACCCACCAAAAACCCACCAAAAACAAAAAACACTCCCGCGCGAATAATCCCACAGGAACTCACCAAAACCAGTACACACTCCCCGGCCCAGAAACCTCTGGGCTCGATTTCGAGATTTTTGAAGATCCGCGCTGCGCGATTTGTGATGCGGATTTGCCTCCTATCGAGGGTCGTAAGTTTTTTCCTTCTCTTTCCTACTTCCTACTAAACACCCCTCACAGCACACACCCCGCTCCTCCCCCAACTCTGCGCCTCCTGCCACCTCCAAGTCACGCAACTCAAAAACGAGCGCGCCAAAATCCTCCGTCAGCAGCGCGAAAAACAACTGCGCGAAATGCACGAGGCGCTCGAAGCGGTTTCCGCTCAGGCGGAGTTGAGGAGGGTGTTGATGGATGGGAATGAGAGGTTGCGGGCGGAGATTGAGGAGATTGGGAGGGAGAGGGGGGAGATTGAGGAGGTTGGGAGAGAGGAGAGGGAGGAGAGGAGAGAGGAGAGGGAGACGGGTAGAGAGGGTTAAGATGGTAGGGTGGAGGGGGAGTCTAATGAGGATGTGATGGAGAGTTGTAGGGCTATGGCTTTAGACATGGCTATGATGATGATGATGATGATGATGTGTCATACATACACATATACATACACAACCACAGATTTCAGATATTTGCACGGCAGACTCCTGAGCGGAAAGTTGGTTTTGCAATTTTATGATACCCAGCTGGCGTTTGCTGTTGAGATTTTGATGAGGTTAGGGTAGCTCATGAGTTAGTTATCTAGATGAACTGATGGAATACTCTTCACTTGCTTCAAGTTTTCGATAAATGCTGTTTTCCAATTTTTTGATTTGTCTCAAGCTGTGATTGATACTTTCGTTGTTTCGAGTTGTGTTAAATGAATCATTTTGAGAAATTAAAGCATCTGTACCAATATCCAAAGGGATTATCTCAACTGTATATAATATATCCCATCATTCCATGTAACCAACAGTAGCTCACTCACACACATACGTTCACATCACACAAACTCAAGCTTCTACATCCATTTAGTGATTGATATAGTATTGAATTCCTCGTATACTATTGAATGTCTAACGCTTGCGTATAAGGGTATTGTTCAACATCATCCCTGTCATAACAAATCTTTCATCCAACCACCCATCACCCTTTCGAATCTTCCTATCATATGTACAAGTATTCTTCACTTTCTACCCCCGGAACGACCCCCCAGTATCCATGATCCAAAAACAAAAGAAACGGCCCGAAAGGAAACACAAAGTTGAGAAACCAGGGTATCATTCCCAAACTCGCTCTGCTCCGTTGTAAATGCAAGATCCACCCCTCAGATTTACCGAAATGTGTTTCCGAAGCTGGAAACATCCTTTCGATGCAATCACTCCCACGTCTAATCCACATCATCATTGACTGGCATTGGCGACCTAACTGTTAATTCGGCCGATTCATCACTCCCGGTATCCTTATCCTTTGTTGGCGAAGATATTGAAATTTCCGGACTCGACCCTAATGCCGCAGCTCTTTCAGCTCTCTCAGCTTTGCGTGCTGCATTCCTTGCCTCTCGCTGTTTAACTAAATCCTTTTCTGCCTCAATAGCCTTTGCTCTTCTAATCTCAATCTCATCTCTCTTAACTACTTTGCGTAATCCTTCTGAAGCATGGATTAATCCATCAATACTGATGGCATGATTCGTCATTTGATGATTAATATAGGTGTATACATTTGCAGGCGATAAGCATTGAAGTAATTGCTGTTCATTGAGCTTCAATAGAGCGAGTGCGACCTGGAAGAGAAATGTGCTACCATCATTCATACAAAGTACGACGTCCCATACTCTGAATAAGGCTTCTGCCGATAGACAATCAGTGAAGACACTGAGGAACCATTGAAAAGTGAGGGCTTCGAGCTCGATACAGAGGTCATCTAGATGTTGGGATAATTTGGGAAGGATATCGGTGACATATTGTCGCAAGACTTGTTGATCTGCTCTGGAAGCTAGAAGACTGTGATCATAGTATCCAGGTGGCAAGGTATGCTCAATGATGCTAGTCAAGACCCAGAAAGCATCCTCTGCAGTTGGCATGATAAGCAATAAACATGCAGTAATTAAATTCATTCCTTGACAATACCCAACTTCATGATTTCTTCTCGAGTAGGCTAGGAGTACCTCGTTGAGCTTAGCGACTCCGGGACCTTTTCGAAAGTAGATATTATCCGTCAATGTACGATTGATATCCATCTGAATTTGAGTAACAACTACCGGATCATCATCTTCCTCACTACGAGCTATTAAGTCATCATAGTAACCTGGGATACGCATCGCAGAAGCTCCAGAGCACTCGGCCCAAATTTTAGCCCTGTATGCTACTGGGATACCACCAAGAACCAGATTCTTAAACTCATTCCACTTAGCACGGCCAACTTTTCCTTTATTGCCCAAACCAGAAACACCAATCATTTCTCCATCTGCTAAGCTTGCTTCGGGCATAACTGGTATAGGCCGGTGGGACCGTAGGTCTGTATTCGAGGCAAGAGCGGCAGCAGCAGCCTCTCCTTCACGTTTACGTTCGGCTCTGACTTTGCGAAGGAAATCATTCCATCGTACTGTTTTGTCTCTTTGCAGGGAATCATGAACTTCACCCAGTTGTTGTAGCAATAGCTTGACAGGTTCAGTATCTTCTGGTGTAGGATCGGGTGTAGAAGTCGTTGAGGGTGTAGGCTTGGAGATTGTGGCGGCATCTGATGCGATAGACAATGCAGGGGCTGATGTAGTCGCCAAAGGAACAAATCCTCTTTCTTCGGTTAATATTCCAGGGGATCTTGGCACCTCGCCTCCTTCCATGACTTCAAAGGCAGGCATACTACCTGATGGTGTATGGGCTAGCAGTTCCGTGGGAAATGTTGCTATCTTGAGATAGTCTTGCCAACGTTTGACTGGCTTATCTTCATCATCAACCTTGTCGTCAGTTGCTGTGGATCCGGGTGAACCAGGCCGAAGATCATCGATATCATCGCCTTCAGTTACTGCAGCGGAGATAGTGCTACTCCTCCCACCACTAAGCATCTCTACGCGACTACCTCTCTTTCCTTTTCGCATCCTCTCAGCGGCTTCTCTTTGCCTTTTCTTGCGTCGCTGATCATAAATAAATCCGAATCGGTCAGTCAGAAAATCTGGATTGTTGTAGTTTCTATATTGCATCAAGGTTGGTGGCTGATCTTCTGGTGCTAAAATTGTATCCATCTCGACGGGACCAAAATTCTCCTTCACCGTGGTACTAGAGCCCTGTGGACTAGACCCCATTGTATCCCATCTCTCCTGTGCAGCAACAGTCGTGTTTTGTGTCAACGGGGTAGGATTGCGAATGGCTCTAGGGTTCATCTTTGGTACCGCCCGAGCAGAAGTTGTGGATTTGGTACTAGTTCTAGAAGGAGTACGATCTGATGGTTCAGTTTCGGCACTGTTCGATCTGCCGCGACCTGTTTTACCATCCGGATCACGAACAGTCGCGGTACCGGCAACAAGCTTTAGTGCCAAAGTTGCTAGACTAGATTGCTTCCTTTGTCGATTGCCAGCTATTGAACCACTGCTGGGAGGTCGGCTCAAACTTTCCAGGGAGGATACAGCATCTGGTGGGTGGAAAATATCATTTTGTAGAATTGTGCGTCGACCTGGGCCCCCACTGCGCGCATGAGCGGTTGCGCTGTTGGTGATCACATCCCCATTGATGCTGCTTGCCCGGCTGGTTGTACGACTTGTCTTACTTGTCCCACCCCAAATATAATCCTTCCATCCTCTTGACGTTCCAGTAGTCGATTTACCTGGCGAGGGCTCTTTAGCACGTATTGTAGCATCATTTTCCAAACTTTCCAATTCACCTGCGACCACTGTTTCACTCATAGCATCATTCATTAGATCCTCTAGCGCAGATTCGCTGGGTGGAGCTGGAGCACCCGAGAGTTTTCGTTCGCCTTCGATGGCTCGCAGACGAGTTTCTAAATCCAGGTTCGATAAACCACATTCCAGAATAATCTTTTTCAATGACCTCTCTCTTTCTTCTGCTTTGCGTCTGAGCGCAGCTATTTGCGCATCTCGTCGAGCTAAATCCTCTGCGATTTGTCTGACCAACTTGATAGCTCCATTCCTTGCTATCAATCTCTCGATATGTTCGTCGTTTGCATGATGCACTGATCCAGGTACTTGAGAGGAGCCTAATGGTGCATCATCGAACAAGGCAGAACGACTGTGCAAAGAAGGGGAGGATGTAGTTAAGCTATCGACAATTGAAGCTGCGGCGGAAGCCTTTCGATTCGCAATTCCATCGTTTGTAGGTAGTATGAAGTGGGATCGTTCTTGTGTTGGCGAATCCCCCGAGAATGAGGGGAATGAAGTCAATGATTTATCCGATATCGATGATGCGGAACTGGATATCTGCGAAGCCAGTCTTCGTGACTTTCCACGTACTGTCTGCGACCGTTGACTCCTCATCGAGGCGGCTGAAGCTGTCCTGGAAAGATGCCCCGTGATATCATTTTCCATCGCTACTGTATCTTGGTCGATATCAACAAATGAATCCTCCCATTTGTTCCAATTATATTCACTTTCCTCTTGAAATCTCAAAATAGAATTTGTAAAGGATTGAGAAAGAGAAGAAACATAAGAAGATTCTGTAAAGGCTGGAGTTTGTAATAAGAAAAATTGGCCGTGTAATGTATGGGAATTGGTAGATAATGTTGATTTACATTCGTAGTAGCTCCATGCCTTTTTCGTTAATAAAGGTCGAGACATCATCATCACTGATAACTCGCGTATTTTGTGTGACACCGAGCACTATTCCAAAAAAATGGCGAATATGTAAAACAAGCAAAGGTTCTATAGATATACAACCCAGTATAAGATAAGAAAAAGCCAAAAAAACAAAAAACTCACATATAGTTTCGATGAGTATGTGAGGTCTCATCAATTGTTATACACCCAACGAAGATATAGAGTATAGTACAGGAGAGGAACAACGATTCATGTTCTCTTCATATCGGAAGACGTAATTCTGCATTCTATGAGCCAATTTCTGTCTTAGAAATGGCGCATATGAATTTCTGTTGGGTTTATGCTTTCTTCTCTGCTAATAAATACCACCATGTGTTACAGAGTATCACTCAATCCCGCCCTTTCCTTTGGTGATCGCATATGCAGACGCTCACATTGTGTATACCTAGGTAGATTACCCTTCGAAAGGTAGATCAGGCGGATCAAGGTGATTAAGGGATCAATGGAGTTGAGGATTCCTATAGATGGGTGTGTTGTACATACCTAGTTATAGTTAGTTGTCCGCAGCGCTCTCGAGACGCTCAATGAAAAGATCAGAGCTCAAAGTAAATCAAACAGACGAGACGAGCGAGATCAAACGAAAATCCCTTTCAAAGCGCCGTGCTTATTACTTACCTACCCACGGTACCTAGGTACTTGCACACTTGCATACTTGCACACTTGCATACTTGCATACTTGCATACTTGCATAGGATAGGGCGGCGAGGGCCGAGGCAATTGGAGATCTTACCTTACCCCAGACTTTATTCGGGAATACTTGCAGATTCCCCCGCCTTGTTATTATTATTTTACTCCCTATTCGATTAATCGAAACAGTGTCTCTTCTTTTTACCTAGGTTAGATACCCAGTTGAACATTCAAATCCTTCTCTTCTGTTTCTCTTCAAATATTTGATTTCCCTGGTTTTTGTTGTTGGATTCTAAGCAGCATTTGAATTTGGGTTGTATTTTGTCAAACATAAATAATCATTTAATACCCATTATGTCGGCATCCGCAAAGAGAAGACTCGCAGCACTTTCTCAGCAGCTTGTGAAACCCATTGAAGATCAGGGTAACTTTGAAAATATCCCAATTCTCAAGAAAATTGCACCAGATTCAACCGGCCCGAGAGTCAAAGGAAAAGTGGTCATTGTAACAGGTAATTATTTCCTTTCCAGGCCAAATTCTACAATATTAACATATCTTCTAGGGACCAATAGTCCTCTGGGAATTGGACGAGCATCAGCACATCAGTTTGCGCAGAATGGCGCAAGAGCTGTATACATATGCGATTACAATGATACGAATCTCGAAACCCATAAACGTGAACTTGCATCATTATACCCTGGTGTCGCAGTACACACGCGGAAGTTTGACGCAGCGGATGAACAATCTGTGAAGGAGGTTATTGATCATGCGGTGAAGACGTATGGAAGATTAGATATCTTCTTTGCAAATGCGGGAATTGTAGGCACAAATAAAGTATTTACGGATATTTCTTCAGATGAGTTTCTATCTACTCTACGAACAAATGTTGTCAGGTAAAATATCAACAACTTTCCTAGCAGCAGACTGAATACTAATTTCAAAGATAGTGTGGCAATGGCAGCCAAATACTCGGCACCAGCTATGATGTTAACATCACCGGATAAGCAATATCCATCTGGTAGTATAATAGCCACCGCTTCAGTTGCTGGTCTACGTTCCAATGCAGGGCCCAGCGATTATTCTGCCTCCAAATCTAGCGTCATTTCCCTCGCCCAAACGATATCCTATCAACTAGCAGGCACTGGAATTCGCGTCAATGCTATCTGTCCTGGCGTCATCGAAACAGGTATGACAGCACCGATGTATGAAGCTGCACGCGCCAGGGGATCGGAAAAGAAGATTGGCCAATTAAATCCGCTAGGAAGAGGTGCACATGCCGATGAGGTAGCTAGGGTGGCATTGTTTTTAGGAAGTGAGGAGAGTAGTTATGTGAATGGTCAGGCTTGGGCTGTGGATGGAGGACTTAGTGCTGGTCACCCCTTCGTTCCGGGAAAATTGGGTTGAGTTGGAGGTTTGTGACAGTCAGAATCCCAAAGATGGCCTCACTATTCCATGATTCATCAGTTTAGTGTGTTTCCCACACAAAGTCCAAGGTGGAGGAAGATCTAAATCTCTAATATTATTGCATCTTAAATCTTGATGGGCTGTTTGCCTCTGGAGTCTATTGCCTGCCCCTTGACTCTAGATATAACGTCTAATATCTCTAACCCTGCCACATACGACCATAGACTGAAGAGAATTGGGCATCCCGTCCGCTCTGCCATACACAAGCTTCAGATCGGTGGATTAGTAGTTGGGTGGGTGACCACCAGCGAATCCCCACTGTTGTATGTGTCTCGCTTTTTGTTTTGTTTCTGTTGATCTCGACGACCGTCTGGGATATGAGACTTTGGAGACCCGTAGAAGAATTGGGGTATACATATGATGTCAAGGCAAGCGAGAAGGGAGATGAACATGATAAGTATTTTGAGGTCTACCTCCTAGGTCTTAGGTATGTGGTCGAAGGAGTGGTAATCGCTGGGCAGACTCACTGAGACAAAAGGTGGTAATTTGTCCCTGATAAGCCTTCTACCGACGGCATAGTATTGAATGGGCTCTCATTTAGATGTATTTGGGAGCAATTGAGAATGATATATTCGATTCGGCCAATCAGGGCTCTGTCATGGGGAATCCAGCCTTGTCCCGCTTTGGTGGCCTCGCGCTAGTCATAAATTCTCCATACTAGCTGCAAGGCTACGATAATAATTTTTGTTTTCCGATAACAAGATTTAACAAAATCATCTATCATCGCTACAACATTTATATCAATAAATTTCTTCCTCGACAATGTCAGATCCTCTTTTATCCTCATTATGTCGCATCTGTCATATTAATCCCACGAAATATACATGCCCACGATGCTCTCAACAAACATGTTCACTTCCCTGCTCCAAGCGTCACAAAGTCTGGTCAACATGCTCTGGTATTCGCGATCCTACTGTCTACAAACCAAGATCGCAATTGGCAACCCCTTCAGGCATTGATCATGATTATAACTTCCTTCATTCAATTGAGCATCGAATTGAGAGATCGGAAAAGGAGATAGTGGAAGAGCGAGGACTTGTAAAGAAAATGGAGCTTGAGTTGGCAAGGCAAGGCCCCAAGGACGATAGAAGACGACCCAACAAAAGCAGAGGCAACCAGCGTGAAGACTTTCTCACTAAAATGCTTCAAAATTCTGGAATAACGGTATTCAAAGCGCCCAGCGGGATGTCTAGAAATTTGGAGAATACATCTAGTTGGAGCAAATCGCAGAAGTGTATGAATTGGCAGATAGAATGGATTCGAGAGGCAGATGCAGGCGGAAGGATATTGCATAAATCGATAGACAAATGGTCAATAAACGATACCTACTCTCTGCTCTTGGAAGAACAACGAAGGCTGAGCATGACACCAGAGGAAAAGGCAGCCCTGAAAAAAAGGAAGGCAGACGAATTGAAAGAAAACAAGGCTAAGAGGGTCAAGACAGATGAACGTTCGTTGGATATATCACCGCTTTCTTTATTTCAGGATTCGACTGGTGCTTGGAATACAATTTTGGATCACCCAATTTTATCAAACAACCAGAACTCCATACGCCAAACTCATGCACTACCGAAGCTTGATTCCAAGTATCGTTTCTATCTTCATCGACCTAAGACTCGATCATCATATCCTAAAGTATTGATACCTTTAGACCCAACACAGCCACTTTCCAAAGTCTTGGAGAATCGCACAATCCTCGAGTTTCCTACTTTGTATGTATTTGAGTCGGATGAACTTCCAGAAACTTTTATGCTAGAAAAAGCCTATGTCGAAGCAACTGGAGACGGACCAGAGGTGGAAAGTGATGAAAGTGAGGAATCTGAAGACGATACTAGTGATGTCTCTTCAGATGAGGACGAAGATGAAGATGAGGAAATGGAGGATGAAGAGGTTGCACCATCAAATCTTACCGCCTGATGCCATTAAATTGTATAGAAATTTGTTGCTCATGATACCCATACATTAATAATTGAAGAAATTCACTCCAACAGCATGTCATTTATTCTTTTATATACCTACACATATTGACCATTTGTAGCTGCTACTTACTATAATAATCTATCTAGACGGACTAGATGTGGTCGACTTGTTCTTTGTATATGGCTCACAAACGACATATGCATTCACCTCATGAGCTTGTATTCATCACTCCCTGATTAGCCATTCAGACTTACAGGAATCTAGCTTGTACAACGGCATTAGGAGTGCAGGCATGCCACCTCTATTCCGCCGTATAGACCATCCCCAAACACATGGTGAAGTTTCCTCGGCTGCAGAAGAGGCGACAATCAGACTAATAAGATGCCCTAAAACTTAGTTGTGCTGAGTTTGTTGGTTGGCTCCCAGTGAGGTTGAAATGTGTGAGTGAGTGCTGGAGCTCAGGAATTACACTTCCTATTTCTTGATCTTGTCCGGTTTGATCGCTCTGGATTTATGACATTGGAGTTAATGAATACTATCAATATAGAAGCATAAAGTTCAGTATCACTTGAATTTGTATCTATTAATGAATTTCCATATCATACTGCCATTCTATGGTAGGGTCGTGTAAAGTGGTTTTTGATTGGTGATAAGGTTTCCATGCCAACAACCATGATTTTGCACTTTTTCCCTTGGTTTAAGAATTTGACGCGCCTTTCTATGTGATAAATCCTTTTACAAACAAAATCACCGATATTTGCATAAAACCTGAAATAACAGTAAGGTCTTATTATTGAGCCTCATGAAGTAAGCCATTTATATCCACAATTTCAAAGGTGGAGGGTCATCTCGAATTTTATTTACTGATAGCAACCAGAGGTGGATTCACCCCGCTAAATACCATTGGATCAACGGAAACACCAAAATTCAAATGTCAGAATAGAAATACAATCACTAAACAACACAAGTTCAAAAGAGTTGTCGACACTTCGAAAACAACAACACCAGCTATCCGTCTACCGCACAACTATCGAAGAACTCTCCCTTCTCCAGTGACGGAGAATAGTCCATCTTTGAGTGACCTTGGTGATTCAACTGCACTCTTTGATTCGTCCCTCGAAATAGTTGGTCGAGCATCCAATTTAGGTTCGACTAGGAAAGGAACTGTGGTTGTGCTTGACACTACAAGATTCGACAGATATCCTGTTGAGAAAGGAAACAATATGGTTCGGGAAATATCTCCAGCAAAGGTGCAGGCACCTCGACCTGAAGAACCCAAGGATCAATATCGACCCTCGCAAAGCAATACAGCAAATCATCTATCCAGTATTCCTAGATTCGGAGAAGCTACGCTTCCACAGTCTCCATTGAATCATAAATCTCAGCAACAATACTCCGAATTATTCATTCAACCAAAATCCCGTCCCGAATTTCATAAAGATCCAGAAAGACAATGTATGTATGCATGTGCCATGTTATGTCACGGTGCTAACATCTACGTAGCACATCCACATTTGCAAGCAGCAAAAGATGTTGCCCGAAAGATTATCAACCCCCTTATGCCGCGAGCACCAGCGGAATACAGTCAGCCAGCAGTTCGTGCACCGATTCCTGGCTCATCATCATATGCAACAACTCACCCTGCACCTGCACCGACATTCGGCTCCCTTCCAAACAACAATGGAGGTGGTTTCCAATCCGTGAATACCTATTCATCTAGCAATTATATTGACCTTACCATGGGCAAGCCAAACTACAATGAACCACATACCTATGTTGATCCTGCAAAGGCACAAGAAGATCTAAAGGCACTTTTAGAGGGCGTTATTGAGGATGAGGAAGATACGAAACCAAGAACAAGATCACGCAGAAAGAAGAAGGATGCGGAGGTTGATGAGTTGATGGCAAAAATGGATGGATTAAATGTTGAACCAGAAGAGAAGCTCGAAGTTGCATCAGAGGAGGAGGAGGAGGAAGATGATGGAACTGTCGAAGGAATCAACGTAAAACTTCTCCCGCATCAGGTTGAAGGTTTAGAATGGATGATTGGTCGAGAAATCGGCACAGGAAAGAAAGGCATGGTACCAAAAGGAGGCATTCTTGCCGATGATATGGGTTTGGGAAAGACACTACAATCGATTTCACTCATTTTGAGCAATCCCAAACCATCAAGTTCAGACGAAACTCACAGTAAACGCAAATTACCTTCTGGTCTGGACAAATGTACTTTGGTTGTTGCACCTCTTGCACTTATTCGACAATGGGAAGCCGAAATCAAAGACAAAGTTGAAGAGAGTCATTCTCTTCGTGTTTGTGTTCATCATGGCCCTCAACGTACGAAGCGATTCCAGGATCTCAGAAAATTCGATGTCGTTATTACAACATATCAAATCCTCGTTTCAGAATGGGGTAATTCGTCTAAGGACGATGATGATGAAGGTGTCAAGGTCGGCTGTTTTGGTATACATTGGTACAGAGTCATTCTTGATGAAGCCCATACTATCAAAAATCGAAACGCCAAAGCTACACAAGCATGTTATTCACTTAGAAGTCAATACCGTTGGTGCTTGACAGGAACGCCGATGCAAAACAATTTGGATGAATTGCAAAGTTTGATCAAATTCTTGAGAATTAAGCCTTACGACAACCTTCGCGAATGGAAGGATCAAATCGACCGACCAATGAAAAATGGTAGGGGTGATGTTGCTATCAAGCGTCTTCGTCACTACTTGCAGATTTTCATGAAGCGACGTACCAAGGACATTTTAAAGAAAGATGGAGCCCTCAACCCTGGAGGAAAGCCTTCTGCTCCTGGACAAGCCAATTCAACAGGTTTTAAGGTCGTCGAACGAAAAATTGAAAAGGTCTTTGCAGAGTTCTCGCCAGAGGAGCGCAGATTTTATGAAAGACTGGAAAGACGTACCGATGCAAGTATTGAAGAGATGATGGGTGGAAGCAAAGTTAACTACGCAAGTGCTTTGGTATTGCTATTGCGTTTGAGACAAGCTTGTAATCATCCAAAACTGGTTGGAAATAAATTAGGAAAAGATACCGATGCACTTTCAGCAGAAACCAGCAACCCTAAATCGAAATCAACAACAGATGTTGATGAGATGGCAGATATGTTCGGTTCATTAGGTGTAGGCTCAAAAAAATGTGAGGTTTGCCAAATTGATCTTGGTAAAGAAGCTATCTCACAAGGTGCCATTCGCTGTTTGGATTGTGAAGCGGATTTGGATGAAATATCTGGGAAGAAGCTTAGTCCAAAGAAGAAGATCAAGGAGAAGAAGAGTAAAAAGAGCAAGAAGAGCAAGAAGCACAAGGAGGTCAAACCTGTTCCAATCCGTAAACCCAGAAACAGGAATATTATTGAAGACAGTGATGACGAAGAAGAAGAAGAGCAAGGCGAATGGCTTGTTGGAGAAAAGAAACGTGGTGCTCTTACTCTTGGAAAGGCTGGTGGAAGGGAAGACGAGAATTGTGAAGGTGGTGGTGAATGGCTTGATTCGGATCATGATGATGATCTCGATGATTCTTTTCCTGACATTCAAGATATTGGCAAGAAGAAGGTCGTCAATCTTGATAGTGGTGATGAAGAAGACACCGAAGAATCTGCTGAGGAGTCAGAGGATGATGATTCCTCTGAAGAAGAGGAGGAGGAATCTGACGTTGAAGACGAATTTGGTTCCGATGAAGATGCCGAGCTTTCTAGAATTGCTGCCTCTACCAAGATTACACATCTAATGAAGATCCTCGGAAAAGAAGCCGCTCAGCATAAATTTATTGTCTTTTCGCAATTCACATCGATGTTAGATCTTGTCGAACCATTCTTACGCCAAAAGGGTTACAAATATACCAGATACGATGGCGGTATGAAGAATGATCTTCGTGAGGCTAGTTTGGACCGACTTCGTAACGACGAGAATTGCAGAGTTTTACTTTGTAGTTTGAAGTGTGGTTCTCTAGGACTCAATCTTACAGCAGCTACTCGTGTAGTTATCCTTGAACCATTCTGGAACCCTGTAAGTAATTTTCTGTTGCTGCTCAGATTAAATTTCATAATCATAGTTACTAATACATACTTTCATAGTTCGTTGAAGAACAAGCCATCGATCGTGTACATCGTCTCACGCAGAAAATTGATGTTATTGTTTACAAGATTACCATCAAAGACACAGTTGAAGAACGGATTTTACTTCTTCAAGAGAAGAAACGAGAACTTGCAAATCAAACTATTGAAGGTGGTAAAGGTGGTGCTGGTAAATTGGGAATGAAGGAGATTCTTCAATTATTCAGAAGAGATGCTGAACATGCTCCGCCTACTACTGGTGCATATGATCTTGGTGCTAAGCCAAGAATCTTGAAGGAATCTGCCAGTAGAAGTCCAAGTAAAAGTGCAGCCACTTTGGATAGTTATGGTTCACAAAGTTCATCGGCACCAAGGAAGATTACACCAACACCTTTTCAAGCTAGAAAGGTAGAAGACTCGTTGTATGGTAGAAGGTGGTAACGTATTTTTGTAAAGTAAGATATTTTCTTGGTGGTTAGATTACGATTGTTGGTTTGGATAGGAAATATCTTATACTAGATTTGGGTTACGGAATTAAGACTGGCGCTTTGAGGGGGTTTTAGCATTTCTTTTGGGGTTCCTGGATTACATGGGGATATGATGATAAATGGCTGTTAAATGAGAAATGAATATTGTTGTTATGTATTCGAGTGCTGTATTGCTCTTAGTGACTCTTTACTCACCAAGTCTCCACTGACCAGTACATCGCTGGAATTTCTATCCTCAAAAGTTACTAATTCCGACGGTTCACATACACTGCACCACTACAGTTTTGTGTGCCTACATGCTGTGTCCCTTGGAAATCACGATAATCGCAAAACCGCAATTATTATTATATCTTCATCTTCATTCCTAGAATCACTATGATAAAAGTCCAAAAAGCCCAAAACTTCCGAAAAGGAACAACTTCGGGACTTGATTGGACCAAAGGGTTAAACGAGGCCTACAAAAGAAGCCTTCGCTGAACGGGCCCAAAAATGATTACATAGATATCGTTATCGCCGAAAATTTGTGGCGAAGGAACAAAGCGTTTTGCATGCCAACTGGGTGGGTAGAGTGGAGATGAGATGAGATGATGGCATGTTCGGCTTTTGGGATGGGAAACTCAGAGGGAGGGATAAGGATTTTGAGGGGGCGCTTGATTCGGTAGGGTTTTTGCTCTGTCTTTGCTGATTGTTTTTGAATTCTGGATATTGAGATATTAGGATTTCGAGTGGGATATATATCGTACCTTTGAAGATAAGAATACGAAAAGTATAGAAGATACAGACGATATACAATGGCTTCAGCATCTCTCGTAGGAAGTACCGGTCTCGTCGTACGTCTGCCTTTCCGCTTTCCTTACATCTCCCTCTCCTCCTTTGCATCCCCCCAAATACTAACACAACCAGGGCTCCCACATTCTCTCGACCCTTCTCTCTCACCCCTCCATCTCCACCGTCCACTCCCTCTCTCGCCGCGATCCCAAACCCAGCACCACCTCTCCCAAACTCCATGCCCTCACCTCCACAGACACATCAACATGGTCTTCGCTCCTCACCTCCCTCTCTCCCTCTCCCCTCCTCTTCTTTTCCGCGCTCGGCACGACGAAAGCGCAAGCGGGTAGTATTGAAGCCCAGCGCAAAATCGACTACGATTTGAATCTCGAGCTTGCGTCTACTTTTTCGCCGACCGCGGAGAATGGAGAAAACGGACAGGAAAGAAATAAAATCTACATCCTCGTCTCTACCCACGGCGCAAACCCCTCTTCCATGATCCCCTACTCCAAAATGAAAGGCGAGCTCGAAGACGCGGTGAAAGCACTGCTAGATAAGAAGGGAAGTAGGGTGAAACATATTATTATCCTGAGACCTGGGTTGATAGTAGGAGAGAGGGAGGATTCGAGACCGACGGAGTTTGTGGCGAGGAAGGTGGCAGGGTGGTTGGGCTGGGTCAATCCGGGATTGCAGGATTTTTGGGCGCAGGATGCGAGGGTTATTGGGAGGGCGGCGGTGGAGGCGGGGGTTAGGGCGATGAGGGGGGGGGATGGGGAAAATGGGGAGATTCCGAGGGTCTGGGAGTTGGGACAGAGGGATATTGTTAGGTTGGGGAAGACGGAGTGGAGGGGAAAGGGGGAGTTGTGATGGGGGTTGTGAGGATGGGGAATTGTGATGGGGAGGAAGAGGATTGGGATATGCTTTGTTTGGATGGATGGACGGATGAATGAATGGAGTTTTGATTCTTGGTTGGAGGATTATGTTATGTTGTTGCTGGGCTATGTGTCACTTTGGATGTGTTCATTGTGTATTTTCAGACAAAATAATTTACTGATTGATTCATCGGATGTAGATTGCTACTATTTTCATACTTTCACACTTTTCACACCTTTCATTCCTACCGTTTCCTACAACCATTTACGGGGACTACTCTCCGATTTTCATCATGACCCCATTCATCATTTATGCTCCTCCCCCTCTACTTCCCCCCAAACCCACTCCCCTTCCTCCCACTCACATTCCTATCCCCGGGACTCCTCTCCGCCCCCCCCTCCTGTCCCCCCCTCGGCTTACTCACTTCCTGATTCGCCGGACTCACATCCAACGGATTCCCCTCTCCTCCTTTCCCCGCTTCACTCTTCTCAGACTCCGGAGATGTAATGGAAGGATCGAATGCGGCGGATCCTTCGCGTGCGGCCGCATCGTCACTCCCAGATTTGGAGTATTCGGTTGCCGTCGTGTCGATGCTGTCTTTGTGTTGGGAGTCTTTGCGGGGGAGGAGGAGGGTGGGAGTGTTGGTGAAGGAGCGGGTGATGAGGGGTTGGTCGGAGAGGAGGGTACGAGGAATGAGGGGGGACCTTGTGCGTGTGATGGTTGAGAGGCGGAGGAGACGGAGGAAGGGGGTTGGAGACATTTTTCGTTGGGGTGGGTTGGTTGGTTGGTTTGATGTGGTGCAGTGTCTTGTATCGTGTTTTATCGTATCGTATGGTGTTTCTTCCAAAGGTAAAGCTGTCAATTGAATTAGCGTGGTCTTCAGAACCAAATGTTACCTAGTATGTCATGCATCCAGCTCCATCATGACTGAACCCAATTACATTTGTACTCTCGACGAAGACATATGACCAACTTACATGAATCAAGTGTGATTGATTTGTAACTCGTTCAATTGAATCGTATCTGCGTGTTTGTCTGTTGAATTGTTTGTTTGTATGTATGTTTGTAGATACCAATTATGTTCAGAAAATAAGATAGACAAGATTTCGAATTCCATGCGTGTGTGTGTGTTAATATGACGACGTCATTGTTGTTAGGAGCGGAGCTGAGAGCTACCTACCCCACACTACTGTAATAGGTCTTGCCTCTGAATGAGAGTATATTTGGATATTATGTATGTGTATCACGGTATCTAGGTTGGGTATATATGGTGACACTCATTGTTATATTATATCGTTGTTTCATGTTTGTTCTACTGACGAGCTGGATTGAGTGTTTGAGTATAGATAGGTAGGTATGGATAGCAGTATGTAATTCATAAATACGACAACAGCGAGTGCATACTTGCTACATACTATCTAATACCAGTAGAGCCATGTCTATTTCTTGTATTCGGAGAAGAAACTCCTCTCTGAGGTAATGATATGGAGTAATCTCGAGGTAACTTCATACTAACATCGGATTATTACACCGCAAATATGTATCGGTACTGGATACCTGGGTACGAGACTGTGAGTGTCATCTAGCAGAATCGAGCAATTGGATACGGGTACTCAGATATCAGTCTTTACCAACTTTCCCATGTAGAATTGGAAATCGCATTTCCACTTACCTAGTAGGTAATCATACATCACCATCATACATACCGGTCCGGAACATTCCCCGCTCTCCGCATATCATTAGCATATCAAATTATATCATTTGTTATATACGATACCTAGATCTGTGAGATAATAGTTGGCGTGTTGGAAGCACCTAGAGCCTATGAGCCTTTGTATGTCAATCCAGAAGTCAGAAATGGATAAAGTTTCCTAGGAGAGATTTCTCCTTTGGGTTGAGATTCATCGTCACTCATCGTGGCGTTGTTAGTCTTGATGTCATGATTTAGTATGACGATGTCAGCTTAGGTATGCACTATACTGGTAGAAAGGGAACGTTCAGAGTAAATATCAATCGAAGCATATAAATCTCTTGCAATTCCTCTTTACATTTACTCTTGAAATAATTCATTCCAAATGTTGCGCACTATCTCCAGAAAGACTTTCTCCCAATCTGCAAATACTATTTTCAAACCGTCAACAATCACTTTCTCAAGAAATATGGCAGATAGTCGTGTTGAAGCCGCTTCCCAAGTTGCGGGTGAGAAGAAGGATACAAGTCCATCCGTAAGTATTACCTTTGCTTTCCGTGATAGAGATCTTGGAGTACAGCAAGCTGATCTTATAATATAGAACCCCTCTGTCATTTCATCCGCAGGTGCTGTTGGCAAGCAATTCAACCCCGATGGAAATATTGGACAAATCGGTGAAAAGATTGGTGGTCCATTCTCAAAGGTAATGTTCAAGCGTGCTCTGTATACTCGATTCTTCATCAAAAGCTAATTGTACATAGGATGGTGCTATCGGTTCCCAATTCGACGCTGCAAAAGATGGTCTCGCCGGACAGGTTGAGAAGGCTGTTGATGGGCCAAGTAGACCTGCTACGGAGAAGAAGTAATGAATTATGATGATGAATAAAGGTTGATGATAAATCTGAAGCTGCGTGTTATAATACAGTTTTGAGGTCTTTGACAGCAGACAGATGGTAGGTAGCCATATGTATTATAATGATAAATAAACACAACGTGAGTTTGTTGATCTATGCATTGGTGATTTTTGTGTCGATTCAAAATAGAAAACCGTATTTCTTTTGCAAATACTCTCACACATACTCTGAAACATATGTGGTCTTTCAAAAGCGGTACAATCATACTTGATACCTTGTAATGTACCATACTCCTTTTCGTCGTGTATTTTGTGGTGTATTTAACCATCGACTTCGATGCACAACTCACTAGCTGTTGATATTCTCCTTGTCGACCTACGTTCAGGAATTCGATTCAAGGACATCTGAGACTTGTAATTTATCCGCTTCAAAGGTTAACAAACGTCTAGACTGTGAAATGAAAATTACTCCCTCAGCCTCCGTTACCAGTCCAATGTGTCCAATTGATGCCACTACATTCTGACTTGGCTATCAGGCTCATTGGAAGCGAGTTATAATCATCCGAGGGAGGTAAATGATATTGATTTATGTTCGAATGACAGAATTACTTCGGTTATGAAGCTCTCGATATCATCGGATCTATCTTCAACAATAAAATAATGTTAACAATGCCAAATTCGAAGTTCCCAAAATAGCATCGCAATGGAGAATCTGGAGAACTGGAAGAATGGAGAACAAAGGAAAACCTACTGGTCACCGGTATCGGCATCGGTCCAACTTTCTTCCTTCACATGCTCGACAAGGGTATATAATTTAGTCGAAGGCGTTCAGCGTGCTGGTGATTGCGTGCTTTCTCGTGCTCTCACCAAATTTCACTTCATTCACTAATATCAATCTTCTGATACGGTAATAAATAAGTGAAGAAAGAAAAGATACTCTAGGTAGGTTCACCAGTTCCAAATGGTAGAAGTCCATACGATTTGACTGCATTTCCTATTCTCCTATTACTAAATAAGGTGATTGATCGGAATCTCGGTTTTTCCATTCCAATGACTTGCCAAAAGATTATATATATATATCTCACACCAATAAATCTTTCCCTTTCAAAGCCAAGTTGTGAAGGGATAATATATCCTTCGATTGAGTACCTTGTTGTTGTCTTTACTTTATTTACAACAAACTCATTCTCTTTATCTTGGAAGAATTGTGTCAAGTCAGTTTGTCTTGAAGTTTCCTTTCTTTTATTCGCATTCTTGTCGTCTTGTCAAAAGTTCTTCAAAGATACCCCGCCACCCATCAACTCGCAGAAATGGGGGCAACAACAGATTATGATCAAACCAGAGGCATAAATACTAAGCCAGAAGGTGATGGATCTAAACAGGTGATTCAAAGAAACAATCATAGGAACTATTTACCAGTGTCTAATCATTCTCGTCTTTGCAGGTCCCATTTGGAAAAGATACCCTCAACTCTACCTGGAATTCCGAAAATGAGTCCTCTTTTCGAACTTTCTCCCAAAAGTCTTCCAATTTACCATTTGGACAATCAATCGAATACGATGCGATCAGTGGTCCTACCTATGTTACTGCACAAACTTTGGTTCAACAAGTAGCATATGCGCTCTCCGATAAGATCTTCTCTTATTCCCCAGAATCATTTGATTTGGATGTTGCTGTCAAGTCTTGGGCTGCAGCAAATACCAAGAATGCCAATGGATATACTACAGAAGTTTCTCCCATGCAGGCTCGCTCTGGCGCTGGATCAATTGCTCTTGGATACATGTTTTCAAAGGATTTCGACTTGACCAAAAGACACATCCCTCAATCACTTTTGGCCTCTTCTTCCAGTCTGCATAGCTTGCGTTCAACTCTCGATCAACTTTCCCTATTGTACTCTGTCGCCAACCCATTTGTCGCCCACGTTGCGGCCGTTGACTATGCACCAGGATCTACTGGCCTCGTCACTGACTATGCCACTGCTTTAACTGTAGCAGAGGAATTGGGACTTGGTTTGGTTTCTAGTTCATCTGCATATGAAGCCCAACATATGTCTCTGTTTTCTACCCTGTTAGCGACTATTCTTCCAACCATTCATACTTATGATGGAATCACTGTTGGTCGTGATACTCTTCGTGTCATTGACATTCTTAGTCAATCTGGTCTTAGTAGTTCCTACAAGACAGTTCTTGAAGAGATTTCGAAACTTGGAAAGAGGGCGGATGCTGAAAGTAAGGTTTCTTCACTTCTTGAGGCTTTCAACAGCGAACTTGGTACATCTTACGGCCTCTTTGAGTACAGTGGACATGAGTCACCTGAATCCGTCCTGGTTGTATTTGGTTCTGTTGAGAGTTCTCTTGCTACTCAAGTTGCTAAGAAGCTTTCTGCTGAAGGAGAGAAAGTTGGCGTCATCAATGTCAGAGTCTACAGACCTTTTGTAGAGGAAGCTTTCTTGAAGGCTCTTCCTGCATCAGTCAGAAATCTTGCAGTCCTTGGTCAAGTTATGGACGAGACGGCCGCAACAGATGTTTCTGGTCACTCTAACTTGTATGAGGATGTTTTGGCAGCAACTGTGTTCTCTGATAAATTCACAGCTTCTCCCAAGGTAGTTGATGTCAAGTATGCTCGATCGCAAGTATTCACACCTACTTCCATCGCTAGCATCTTCCATCAACTTGGTGGCAAGTCCTTCAATGACTTCGTTTCACTTTTGAGAGTTGGACAAGTTCAACAATATTCATTCTTCGATCTTGAGGATTCTGCTGCTGCTACTGCACCTTCTGCAATTAGCAAACTCCTTTCTGGAGATTCGGCTGCCAATGTCCTTATCAATCAAACTCATGACAACTTCATTCAAGGTGGTGTCGTTAGAACTGATATTCGAAGCTCAAAGAAGTCAATCGAGGCTGCTTATCCAATTGAAGAAGCCGACGTCGCCTACATTGGAGAGGAGAAACTTTTCAAGGAGATTGCCATCTTGCAGAATGTCAAATTGGGTGGAAAGATTATTGTCAAGCTTCCAGGTGTCAAAGACGAAGATTTGGAAAAGAAGATTCCAGGCTTCGTTCGTAACGAAATTAAGAAAAGAGATGTTGAATTATTTGTCTTGGATCCAACTTTGTCAGAAGCTCTTGAGAAAGAACCTGCTCTTGAAACTTTGTTCGCTGAGCTCGCATTCTTGAAGGTTGCTCGTCCAGAACTTCTCGAAGCTGGCAAAGAC